TTTGGATAGCATATCACGCCCCAGCAATTGGACTGGACACTCAGGCATATAAAGGAATTGATGTTTTACTACGTGGCCTCCCAATGTACAGAGTCGACTTTTAAGAACCGGTTTTTCAGCACTTCTTCCAGTTGCTCCTATTACAGTAATAGTTCTTCCAGATGGAGGAGCAACTAGATTAGTCACCACCGAATGTTCAGCACCAGTGTCGATCATGAACGCACTCCTTTTTCCCCCTATTGATACATCGACCATAGGCTCCGCTCGACCAAGGGGGATGGAGCCCGGTCGGTATCAATAGTCCTCCATGACCGTGTCAGCCAATCCCACAAAGTCCCTACCTTCTCTATCGCGGGACCTTTGCGCTGCTGGATAGTACCTATCTTCCCTTACACTTCCTCTGTTCCCATTACTCCCTCTATTACCATTACTCCCTCCGGGGCCTCCTCTACCTCTCGCTCTGCCTCTAAAGTTTCCGTAACCTGCCCTGGGTAAGTCTCTCTCATACTGCTCTCTTTGCGGACACTCGTTCCTCCAATGCCCTTCTTCCTTACAGTACGCGCACTGATTCCTACTCAAAGGCTCCCTATTCCATCTACCATCGCCTCTATCTGGGCCCCGTCTATCTACGCCTGCGATCGCTACCGCTAGCATATCTGCCTTTCTACGCATCTTGCGCTCTTCCTCTTTCTTACTTTCTGTTTCCCTATTCATATATACTTTGTTCGCTACCTCCATTAGTTGGGTGATAGACATACCTGCAAACCCTTCTAATTTCTGTAGCTTGCGCTTAATATCTCCGTAAGCTTGGCTGACAAAGGCGGAGTTTACCATTCGGGAATTATCAGCGTCTTCCGGATTAAAGGGGGTATACAAGCGGTATGCCTCCAATAATCGGTCATAAAAGACACTGGGCGCTTCATCACTTTTCTGAATCACCTCAACTGTCTTCGACATGTTAATAGCTTTCTTCCCTCCGGCTTTCATGCCAGCAATTATAGCATCTCTATAGGCTTTAAGTTGAGCCATATCTGCGCCATTTACATTCCAGTCAGGATCGGTGTTAGGGTAATGTGTTGCGGCCCATGCTACCGGATTGGCTTGATTTAAAGCACGGGCTCTCTCCTCTAGCGCCTTAATGGCTGCTTGGTTAATCCTTGTCCTTTCCTCATTATTGAACAATGTCATTAATAACTGCTGGCAATCAGCCCATGTCGGGTTATGTGTCTGAACTATCGAGGTGAACAGATCGGTCATAGCTTGTGGTTTCTCAGTGTACGAGGAATTGTGGGTCTTCCAATTCAAGAGATCGGTAGTCGTGAACGGGACATATACGAAGACTGGGTCAGCATGTGCCATTTGACCTGCGGCATCGATATAGGCTGACCCAGGATTCAGACGAAGAGGCATCTGATAATGTTTTAATTGTTGGGTACCGGTCAGTTGTCGGGTTAGTATGGGGCTACGTGGAGGGGCGTCAGTTAAAGGTTCCGGTCGAGAGGTAATAGGGCATGAGGATGTGGGAACTTGATTTTGGGAAAAGTCAGTGAATAGTATACTCCGAGCCGAGCTAGAAGAAGCTTGACCGGAAGTTTGAAGTGGCGCCAAATCAGGATATTCAGATCTAATGGGGGTTGGTCCTGGTTCCGGAAGGGGAGTTTTAATACGAGGTGGGGTGGATTCTGTACTGGAGGAGGAAGCGGAAGTGGATGGGGGCAATAGGGGAAGGGGTGCAGAACTTCCTGCATTCGCGTCACTTCCTCTTAAAGGAAAGTAAGGGGGCGGCAAAGGGATCTCGGACTCAGGGGGCGTGTCCAAAATGGGCCTAACACCAGTCCTAGTGGACAAACAAGTCCTGGCCACCATGAGGCGACATTGCTCCTCGTGGCATATCCGGATCCATTTTGGCGAGTCGTTTACGGCCTGCCCCCAACAATCAATGTATGGAAACTGTCCGTAAAGTTCAGGCCTACCTGATACAGCCACGTGTACACGCTGTACCAGGGTTGGATCCAAACTGCCACGCGGCGGCCATGCCGCAACCAAAGTAGGCCACTCCCTAGTGCACAAAGTGACCAAACGTACAGGAGACATTTTAACCCCAAAATCACATGTTTTGAATCCCTTTTTAAAATTCTTTACCATACAACCTAAGGGATCCGAAATCGTTGACTCTGACGCGCCCATACTTATCAATGGAACGTCGTTGACAACGAATACTATGCACGCGTTCTTATTCAACAGTCACACCCGTTTCCTCTGGCAACAGCACCACGTGGTACAGTTACCGAGTGAAACGTACACAATAACACAATAATCACTCAGGGAATTCCCGTACACACACAGCTGTTACACCAGTCACTAAATAATCAATATTATGCCCTTTGGCGAAACTATACAGTCACCCACGCTATAATTCTCTATATATGAATTACCCGTCTATAACACACCCCAGTAACATCGTCTTTTACTAGTATCGGTTACAGTACGGTTAGCATAGGTCAAAGCACAATTTAAGGTCACAATACAATTATTAGTGGTTACGGTGTTAAACATGCAATAGACGACAATGATTAGTACTTATATACAGTGTCAGTAAATATACAGGGTTATGGTACCGTGCACTATGATACAACAACACACTATTAACACTCTCGCTAGACGGCTGAGCTCGCGCTATCTAACAAGATATACACTTTACTAACAATCTTTAACACATTTACAATCCCAACTAAACTATTGGCCAGTACCTTGAATGGACTACCTAAAACTATATACACCCGTTTTGGTTAGCCACACTGCCCAAGCACCACATATAGCGAACTAGAGGGCGGAATTTACAAAGTTGCCCTTCTAGTCTATTTACTCTATCAAAAGTCTAGTGGGTTCCAAATTTACACGCCTTCCCACTTAGCCAAGATAGGTTGAGAGCTAGCGAACCGAATTTACACAGGCGCCGCTTAGTCTCCCGGTCCCTCCGACCTAGCGAACGTAATATACACCCTAGAACGCTAGTCTAGACAAGACACCGGTGTCCGGCTAGGGCTATTTACACAGGACCCCGCCTGACTAACCAGATCAAACGGTCTTACTAAAGAGCGTTCGATCGAGCGGTGCGCCTTCGCTCCTTCCCTCCGACAGAGGGGGCAGATTCCATACACAGATTTAAACCCCTTTTGGGCCTACCGCACAATCGGTATACCCCTAGTGGGTCTGCCGTCTAAAACAGCAGTTGTCTTACCTCCTCGTTCCTGAACCTGAGTTCACACTCATCGACGGGGACACCCCAGCACTTCTTACGTAGAGGCCGATGATCTCCTGGACAACAGACCAGTGGCGCCGAGACGAAGGGAGGTCCACGCAGAAGTTCAGGGGTGCAGCCGTAGAGAACGTGGGCAAAGATAGACCGTCTCACGCCTCTGCCTCTCAGCTACCGTTGAACGATGAGCTTCCCGGCCAATGCACCAAATGATACCGGAGAAACTGACGGAAGCAAAGCACAGAGGGATGGACACAGGTTTCTTCAGGAAGGAAGAGATTCTTTATTGGATCACCGATCGGGACTCAGAGGGACTAATGTCACCAAAAATACAGCAAGTTCTGAGCCCTGAACAATAGTGCAGGCTCCCTATATAGGCACATAACTCCTCCCATATTAAGCTCCACCCGCACATTCTCTTGACCAATCATTACAAATAAGAATTAACTTCCTGCTTGACCGCATGGCTTGTCCAGCACAATGGAGGAGGGGAATACTACATCCTGTATTCTTGCACATGCTCCGTACACTACTGATCGTATCTTGCCTCGTGCAACCAACTGATCGATACGTCAGCATATGCACGTACACATGCCACGTGGTAATCTCGGCCTACTAAATTTATTTTTACCGAGATTCCACCACAAGTGGGCATGTGGCTGTTCTGAGAAATGTTAAAGAGACACTTTTAGGCACCCAGACCAACTCATCTCATTGAAGTAGTCTGGGTACACTGTCTTTGATCCATTCAACCTGCAATTTAAAATATTGTAGTTTTACAGAGTTTAACAACGCTTTGCATGAGGATGGCCAGTGTCTTCAAATGCCTCATAGGAAAGCACTGAGTCAATGCTTTCCTATTGGGAAGATCTAATGCATCCTCTGCACTTACCATGCATGTGCATTAGGTTCCCCCCATCAACTGACGTTGGCAGAGAAGGAGCCTGACCCAGCGCCGAGGTGTGTCAGAACTGGAATCAGGTAAGTGATTTAACCATTTACCTTGGTGGGGGGACAGGACACAGACAGTGGGACAATATATGTTAGTAATACAGCCTTGCATTCCTAACAGGTGCTCCATTAAGTGACTTAATACTAACAATTTGTAAAACAAATGTAATTTAGAACAAGAACAAGGTATCTTATTAACAGACTGATTTGCAAGCACATTTATTTTTCATTTAAAGACACATTATTGTGAGTATAATTGCTGTGGAGCTCAGTTATACACTCAGACACACCAACAATAGAAAAGAGGCAAATTGGGAGAGAAAAAAGGATATAGAGAGGTTTAGGCCCATTAAATAGGGACTGTCCTAAATAAGGATACTTAGCGGGTATGCTTTATTTAAAACAGATGAAGCAAGTTTTAACCTTGAGATAAGTTCCAAAGTTGGAGTACTCTCTAAATTCTCTTATTGTTGCTTATATATTAATTTTGCTTAATGCTGTTTTTTAAAATACACAGATTTATTATTTTGTTGCACTATTTTGCTTTTTTTTTGTGTGTGTGAATTGTAAACAATTATTCGTCCTATAGTTATTTTCTTTATTAATATTCTATACACCAGTATTTGTTTTTTATTTAAGAAATTTCTCATTACTTATTGCAGGGTCCAGGTAAGTTAAAGTTAAATTGCCAAATCCCACATTGACTCTTCTGTCACCAATCCTCAGACACACACAAACAATCCTACACACACACAACATGCACAGACTCTGCATTCTCACTATGCAACACACAGAATGCACGGACTCTGCATTCTCACTATGCAACACATAGAATGCACAGGCTCTGCATTCTATGGAACACACGGGACTCCAGCTCAGAGCTGCCAGCCATGGGACAGGCTCTGCGCATGCGCCCCCTGTGTTAGAGCACAAGCCTGCCGTCATCATGGCCAGCGCTAATGTAGGACTATGCCTGGGGAGGAGGCAGTGGCAGTGAAGCAGGATTCCCTCTCCCCAGCCCGTATGGATGCTATGAGCTCCAGGAATCCCCACTGCATCTCTGCATCTGTAAGAACCTGCATTTTTTGCTGCAAAGCATCAGGACATTGACCCCTGCAGCATGCTGACTCAGCAGCAGTCCCAGCGCACTGAGATCCAAGCTGCAGATTCAACGGGTGAGTGCAGCTTGGCATAGCTGACGTCATAGCAGGAATGCCCCCTGTGTCACTGCAGACACCACGTCGTGTGTTGCCATTTGTAGCACTAACAGTGGTGTGACGTCATCAGCACCTTCTAGTATAGGTATAGTAAATATTGTGCAATGTAGAAGGATGTGCAAAGGAAAGAGGTGATTTGATGCTTGCAGACCTACCCTATCCCCACTCAATAATTCTAGTGCAATTATGGGCTAACTCTGCATGCTTTTTAGTTATTGTCTTAATTGCCCTCTTGTTGTCAACAGTGTGATTTAGCATCATGTCAGTGTATTTTCTAATCTGATGGACTTTCATTCAGTGGATCATGCTAAAAGAAACAGGCACTCACTAAGCAGCTGTGTATTCTTATAAATGTTGAAAAATAATCATGATTTAATAGTCATAAGCTTAGTGATACAGTATCCTCTGATAACTAGTGGGATTTAAGAAATGTGTAGATATATTAATATGAAATGTTATTAATTGACCAGCACATGATTAGTGGCAGTTCCGGATTTTGGAAGGTGGACACAATTGCTGTGAGTGACACTCAATACAATGCCAAGTCTTCAGTAACCTGAGATCTTCAAACATCCTTGAGATGAGACATATCTAATGTTTAACGGGAGCCTATTGGTCCCCATGCAGGGTAACAACTGGTAAACAAGTCTCCCAGCACATTCTCTTTGCATTGCATACACATTTATTTATACAATCTATATTTTTAAAGGTATTGCTTTGGTGATTTTATATTATTTTATTTTTCTGAAGAATCCCTGATTGTTTCAAGTTACAAAGCTGTTACTGTTGATGTTATATTTTTAACCCCTTTTAAATTGGAAGTTCATTGCAAAGCTACTGTCTGAAAATATATATTTGTATTTATTTAAAGATTGCAGTTTGCCAAATTGAAATTATGTGGGTTTTTTTGGGTTATAATATTCTTGTGATGATATGCGTCAGCTTCTGATAATTAACATTTTCAGTTTTCAATATTATTTTCATTTATTTTTTTCAATTTATTTATTTTTTACAGAAATGCAATATATATTGCTCTGGTTTGAAGATCAACAATTTTACATAGAGAAGGGCAGCAGTGTAACCCTTACTGATTACCGATTGTATAGTAGGATATAGGTGTACAGAATGTGCTGTATAATTTTCTACATAATAATATAGACTGGATAAGACCCGGGTTTATCAAGTTAAGACTTTCATATATCTCTGTGCTGTTTATCCCAAAAAACTCTGCAAAACCCAATTTGAAGTGATTTTTAATTGTGCAAAAAATAGGAAAAATTCCTTCTTTACTCCAAAATGGCAATCAGATTTCTCCATGGATTAACACACAGTTATCCCACGTATTAACTTGTATATTATTGAATATTCTGGTTATCTTAAAAAAAATTCATTCTCATGATGGAACATGGTCAGGAGACACACTGTTCAGATGACATTTATAATTATTATTTATCTTCCTGAACTGCATGCCCTGTTTCTTCTTCATAAATAAGAGATGATATAATTTGTTCATAAATTAATTACATGATGTACAGGAAGAAACTGTGTGTGCTGTAGATATGTTTTCCCATTTATCTATATCCCAATGCAGAAATGGCCTTGGGTGTGTCTGACTGAGATGATTAAAGGCTTCCCAGATAGAAGCGGCACTCATTACACTTTAAGTAATCATGATTTCTGTTTTCTTCTCAGTATAATTTCTGTAAAAGCTTTGCCAATTCCCTAGGCCAGTGTTGCTCAACTTCAGTCCATGAGGGTTTCAGACACAACATATTTGTTTAATGATGCACAACAGTGTTAATTCGTTCATTATTGGCAGTTAGAAAAAGCCTTTCACTGTGGTTGATTATTGACCACCTGCGGGCTAGGTTGGACAGTCCGGGTTTAGATATCATTGAAACAGGTCCCTATACTCTGGCTGAGTATATCCGTTAATAGTCTCCCGAATCCCAAGTGCTGCAGTGAATATAGCTCTCCTGTTTCCAACAGAGTAGTGATTAGAGCCCTCCAATCCCCCAAACATAAGCCTAGACTTCGTGAAGGGGTAAAACACATTGGCGGATCCAGGGGGGGGGCAACGGGGCAATTGCCCCCCCCGAGATTCCCCCCTGCTGGCTAACGCAGGGCTGGCATTGCCCAAGTGCTAGCCCTGCAATGTGCCTGCGGACCGGGGAGGAAGATCAGAGATCTCCCTCCCCGGTCCGCAGGCACTGTGCTGACAGCCGGCGGGGGAGGGAGGGAGTGAGAGAGAGGACCCGGAGCTCCTCCGGGTCCTCCTCTCTCGAGATTTGGAGCGTTGCCGCGGTTACCACGGCAACGCTCCAAATCTCGCGAGAGTGAACTCTAGCCCGGGAGCGCGGGCTAGAGCTCACTCTCCACACTGGGACCACCAATGAATCCCCACCGGACCACCAGGCACCAAGAAATGTCCCCCCTCCACCCCAGTAAAGGTAAGAAGGGAGGGGGGACATAGAATATTTATTTTTATTAAATAAAAATTTTTTTTATTATTTAAAAGCCTCCTCCCCCCCCCATTACACACACTGCCCCCCATTAAACACACTGCCCCCCCATTACACACACTGCCCCCCATTACATACACTGCCCCCATACACACACTGCCCCCCATTACACAAACTGCCCACCCATTACATACACTGCCCCACACACACTGTCCCCATACACACACTGACCCCCATGCACACACTGCCCCACAAACACTGTCCCCCATACACACACTGACCCCCATGCACACACTGCCCCACAAACACTGTCCTCATACACACTCAGTTCCTATACAGCCACACTGCCCCCACATACACTGTCCCCATACACACACTGCCCCACAAACACTATCCCCATACACACACTGCCCCACAAACACTGTCCCAATACACACACTGCCCCCATACAAACACTGCCCCACAAACACTGTCCCTATACACACACTGCCTGGCACTACTGACACCATAACTACTACACTGAGCTGTAGTGGTTATTGTGCCTGGATTATTTATTTAAATAATCTACAAGTGCCCCTCCCGAGATCAGGCTCTGGATCCGCCACTGATACACACATTGTCCCCATACACACACTGCCCCACAAACACTGTCCCCATACACACACTGCCCCACAAACACTGTCCCCATACACACACTGCCCCCCATACAGTGCCCCCATACATACACTGCCCCCTAACACACACACTACAACCCTGACATACACTGCCGCACTCACACACTTCACCCTTAACACACACCACTGCTCCTATACCCTATATACCAGCAGACCCCAGATAAGTTGTCAAACTGTTCTTAAACGGTATGACTACTTACTCTGGGGTGGAATCCTGGCACTACTGACACCATAACTACTACACTGAGCTGTAGTGGTTATTGTGCCTGGATTATTTAATTAAATAATCTACAAGTGCCCCTCCCGAGATCAGGCTCTGGATCCGCCACTGGTAAAACAAATATGTTTAATGGGAGCCACACACAGACTTTTATGTAACTCCCCATGCAAGGGGTTTCCTTAAACATATTCCAGGGGCATTAGCTGCTGGACCTGAGAGGAGACTAGTTACAATCAAACTTTCTACACACCCCTCCCCTGTGCTGGAGAGATAATTACCTGAGCACACAAACAAATAATTAAATTATCTCTCAGGTACAAAAACATACAATAAAACAAACCCCCCAAAACACATGAAAACCCCACATCCCCTAATAGCCTCAAATTGGGTGACCAACATATCCAAAAATCATCCAGATTCATTCAGTGGTTCGGGATTTTCATAGAAAGTAAATTATTTGATGACCGTGCACATGGTCCTATGCCCAAAACAGTTCCAGGAAATCAGGGCTAACGGTCGGTCTCTTTCGGGAGCACAAAAGTACATAAAACACCGAACGGAATCCTTAGGTTATTTGTGTAGCCTGTTCCCCTTGTTCGTGGGAACGTTTAAAACAAACAGTGCCTTTCTAAGTGGGGTAGAACCGAACGCAGGCAATGATGGAAGTCCAGCGATGTTCGGGAGTTTCTGTGTCCGATTTTAATTCCATGAGATTTATGCCCAAACACTGCTGCCTGCGTTCGCGGGAACAAGATGGCCGCCATCATCATACGTTCATACGAAATGCGGCCACCCAGACGAACACTTAGAACACTGCGGTGGAAATTGCTACAAAGTATCAATTGGGCTTAACAAGCTCCTGGGTGGTTTCTGGTTCGTGCGGATGTTCAGTTCCTGAACAATATAAGCCAAATTGCACAAACCAAGCCTTTTTTCAGTGTATTTTGCATGGCCCATAATCCTGGGGCAAGAGGCTAGTTAGCAGGCTCCTCCAGGATCCCATGACGAGGTTCGGTTCGTCACAATCATAAACGATATATTTTGGAATTTCACCGGTAACATAACTGTCTGCAGTTTGTATAGCAGATTATTTTTAAATAATTTGTATTTACTTTGAAAATTTGCTACTTACACCATTTACAGTTTGCATATATAATTATAACTTGCCATGAATGAAGAATCCTATTATGATAAACATTGTCTAAATGGCAATGCTAAGAGTAGAATCCATTCAGGGCTGGACTTACAGCACAGGTGCCTATAGGCACAGACCTTGACAAAGACATTAGTTTAGGTCGAAACGTTGTTCTTGTGCATTTTGGTCTAACAAACCTACTTTATATTTCAGTCATGTGAGTGCCTGAAGCCTTCTCTTGGAAATATCATGTGCTAAGGATTTGCTGGTCCTACATCAGTAAGAAACCTGTAGTGTCTAGGATTTGAGCATGGTCCTTTCTCTATCGGTCTTTCATCTATATGTAGTAATATAGGCACAGTGAGTGTGCTTCTTCTGCACCCTTACCTCCAAAACAGAATTTAGAAAAAAAAACACTGCTGTGCAAATATATGATCTGGACTTTGCAGGCTTATATAGAGCTTGTCCTTGTGCACACTGTTCATATCTTTATGCTCTTATCTACTGGATGTTTCTGATATCTTTAAAACTCTGATATATTAAATTAAATGTTTGAGTAGTGCGTTTTAGCACGTTTCAATTTGGATATGTTATGTGTAATTTCATGTTTGTATTTATTTGTCTCTGAGAATAAAATAACAAAAAATGTATACGTGATACAAAAGATGGATATTTTGCAAGCTTCTAGGACAGTAGGGTCCACTCATCAGGTTTGTTTGTTGGGTAACGTGCAGATATATTTAGGCATAGTTTACATGAAAAAGAAAAAATACAAATACATAAATAACATTCGGATGAAACTGTTCTTTTGCGATGGAAAATGATCAAAGTGGCTGAAATGATTTCACATGGATGTATGAATTTTCCTTTTGGTCAGTGTTGCTATCTGCAGATCTTTTGTGTATTGTCTCTGTGTGAAAGGATGTGTGTACCTCCTTCTTGACTGATGGGCTTCAAGGGGTTCTGTGTGTTAGTGACCATGTTTTTTTTTCACACTTTTGCTATATATTCTTTCCACTGTAACATTTTATCTTTACATGCACCCATACATACAGTATATATATTTTTTTTATATTTGTGTTTTATTGTATTTTAACACGCATGTTTATATCCATGACATTATATGAAAGCGGCATAACAAATGCAATCAAACATTAGGAAGGAGCACATTGCTTGACTATGTATACAGTGGTAGAATACAACATATAAAACATCAGCACTTTTAGGGCGATATTCACTTTTGCTGTTGCTGCTTAACGTCCAAAGGGCAAGTGATTTATTTCACTCTGCTAGGTGGGAGCCTCTGGGCAGCAAAGGTGGGTAGGGTTTATAACTAGGCCTGTGTGATACATAGAGAGGTGAAACTAAATCAGGGGCTATGCAGGACAGTTGAACTAAGCTGGGTGTGGTATTGTCTGGTTGGCGTTGACAGTAAGGGTTATGGCTTGAGTTGTAGCCTGATGACTTTAAACCTAGTTTTTGTAGCCTGGGGCAGTGATGTCTCTTCTACAGGGCTGTCTGGTGGTGTTGGGTTCTCTGGTGCTTGTGCTGCAGATGTCCACCCACCCCCCTTTTAATTAGCATGTAAGCTCATTGAGCAGGGCCCTCAACCCCTCTGTTCCTGTGTGTCCAACTTGTCTGGTTACAACTACATGTCTGTTCGTCCACCCATTGTAAAGCGCTGCGGAATCTGATGGCGCTATATAAATATCATCATAATAATAATAATTAATTAATTTTAGCTCCCACCCAATGCCCACTCTAGGTCTACCCTCTAAATAATATAATTAGGCCCCCAACAATGGGTGGGAGCGGGAATGGGAGAGGGTAGAGGTCTTCCCCCTTTATTATTAAAGGGAAACTAGGGATCAAAACAACTGTAGCAGTATGGGTGTATAGATCATTACCCTGCAGTGTTACTGCTTATTTCTCTGCCATTTAGGAGTTAAATCACTTTTCTTTCTGTCCATACAGCCCTAGTCACACCTCCCTTGGCTGTGGCTCACACAGCCTGCATGAAAACAAAATGGTTTTATTTTCAATCAGATGATGACTTACTTAAATATTTGTATCTCCAGCTCTATAAATTGAACTTTAATTACATACAGGAGGCCCCTGCAAAGTCAGGTATGCTATTAACAGAGCAAGAGATAAGAAATTGTAAATTAAATAGTATTTGCAATAAAGGAAGTGAAAACATTATATGACTCTTTACAGGAAGTGTTTAGGAAGGCTGAGTAAGTCACATGCAGGGAGGTGTATATCATATATGTATGCCTAACACAAAATAACGTAAAAAAGTAAAAAATAGGAAAGCAACATTTTTGCTTATAATAATATTTACACATTGCAACTAAATAAAAAGACTGTTAATGCATTATATGTCTAGGATCTAAATTAATCTTTGGTCATTAATGCTAACCGTATACCAAACCCCTCCCAAACACTGTACCAATTTCACCTCCGACTCTATGCTTACACTAAAGCTAACGTAAACCTACGTTAACTGTACCGCTAACCTTAATCCTACATAATCCCTAACCATACCCTAATCCTTCCTCTACTTCTAACCCTAAGGAAACTTCCCTGTACTGTACTGATATCAGCAGATGGGTTTCCTAATTTAAACGAGTGAGAGCAGTATGGTGCCACCATCTACTGGCTGTTTTTAGTATTACAGTAAGATTTCCCCATAATGCAGGCATCAAGCACTCTTTCCCAGTAGATTACACTGTAATCGGTGCTGAGCAGCAGGCAAAGCCCAGCACTGATCACAGTTTTGTATGGAGCACTCACTTTGAATTTGACAAACAACTTATCAGTCTGGGTATACTAAATACTGCTCACCCCATGTTGTAGCAATAGGCATTTAAACGCCTGTTTAAATGGTTCTAGCATCACTAAAAATGGCCCCAGCTGACAATGGGGAGTCCCAGGTATTGATTGATACATGGGTCTCCCTGGAATTTATCCTTGCCCCCACCATGTTCTAGAAGTAGGCATGTTAATACTTTTTAAATGGTTGTAGCAGCCCTCACTATGAGTATTTCATACAGCATATGTGTCAGTTTGGTGCCACCAAAGATGGCCCCAGTTATCTGTTAATATCTAGGTCTCCTGGTTTGGACAGAGATTTAACCCTGCTCACACTGTACTGCATTCAATTGGGATTTAAATACTGATTTAAAGGACTGTTTGCAGCACTCACTTTAAGTGCTGCTTACAGCTCATCTGTCCACCTGAGCCCACTAAAATGGCCCCAACTGACTGAGGGGAGCCTTAGGTAACAACTGATACCTGGCTCCCCCTGGTGTGAGCAGGGATTTAACCCTGCTCACACAAAAACGTTAGGACCTATCAATATATCCTAACTGTGTTATAGCCCAGTAGTTATAGTTAGGATGCAATGACACATCCCAATGTGTGAAGTGGCGAAAGAGACCCATTAAGCACAATAAGCATTTTCAATCACTTAGTCAGTAATATGGGTAAAACAAATACTTCTGTATAACTACATCAATGACATCATGATCAGAGAATCCAAAGAGGGTATAAAAAATTAATCACAATCAAATGTCCAGAAAGAGAGAAAGAGTTTGAATGTTAAAGGCACACTATTATCACCAGAAGAAGTACAGCTTCTTGTATTTGTTCTGGTGAGTAGAATCATTCCCTTCAAGCTTTTGCAGTAAACACTGTCTTTTCAAAGAAAATGCAGTGTTTACATTGCAGCCTAGTGATATCTCTACTGCCCAGTCCTCAGGCTGCTAGAGGTGCTTCCATCGTCCCTCTGCATGGAGACAATGAACTTTCCTCATAGAGATGCATTGATTCAAGTACTGTCTATGAGGAGAGGCAGATTGGCCAGGGCTGTGTTTGACTTGTGCTGGCTCTGCCCCTGATCTGCCTCCTTGACAATCTCAGCCAATCCTAAGCATTGTGATTGGCTCAGACCACCACTTATGATGATGTCAGCCTAACAGGCAGATCAGGGGCAGAGCCAGCAACAGCAGACTTGAATACAAGTAAGATTTTACTATATACAAGGAGGCAAGGGTGGGGGGAGAAATGACGGTTTTAACACTATAGGGTCAAAAATATATGTGTGTGTTCCTGACCCCATAGTATTCCTTTAACAAAAAAAAATACATTAAAAAAAAAATAATGACCATGTATCAAAAATTACATTTTAAGATCAAAGGATGGAAGTGAAAGAGGCAATTACATTACTTCTGAGTCACATGACTGCAGAGAATGTACTTTTAACAAAAGAAAAACAATGCCCAAGATAAGTTTCTATGAATGTGTGGGTCATTCCCATATGACATAAATGGGGAGTGTCACAAGATTCTGAAGCAACAAACAAGATGGTTCTACAAAATCAGAGGCCAAGTGTAATAGTAGCTCTGTTAAAAATGGACATAATGATCACAGACATTGTGGCTAATAAAGAAATTATGCCTGCAAGATTGAGGAGGAATATGAAGTGAAAGAACTGGCAAACCTCATCACCAGTTTAGTAATTTTTGAACCCTTGTTACAGCCTGATGTGCATGACATGTCAAGTTTGTAGTCCTCTCAAACTGATTTGCCCCAAATGAAATGCTGAATGAAGTCCAAGTGAAAAATACCTGGTTAGTCAATAGTTCTGCTTTCAATGCACTGCTGTACATTTAGTACAACAGCTAATCTCTCAAGTTACAGGAAAAGGGTGGATCAAGCCAGCTTGTGACACAGTGATGGAAGATTCCGAAGATCCCAAATTTTAGATATACCATGCTGCTGAGACCCAAATGGTCAGAACTACTGTCCATGGCTAGTTTATGGCCACCGATCCTTTTGGATCATACTTTGTTTTCATTTTTCCTTTGTTTTGTAAATCTGTGTATAAAACAGTGCACATTTGAATACTATGAACAAACACATAAGTCAAGCAACAAAATGTCAGCTGGTTGATTTCCATGAGATAAAGACAATGACTTTGGTGGACAGATCAGTTAGCAATGGCTGACTGATGGGAAATTATGAGGATCTACCAGATTTGTTGTCACTCTCAAGCGTTGGTGTTGATCAAATTGTTAAATTGCCTACTAAAAATGCACATTCATACAGTACCCCCCAAGTATGACATTAAGTGAGTGTAATCGGGTATTTAAAACAAAATTACAATAGGGTCATTCTCCTCAATTGAAAGCCTGATCAGCACAGTAGAGAGTCTGGCCATACCAGTGAATACAGTTTATAGCTGGAGAAGGACAAGTTAGAGTGTTCTACCAGATACCTGAAGGAGCAAAAGAAAGTGAGTGGAAGGCCTATTTATACATTTTCTAGAATGTATTAGAAGGGATGAATCTCTTTGGCAGATAAACTAAGTTGAGTGACACCAAAGGCTGCAACTGTGCATGTAAATCCAGGGTTTACCAAAGTTCTATTCACCAGAAATTTAAAATCTTGCCAAGTGCAGTATTGGGAATAGTGTCCATTTGGATACAAAGACCCTTTCATATAGTCTGTAAGAGCATGGGTTCTATTTGGGCAGGAGAACAAATCAGGCATAGGAATAAGATAACCCAAAACGGCCTGGTTATATTAATGATGTTCTAAGTGAGTATACTCATCCTGTCTTCTTTCCTTCCAACAGGTTTGTGGAAATCTAAAGTACCCAAAATCCATGGCTTACACAATATATATGCATCTACTAGTTTGGTTTTCAAAAACATCCATTGAAAAGCATAATTGGATTTATGGAGCCATGTTGAGAAGTCAAAAAGTGAATACTAGTATATCAAAGTTTTGTTGAATCTAGAGGACAATACACAGATGAGCATTGATGGATCTGGTTGGTGCAATTAAGGGGGGGAAGCACCATAGCAAAAGAGAAACATTAAAGTGATAGCATTAATTTAAACCAAACCAACTGTACTGTCACCTGTGTACTAGGGTATATATCTGCCATATCTACTGTTACATTAAGGTAATATTTTAATGTAATCGTTTTACTGGCAATGCTTTTTACATAATCATACGTAGAAAATAAAATGCTGAATATCTATCCTTGATTGGATAATTCTGAAATGCTATGGTGGCTTCCACTGATTACCCCAGGACCAAGGTCAGATGTTTAGCCCCTATAACATGGACTGGCCTTGCAGTGTTTAGTGACTTTAAGTAAGTTGTATGTGCACTTGAGACTAGACAGGCACATGACTTAGATTATTATTATTATTGGTATTTAAGTAATAGTGCCAGCTTATTCTGCAGCGATTAACAATAAGAGAGGAATTTACCAAAAACAAAATTTAACAGGAACAATAGGTAGTTGGGGGCCCTGCTCAAACAAACTTACAGTTTATAGGAGGTGGGGACAGTGAAGGGAACTAAAACATGATAATCAAGAGATCAGAAAAAAAAATTATTTAAAGTTTGGTTATTTTGGAACATTTAGACGTAGGATACTGCTATATGTAGCAAAGATTAAGTAAGCCAACTGGTGGTTCATTTTAGGATATCATTTATACATCCATTAGCATAAAGCACATCATAGAATCAAGATAGAGTATGCACATAAAGTCCTTTAGAAGGCTATATAGAGATAAATCAGGATGTGTCAGGTATACCTAACATTCATGCTGCCGCCGGAACCCACTTCCGGGTTCACGGCGCTTAGCTCCGCCCCTTTTTCCTGACGCGGTCTTTCCACGATACTTAGGAAAACCGCGCCAGATTCAAAGGGCTGGATTATTCACTCAGGTGTGGCAGTGAGATCAGCTGCTCTACTCGATGCTACCGGCTCCACTTCTCAGACCTCGGCTTGTAAACGGAATTCTACCTTCTCCTCTCCCAGACCTCGGCTTGTAAACGGATTTCTACCTTCTCCTCTCTCAGACCTCGGCTTGGACAAACGGACTTCCTTTCTCTCACTACTAAACTGCAGTTTGTTAAAAGAGACTCCTTCCTCTTCCTCCATTGGGTGAATTAACCCTTCCAGTGCCAGAGTGCTTCTAAGTTAAGTAAATCTTTTGTCAAGGAAAGCAAGTCATATCAATTAATTATAGTATTTAATTTCTTTAAACTCTCTGTTGACAAATAAGGATTGCTGCTAAGGCTAAAACTTCATTATTAAAATTCAAGTTGGAACTAACTTGGCATTTTCCTGATTATTATTTAAAGATACAGTCCACTGATTTCACTCCAATATAATAGGAGGTGAAACTTACTGTTCCTGCCCTCAGAAAATTCTGCAGTTGAGTTCCAATTAAAGAGGTATTACACATAAGCATCACAGGATGTTTGTTATGACTGGTTGTTTTGTAAATCTAATAATGACTATGTGAGTAATGGTGACATTAAGAGAAATATATGTAAAGAAGGATAATAGGTGGGTATCCCTTCTGGGTCAAGTGTTACTTGTTAGAAACCACTCCTCAGTTAGGTAACTTCCTATGAAATACTGGGTGTTAGGTAGGCACTTCCTATTTGAGCTTTACAAAGAGCCTGTATGTGTACAACAGAAACAACAATGTTAGTTGCGGCTCAGAATGCATATGTCTCTGTTGTCTCTTTATGTATGTAAACTTGCAATATATGTATGTAAAGCTCTGTAATGTAACTTGTACTTTTATATTACTCTTTCTGTGATATGAATTAAATGTCAATTATTATTCATTTGCTGTGTGTCTTATTCACTATATGCCACATAACCAAATTATATATGTGTCTCTTTGTATTGATAGCCATTATATCAAGATACAAGTGAATAATTTATTTTAATATATTTATTGTTTATTTATTTTCTGTACAGTTCTGTTGTGGTACTTTATAATTCTTTAATCATTTGAAATGGTATTGTATGTGATCATACATTAACTGTGAGATGACAGTTTACAGAGTCACGTTCATATCTTTACCGCATCACAGGCTGCAGTAGATATAATAAAGGGCACCTTTATGTGTATAATGCAGTTATCTACCTTGAAACAAAATAAATACAGAGAAAGTAACTGACCCTGCAATAGGACACTATTTAAAAGACTAAGACTGGTAGTGTGAGAGGCAAATGTAGTGTGAGAGGTAGGGATCGACCGATTATCGATTTTGCCAATATTATCGGCCAATATTCAGCTTTTTTTTTAAGTATCGGTATTGGCCGATAATCACCGGCAATACCGATAATGAATGAGTGTGCAGGTGCGTCCATAAGGGGGCACAAGCGGATGCCTTAGGGCGCACCGGCCCGGGTGACGTGAGATCGGATTGAGCACATAGCACTCCCTCCTGCCAGGCACTCTGTGTAGCGTGGCCGAGCGAAGCAGTGCGCAGCGCGGTACAGAAACTTATTTTTCCTGTACCCGGCCAGACTGAAAGGAAGTGCTCACTGAGAGACAGACAGAATCTCCTGTTCCGAGGTGCGCACTTTTCCGCTCGGCCATGCTACCAGGATACACACCGGGGAGCGGGGCCCAAGAAGGGGAGAGTGAGAAGGGCACTAAGGGATGGGGGGGGGGGGAATATGGGACGGGGGGTGTTAAGGATCACTATGGGACTGGGATGGTAGAACACTTTGGGACAGGGGTGGGGTGATAAGGAACACTATGGGGGTGGTTCGGAACTCTATGGAGGAGGGGGGATGGAAAGGAACACTATGTAAGGGAGGATGGTAAGGAACACTATGGGACAGGGGAGGGGGGGAGAACACATTGGGACAGGAAAAGGGGGTGAAGAACACTATTTTCTGAGGCAAACAGAATGCAGAGTTACAGCTTCAGGCTTAAATACAGTAAGATTTTGCTATATTTATGGAGGCATGAGGGGCCCAGGGGGGCTAGATGGGGGTTTTAACACTATATGGTCATGAATACATGTTTGTGTTCTTGACCCTATAGTGATCTTTTAAGGGAGGACACTAAGGTACAGAGGAGGGAAGGGAAAAGGAACACTGGGGTAGGGGGAACTACTAAAAGAGAAGGGAGAGGAACAGGGGAATGGGGGGGGAGGGAGGCACTAAGAGACAAGTAAGGGGGTCACTAAGAGACAGGTAAGGGGAGGAAGGGAGTTCCTACTGCACATATTTACACACAAACACACTGCATCCACTACATAAACACACACACTGAATCCACTACACAAACACACACACACTGCATCCACTACACAAACACATTGCATCCACTACACAAATACACACACACACTGAATTTACTAATCAAATACTCTCACTGCATCCACTACACACACATATAAATATTCTTGAAAACTTAAAAAAAAAAATCTGACTGGCATGTATATTTTGTGCATTTCCCACTTAATAAAAAAAAGATAAAAGAAAATAAAAATATAGAAATGTACATAATATCGGTAAGATATCGGCTATCAGCCTGAAAGTTCACAGATTATCGTATCGGCTCTAAAAAAAATCAATATTGGTCGATCTCTAGTGAGAGGCAAAACAAACAAAAAATGAAAAAAAAACCAACAACTTTATTATACTTTAAATAAGAAGAGGACAAACACAAAATAACTTGTCAGTCAGCCTGTCCACCATTTTTAAGGGTTCACCCTCCCCTTGCACTTCTGCCGGCTCAACTCTGTTCCAGGAGGTCAGCAGGGAAAATTGGCAATTGGTATGTAAAAGTTCATGGATAATTTGGTATGAGTACATGTGGCTAATTAATTGTGTGCATGGATAATTCTGAAAGCGTGTGTGGCTAATTAGGTGTTTGCAAGTGGCTAGTTATCTTTGTTTTCCTAATCGTGGCCAGTTATATTTGTTTTCATAATCGTGTCCCCAGTTTAAATCGTTTGAATCAGAAATTATTCCAAATTGTTCGAAAATAAACTTATATTAAATATTTATCAGTAGAAGTCACCATTAAAGTCTACGGGAAATTTTGTAAATATATCATCTGACAATTTTATTTTCTAACAGACGGGAATAATTTCTAATTCAAACTACTTAAATGGAGACCTATGTTTGTAGGGATAACAGTTCCCCATAAATTGTAAGGATGGACCTGCTGATTGGTGTATTTAGCTGCAGACAGACCCACAGCGCGTGTGATAGATACTTTGAATGTATCTTTCTTTATTTTATTTAACTTTTTTTTAAAATCTTTTTGCATTATTTTGGTAATGCATTACCTATGTAATCTTTTAAATTTGGGTTTAATTTTACCTAATAATTTCCCTTTAACAATAGATTTGCATAATTTCCCTTTAAGTTGCCAGCTTTGATTCAGGGAAGAGTTATCAGATCTAAGCAGGGAAAGCATATGGATAATGTATTCTGCAAGATTTAATAATGGATTTTATTGCAGTAATGTTCATTTAAAGGACACAGCATGTCTTATTTGCTGGCCCCGCATACGCTTTGCCTCCTTGGCTGACATAATCAATTATGATGATTTCAGCCAATCCAATGCTTTCCCATAGGAAAGCATTGGGATACTGTTGCGCATGCACGTCAAAATACTGAGCTGTGCCAATCAGCATCTCCTCATAGAAATGCAGGCCATTGAGACGTTAAACATCAGTGCTACACATGGGCCATCTGAGTGACTGCCACTGCAGTGTTTACATTAAAATGCCTGCAGGGCCAGGCTATAGACAACAGAACAACTACATTAAACTGTAGTTGTTATGTTGACTATAGTGTCCCTTTAACTTGACTACTCACTTCTTTTTGAAACAAGCAAAAAGTTATAAATCCACACATGCAGAACATTATGTCACACATAATGCAGATGTTGCAGTGTTTTCCCTCCTGCACTGTTGCAGAGCACAGAGTGTGCATGTTAACTAATTGCATATCTGAAGCTTTGCCCAACCCTCCAGGCACCTGTTGCAACTTAATACGTGTTCCAGGCATCAGTGTCAGGAAGATTTCCAAAGCAGCTGAAAATGTCAAAATGATATGTTTGTGTACTTATTCAACACACGATCGCCCCTCCTTGCTTTTCAGCAGGAGGTTTACACATAATGACTTCTGTAGTTTGTTTAACCTTATTTCAAATAACTGAAAGTCTATATTTAAATTCTAAAATGTTGCTATTTAATGTATACACTGTATACATTGATAGATACAGTCATATTTGGCCATGTTGTCTTTTGCTTCAATTCACAAAGTACTTCTAACCTTCACTTGCAAAACTATCTACAGCTGTGCTGTCATATCACTGCCATTTTAACAAGTACTCAGGACCTCTGATTTTCTCACAAACACTCTTTTTTTCATCAAATGTTATTTCTGAAAATATTTGCTTACAGATAATGTTAAGTAATGCTTTTGGTAAAACTCAATGTATGTTATAATTGCTTTTCTATTTTTGTGTATTCCTCATTCTCGGGTCCTCTACCAGAGGCCTGGGACTCTGAGGGTTCTGCTCAGTATATTAGCTGGTTCTAGAATTGGACAACAATCTCAAATGTCCCACCTCCTGACTTAAGGGAGTTACTTACAGCCCTGAGTGTTCCTATGACAACTGGGACTACTACTGCCTTCACTTTCCACATTCTTTCTAGCTCCTCTTTCAGTCCTTGGTATTTGTCCATCTTCTTATGTCCCTTATTCTTGATGTTATGGTTACTGCCATAACTGGGAAGTTGATCCTCATGGCTCATAAGCTTGTTCAATGATGCATGTTCTTTTGTGTATTCTATTTGTGACAATAGTAGTTTTCTCTTGACTATGTTGACTAGCTGTTTTAGTGTTAGTGTCGTTGATGGTCTCATATATATATATATATATATATATCACATTCATTGTGTATTACACAATAAATCTCCATCTACTCTGCAGTGCTCTAGGTACCTTTTCATAAAATATATTTCTCCCTCTTTCCATATCAACATTTCGACCTTCCTGTCAGTGGCGGCTGGTGAAGTTTCAAGATGGTGGGGCATGCCCTCCTGATTAGTTGGACTCTACCCATTTATCCTCATGATATGCCATTCCCTGTTCAAAACCATCTGTATTTCCAGTCATCAATAAAGGAAGGGAATGGAAACTGCAAATATAATCATGACAGACATATGTTTTTTTAACGCCCTCACGAGTAGGCCACCCCACTTGCCCTTATTGTCTTTTTTCCTTTCCCATACAATCTCTCTTCCTACTTCTCTTCTTTTAATGCCAGCTTCTCTTACCTCATCTTCTATGCAGTTTTTTCCCTCATTCCATGCCTCTCCATCTCCCTTTTGGGGGCCTGCTCTTCCCTTTCAGCCGGTGAAGGAATGGCAATATTGGTATCCGGGTTATACAGAGCTGCAGAAGCCGGATGCGTCTCAAACTCCTTTCTTGGAGGCTTGGCACTCGGCAGGTACCAGATAAATGGCAAACCTTTGCAAAGTGGTCTGCCTCCTTACCAGTGGGCCGTTGTGGTTGTGATGCGTGGATTGACCATTTAATAGACCTTGTTACCTTCTTACCTACTATCATCTTTTAATGTTAAAAAGTTTGGTTAAGGACATTAACCCATTTTTAGAATTCAGGACAACCCTGGAACAGAACAGAATCCACATAGTAAAAAAAAGCAATTGCAGGAGTACAACAGAGTCCAGATAAAAACAAGGCAGGTTACCAGGATGCTGGATAGATGCTATGTAAATAATCTCTGTCAAGGAACATGCTCCATGTGAGTGACTGCTGAAGGGATCTTACAGCTTGTAACTTGATAGCATGCAGTACTTGGAATGATGGCCATCTTGGTAGGGACTGGGGCCCAGGGATACAACCGAGCCCAGCCTTTTAATAAGTATCTCGCCAGCAATTGGCTGGAGAAGCTGGTGCATGTCTGGAGCCAGGAAGGTATCAAAATCTATTGGTTATACAAAAAAAACAAATCCACAGGAAAGCTAAGCCTTGGGGCAAGCAAATCAAAATAACAGAAGCCAAGTTTAATTGCCAGGATAAATGCGGTCAAGATGACACTACTACCCAAACTACTCTTTGTGTTCCAAACAGTACCAATACAAGCCCCACAAACATTCTTCAAGGCATTGAAGGCAGAGGTCCGCACGTTTATATGGAAAGGCAGACCCCCACGCATAGCTGATACCCAGCTAATCCTACCCAAACTCCGAGGGGGCCTAGCGCTCCCCCCGATTTTGAAAGATACTATCACGCAGCACACCTTACACGAGTCATCAGCTGGACGGTAGCCAGCGGCACAAAACCATGGACCCAACTGGAATCCGATACCACCAACTGTGACCTCCGGACACTGCCTTGGATATCCGCGGCGGCGTACAGGCGCAAAAGCATCACTAACCCCTTCATGGCGGCAACCATGAGGGTCTGGCACAGGCAGGGCACAAAACACTACCAGACGACAGATCCAGGCCCGCTGTTGCCACTAAGAGGCAACCCAGACTTCCCAGCAGGCGACCTTGGCCCCACACCGGGCCCAGCAGGACACCCAACAATTCCTCGCATGGCAGACGTCCTTGTGCACCCGTTCGGCATTCGGCCATTAACAGAACTTTTCTCGGACAGACCACTCACTTTCTCGCACACACTGGCGAGAGCGCAAATCTCCCAATATGCCCGATCCATCCCGCAAAAACCATCCCTACTGAGGGAAACTACACAATTCGAAAACCTGTGCACGCGAACCACAGAAACACCCCGAGCCATCTCACAGGTATACACAATAATGGTCACTAGTAGGTACATATTGGCACCGCCCTGCATAAGGAACTGGGAAGAAGACCTAGACGAGACCATGTCGGAAGCGGACTGGGACAAGTGCATCACCCTAATACAAAAAACACCAAGCTCAGCATGCCTGCAAGAAAACTCTTACAAGATACTCACCAGATGACGCTCCACGTCAGGAACCCAGGTATACCAGACACCTGCTGGAGATGCGGGGAGGAAACAGGCACGTTTCTACATATCTGGTGGGCATGTGCACGGCTCCGGCCCTTCTGGGACACAATTAGAGATATAATATACGAAGTAACAGACAAGATGCTCCCGGGGTCCCCAGCCGCCTTTCTCCTCCATCACACCAACATGACCGCGCAGACATACATCAGATCAGTAATACCGCGGTTGCTGAACACAGCCAAAACAATCATCCCCATCTACTGGAAGCAGGTAAACGCACCTCCGATAACACGATGGCTGGAAGAGGTGGAAACCACCAGGAAATTCGAAGATATCAAGGCAAACACTCCGAAACTTAGGGACCGATACACCAAACGCTGGTTTCACTGGATACGATTAACCGCATCAAATGACTTTCAACGCCGCCTGGTCACACAGTAACCAGAAAGGATGAGACAAGGAAGGCTGCGATTGGGGACCGGGCGGGAGGCGGAGGGAGGTGGCGGATGGAGGCGGCAGCAGGGGACGGAAACACTCATAACCCCCCAACACCCTCTCCCACCCCGCCCCCCTATTTCAACCCCCAACCACACCCATTAACACACCTCGAAGGACAGACACAGTAGCAAAACATAACCGAAAGGCCTTAACAAGGCACCCCCACACAACGAGACTGACAGGCGACACTACCAGAATGAAGCAAACCTACACAGCGCCACAAGAAACTCAACCCTCAATGGACCCATAGACAGCCAAGACACAGAGTGGGGCAACACCACAGACAGCACAGGAAGGAAAAACATACATGGGAGACACAGAACCAAAAGTTGGCCACGCCACATACACACACACCTAACCAAAGCCCTTAAAACCAGACACAAAGGGGAACACCCATCAGAACACGTACAGTGACAAACGCAGTGCACAAATAGACGCACAAGACCATGGAACACCAAACTACACAAAGCAACAGATATTCAGACGCACAGGTAGCTTGCAAGCACAGGCACCAGAGCAAAACAGTACAAGATTAAGCAGAAACACTCAAAACAATATTCACAGATGCAACTGTAATATAGATACACTGCAAGTCATACAGATGTAAAATGCGAGTAACTAATTATACATATATCTGCTGTATTATGCATGCAATGACCAACCAGCCTCTGTGTAGGTGACGTAACGCAAACAAATGTATGTAATGCAACCTTGCGCCCCTGCGTGGGCAACCTTTACTTCACTACTCACAAAGATGCTACCTGCACATGTGTTATGACAACAATAAAAATATTCAAAACAAGTTTAATTGCCAGGAAATTAGGGACAGAGAACCAGGGCAGCTTAAACACTGTAAAAAGTTTACAAAGACACCTGGAAAACGGACCTGGAAAAGTTAACTAGGCACTGGCTTATAATTAAAAGGTCAGCCAGAAACTGCTGTGGTCCTCCAGAAAGGCAGAGAAAACAACGTTGAGCACCCTGGTGCCAGGCACTCTGCAGTGCTCTAGTTTGCAAAGTACAATTAAATATCCCCTAGTGGTTTAGGACCTCACTCAATGAATGATCCCAGTCAATGGGCATGGCTCTGCTTAGCTCAGTGGAGCTGACTATTTCTCCTGCAAGATGATTTGACAAATTATCCTGGGAGGAAATCAGGACACTCAAGGCACCATAAATACAATAGTGGGATTTAGTGGTTTTGGTCCTTGGAGTGTTACTTTCAGAAAAAAAAACCAACAGCATGGTTTCTTCAATATCTTTAGTATCATGCCACAATGAATCAAAAATATTTTAGGAAACTACATGGTTTCTACTTGTTTGGAAACCTGAAACAAATTATGTTTACATTTTCAGCATGAAACACATTTTTATTATCATTGAGTTTGGAAAATAGCCCTGTTTAGTATTTTAATTTAATCTGTATAGAGATTTGAATTTGTTTAAAGCTTGCAATCATCTATTAGTACAGAGGTAAACTTCATTAAAAAAAAAAAACAACTTGAATATTAATCTAACTCATGCTGACATGGTACATGCTATTTGCTCATTGCATCTCTCGCAAAGTCGTTACAGGAAAAATCCAAGCAACATAACCACTACAACGTGCTGTAGTGGTTATGGTGCCAGGAGTGGTCTGGTGCCCCCTCCTAATGTACGTAGTCAAACTGTATCGTAACTACAGTGCATTTTGTGGCACAAAACCCACATTCTGCAGAAGTATTAAGATGCAAGTTACAGGCAGAAATTGCCATTAGATGGCAAATATTGTGTCTGCAGAACACACTATATAAATGTGGAAAAGGAAGAGGCTTCATTATTCTTTTTAATTTCTTCTTTTGTGTGTATTAAAAAAAAAAAAAAAGAAAGTTGACTTGAGGTTTCATTTTATTTTTTTTATTTTTTTGGATCCATTTAGTGTTGAGATGTACTAGTGCTCATATGGCTTTTATGATAATATTCAGAAGCTAATCATTACTGCAGTGTTGAAGGTATTCAACAAAATGGTTCCATTGTTTTCCGCAGGGATTGCGCCAGAACTGGTTTAATATGTATACCTCATTGAATGAGGATGTTTCTTTTTCTAAATCTGAGCAAAATATTAAATTGACAGCTAGATACTGCTAAACAGAGAATAGTTGGCCTGTATGAAAACATTGATGGGCAGTGACTTTTTTTATTTTTATCTTACTGGTTTAAATAACAATTCTACTTTATTACAGGTTCATTTAACAAAAGAAGACGAAATTCCGTTCTTGTTACCGTTACCCTCCTCATTGTATCCATATTAATTTTTGCCGTGGGTCTGGCTGCCACAACCAGAACGGAAAATGTCACAGTTGGAGGATACTACCCAGGGGTCATCGTAAGTGTAAATATGATATTATAATTTTTTTCTCACCTGCTGTATGTTGTTTTGTAAAATACCTTGCTAATGTTAGTGCCTTTATATATTTTATGGATAAAACCTGAGAGGAATAATATGGAACTTTGCTACAGTTTAAAGTTTTTACATTATTATCTGAAGGTTTTGCTTGGGCAATAATTCATTTTGTAAGTCATTATCATTACATTGTAACATAGTTACAGAGTAATATTGACTAAAAAAAGACTAGAGTTGGTCCATCAAGTTAAAGGACCGCTATAGGCACCCAGAGCACTTCAGTTCAATGAAGTGGTCTGGGTGCCAGGTCCCTCTAGTTTTAACCCTGCAGCTGAAAACATAGCAGATTCAGAGAAACTACTGTTTCACTGAGGGTTAATCCAGCCTCTAGTGGCTGTCTCACTGACAGTCGCTAGAGGCGCTTCCGCGATTCTCCCTGTGAAAATCACACTGAGAAGACGCTGGACGTCCATAGGAAAGCATTGAGTAATGCTTTCCTGTGGGTGGTTTGAATACGTGTGTGGCTCTTGCCGCGCATGCACATTCGGATCTGACATCGGCAGGGGGAGGAGAGGTCATCAGCGCCGAGGGAGCCCGGCGCTGGAGAAAGGTAAGTGGCTGAAGGTTTTTTTGCATTGTTGCCTACGCAGAGGCATAATATGTCAAACAAACAAAGGTAAGGCTTATTACACATTTCATAGCAATTCCGACTTAGGTAATGATGGGCAATTCATAACATCTGATAGAGAACAGTTTACCCACGCAGGGGAAGTATATTTGGTAGATGGCCTGAAATGCAGGGTTGTTACATCAGTAGCCTTGCAACATTAGCCTACGCAGAGGCTTATAATGTATGATCCCTGTGATTATTGAGGCCGGCATTTTTGTTTTTTATTATACCCTTCTTAAATTTATTTATTTATTTAGCGCATTGTGTATGTGGGCTCATAGGGCATAGCAACTGTGGTGATATTGCTTTACAATATATTGCATAGTGGTTGCTATTGCGTACATTCCATAGGGAATTGGTTAGCAGATGTTAGAGTGCTATATAATGTATCTAGGTCAGTTTTCGTAGAGGTTTAAAGCAGGACGTCTCTGTTAGTTGCCTTGTAGGAACGTCCATGTTCAGAACCCGTGTCGTGGTGCCCTTGTGTTATTTCTCTCGGTTCGAGGCTGTCACCGGGTTGGGGTCAGTTGGGCTATCTGTGTGTCTTTGTGTGGTTGTGGGTGCGGGGGGGGTGTTCTTGTGTGTGTGCCGCTGGTGGTGTTAGTTTAGTAGTTTGGGGGTTAATGGCTTATGGTCCCTGTGGGTGGGGGACTCATTTGGCAAGCTTCTATGGGTAGTGTCAGCCCCCCTTTATCTGGTGTGGTGCCCTGGTCCTTGAGTCTGGTCTCGTTCTCCCTGGATCTCGGTCTCATCCTTCCCATATCCACGTTCGGGGTTCAGTGTGGGTTGAGGGCAGGTTCGTGTCTCGTGTTGTGGGTGCTGAGGTGGCGTGTGGTTGTGTAGGGGGGAGGTCTTGGGTGTCCTCCTGCCTCCTTTCCGCTTAAGCGTGATGTTGTCTCTTGTGTCGTGTGAAGGTTAGGTCGGTGGGGGTGGGTCGGATGTTCTGTCCGGGTGTTATAGGGCCCGTTATAGGCTGGTCTGGTCATTATAGTTGGCTTTTGTCTAGATCGGGCTTGTCAGTGGTACATCATGGTGATGGGTCCGTGTGGTGTTGTGTGTGGTGAGGTGCATCTGGTGAGAGTGGTATGTGGTCCAGGTGTTAGGCGTGTATGGTTGGTGAAGGGTGTGGGGGGGGGTGGGTGTCTTGCGTCGTGCAACGTCCTGGTCTGGCTTCTCTGTTCATTCCAGTTTGTGTTTTTGTGTCCCCCGTTGGTGTCTGCCTGTCTTGGACGTCTTTGTGAGTGTGGTGGGGGCAGGCGGGTCCGCCTTGTGGTATGTTGGGGGCCTGGCAGAGCCCCTTAGTGCGTCTTAGTACCCTTTCCGTCTTGGGTGGTATAGCGTAGTCCTGTGGTGGTATGTCTGTGTTTGTTCTGTCTTTGTGTTTTGTGGGGCTGTATGTCACGTTCCTGGGGGGGGGTTAGGGGTGGGGCCTCATCAGGGGCCTCGCCAGCACCCAGGCCCCTCCTCGGTACAGTCTGTTGCAGGTGTTTCCGTTGCTGTCTTCGTGTGTCGCTGCCTTGGTCCTCAGGTGTACTGTCTCCAGGTGTGTGTGCCGTAATCTCCTGGTCTGCGGGGTGTGTCGCCCTGTGATCCGTAGGCCCTCAACCGTCGTTGTCTGTCCTTCGTGGGTGTGGTCCTGGGTTTTGTCTAGTGGTTAGCCATTGTAGCCAATGGAACCATGTCTTCAGGTACGTCTCGGGTCTTCCTTTTGCTGTCAAGATCATTTCCTCTATGGTCCTTATGTCTTCTACCCTCGTTATCCAGTCCATCAGGGTTGGTATTGTGGATTTTTTCCAGAATGTTGGGATCAGGCTACGTGCCGCGTTCACTAGGTACGGGGTGATCGTTTTTTTGTAGGTGGGGGGCTATAGAGGTGTCAGGTGTAGTAGGTAGTTTTCTGGCGTGAGTTCTATGGCGTTGTCTGTGAGCGTTGTAACCACCTGGTGTATTTTGTGCCAGAAAGGTTTGATCCGCGAGCATGTCCACCAGATGTGGTATAGCGTGCCCAGTTCGGTTCCGCATCTCCAACCTTCTGGTGTGCTCGTGTCATACATAGTAGCGAGTTTCTCTGGTGTTTTATACCAGTGCGATATCATTTTGTATCCCGATTCTTGGTGCTTATGGAGGTTTTGTGTGTCATCGTGAATGCTGTGGTCCATTGGTCTTGTGTCAGCGGATGCCCAAGGTCTCTTTCCCAATATCTGGTAAAGTAGGGAAGTCGAGTGTCCTGTGGTGAGTTTAACAGTCGGTACAGGAGTGGTATGGCGTGCGACATAGGGGTGTCTTGCGTACGAATGGCCTCAAATGTGGTCAGGGGTCTGGCTGCCGAGGGTAGGTTGGGGATTCGCTTCAGTGCGCTCACCAATTGGAGATATCGGAATTTAGTCATGTGGTCAGGATGGGTGGGTAAGGGCATTTCCGTTAACGGGGGAATGGTCCCGTTCACTAGGATGAGTTGTAGCCTGCACAGGGATGGTAGGCCCAGGTTAGTCATGGTCTGGGAGTTGTTGATCATGTGGAATTGCGTTGTGCCCGAGAGTTGGTATAGAGGGGAGACAGGGGGGGCGAGGTCCAGATTTCCTGCCATCCTGCTCCACACCTTCAGTGTGGCCGCTATCGTGGGGTGTCTAGTGTCATATCTTCTCGTGTAGCCTGGGAGTTGCCACGAGAGCGAGCACAGTTCGTCTTGTGAAAAGCTGGCTTCTATGGCTATCCAGAGTTTCTCTTTTGTCCCCAGGGTCCATTCAGTTATGAGTTGTAGATGAGTGGTCTGGTGGTACTTGATCAGGTCCGGGAGTCCCAGTCCGCCCTGCGGTTTGGCTTTTGTAAGGATGTCGTAGTTTATCCTGGCCGGTCGGTTCCGCCAGACATATTTCGTGAAGGCTTTGCGAGCCTGGACCAGGAAGGATTGCGGGATAAGGATTGGGAGCGCTTGGAGCACATATAGGAAGCGCGGAGGGACGTTCATTTTAAGAACGTTTACTCTGCCGAGCCAGGTGATGTGTGGTACATCCCATTCTGCTAGGTCTTTGAGTACGCGTTCCAGGATGGTGGGTAGTTTTGCCTAAACAGGTGGGAGGGGTCTGCAGTGAGCCATATGCCTAAATATTTGAGTTTGTCCTTGCGCCAATAGAGCTGGAATTGTGCTTTAAGGGTCGTGATCAGGGTGCGGTCGCATCCCAGGTGTAGGATCTCCGACTTGGAGTAATTAATGCTGAGGTTGGATAGTGAGCCGTACTTTTCGAATTCCTGCATGATAGCCGGGAGTGACGTTTGCGGGTAGGCGTAGGCTGATTTTGCTTTCCCCCATTTGCCTTTTATGCCCCCGATATCCGGTCTGGTGCGGATCGCGTTCAGGAAGGGTTCTAGGCTTAACACGAACAGAAAAGGCAAGAGGGGGCAGCCCTGCTGGGTGCCGTTGTGTATCTGAAATGGTGTAGATAATGTGCTGTTCACTTAAATTGTGCAGACGGTCCATTGTATAGAGCTTCTATCTACCTCCTCATGTTTGGTCCAGTCCTAGGTGTTGTAGCGTTGCGAAGAGAAAGGTCCAATCTACCCTGTCAAATACCTTCTCCGCGTCCGTGGAGATCAGGAGTGCGGGCATCTGTTTGCTCTTGGCCGCCTGTATCAAGTTAATCACTTTGGTGGTGGTGTCTCTAGCTTCTCTATTGCTGATGAACCCTACCTGGTCTGGATGGATCAATTGTGGCAGGGTTGGTTGGAGTCGGAGTGCCAAAACCTTCGCAAATAGTTTCAGGTCGGCGTTCAACAGGGAGATTGGCCTGTAGCTCGTGCAAGTCGTGGGGTCTTTGCCTTCTTTGGGTAGCTTTGTTGTGGTCGAGGGTCCCCCCTTTTCTGAGTGCGTTAATCATGTTCAGTAGGTGCGGGATCAATGATTCGCGGTATGTTCTGTAGTATTTGATTGTGAAGCCGTCCGGGCCTGGACTTTTCCCATTTTTGGCCATTTTCAGGGCCTGTGATATTTCTTCCGCTGTGATCGGCTCCTCCATGGCGTCGGCCGTGTCTGTGTCCATCGTGTTGGTGAGGTACTCGTTTCGTTTTTGGGTCTTGGTGGTGTCCGACCCCTCCCTGGCGTCATCTTGGCTGTGGAGGTTGTATAGTTCTTCGTAGTAAGTGCGGAATCCTTCCGCTATTGATTTCGGTGTGTTGTGGGTGGTACTATTATGTTTGATCTCAGATATGAAGCTTTTTTGTCTGATTTTCCTCAGGGCTCTCGCTATTAATTTCCAAATTTTGTTACCGTATTGGTAGAAAGTCTTCTGCGTTTGCCTGAATTGAAATGTGATCTTCTGAGATAGGTTGGAGTTGAGTTTTGCCCTGGCGATGACTAGTTGTGAGTATGTATCATTGTCCATGGTGGACTTATGTTGTTTTCCAGGTCTGCCACCTTTCGTGCAAGTTCAGCGGTTTCTTGGGTGTGTTATCGCTTGCGCTGCGCGCCATGTCTTATCAGGACGCCCCTGATCATACATTTGTGTGCTTCCCAGATCTTATCCGGGGAGGAGTCCGGCGTGCTGTTTGTTTGGAAGAATTGGTCTATGTGTGTTTTCCCCTCTTGTTGAATTAGGGGGTCTTCTAGTAGCGATTCGTTCAGTCTCCAATTCCAGTGTTTCTGGAATGGAGTTGGTGAGGTGAGTGTGATGATGACCGGGGCATGGTCCGACCAGGTCATGGGGGTTATCGTTGCTGTAAGGAGGTCGTCCAGGTGGCGGTGCTGGAGGAACAGACAGTCAATTCGCGAATATGAGTTGTGGGGGGCGGAGGGCACGCCAGCAATCTGACAACTGGAGTTCGTGTAGGGTGGCTCTCATGCCCTGGAGGACATGGCTCGGGAGGGTCGAGTGGCCTGTTGAGGTGTCCAGTTTAGGTTCTAGCGGTGCATTGAAGTCTCCTCCGAGGATTAGTTTGCCGTCACTGAAGGAGTCTAGCAATGCAAGGGTTTTCCCTAGGAAGGATTTTTGTCCCTTGTTCGGGAGGTATAAGTTGGCGAATGTGAATCGCGTATTGTGTATAGTACCTTTCAGGAAGTGAAATCTGCCTCCTGGGTCCGCGAGCTCCTCTTCTTTGCGGAACGGTATGTCCGCCGCGAAGAGTATTGTTACGCCATTGGTCTTGGAGTCTGGATTGCTGGAATGGAAGCTCAGTGGGTAGTGTTTATTTGAGAATCTGGGGTGTTTGGCTGTTTGAAAGTGCGTTACTTGGAAGAACGCAGTGGAAATGTGCAGGGATTTCAGTTCTCTCAGTGCCCTTGCTCATTTCTGTGGGGAGTTGAGTCCTTTGGCGTTTATCGTGTAGATTCTGACGTCCGATTGGGGTGTCTTCTTGTGTCTGCGGGAGGGGGGGGTGTAGCCGGGGAGGAGCCATGTTTGCACAAGCGGGCGCATGGGCTAGCCGCGTTGCCCTGTGTTCGGGGGGGGTGGGGGCGTGTGGTCTGGGGGGTCTCTTACGTGCGTCCGGCGGGCCCCCTCTGGTGGTCTCCGCTGGGGGCACGCGGGGTAGTGTTGTGTGTTGGTGCAGGAGTGTGGCTTGTGTGTGCTGAGTGTTATGAGGGCTTGATTGCCGATTGTCTGGTGTGGAATGTTTCTCCCTGGTTGTTTTTCCTTACTGTGTTCGGGACAGGGGTTAGGGGGCTGATTGGGGTGTCGGGTAGTCGTGGGTTTGTCGGAGTTCTGAGTAGCTTTTGCTAGGTATTTCCCTTTGTCTGTTTCTCCCTGTGGCTGCGGAAGCTGCAGTTGTGTTGATTGTGTGCGTAGGAGGTTTAGAGTGAGTTTGAGGCGGTCTGGATCTTGGTCGTCCAATGTGTAAGGTCTCCCTTTGTCTGTGTCCCTCTTCTTCGTCGAGATTGGGGACAGTAGAGTCGGTAAAAAGGGGTGGTCTGCCTCTAGGATGGGGGCTCACATGGGGGTTGCGGTTCCAGTGAGCTCGCCCTGTGGGAGGGCAGTAACCGTGGGGGTGTGGGTGGCGAGTCTCTGCACTCTGGCAAAGTCAGTGGGTTGTCGGTTCGAACAAGTGTTGGAAGTGTCCGAGCCTTGCCGTCAGGGCGCGTACAGTTAGTATAGAGACTTTAAGTAGCCAGTAGTAACGCAATTTGTGCAACAACGGTTGCATTTAGCCTTAACATTGAGCAATTAGTAACCCTTTATCTAGGAAGTGTCGGTATAAACAGTTAGCGATAAAGATCCATGTTAACCTTAACATTTAGCAGTTAGTAACCATTTATCTAGGCTTCGTTAGTTTAAACGTTTAGTTGTGCAGACCCGTTTCAGCCTTAACATGTAGCAGTCAGTTACCATGTATCTAGGCTTTGTTAGTATAAACATTGAGCGATATAAATCCGTGGTAACCTTAACATTTAGCAATTAGTAACCATTTATCTAGGCATTGTCAGCTTTAACATTTAGCAATCAGTTACCATTTGTCTAGGCATTGCCGGGATAAGCATTTAGCGCTAAAGATCCATGGTAACATTAACATTTAACAATTAGTAACCATTTATCTAGGCAGTGTCAATTTAAACATTTGGTTATGCAAACTGTGTCATCCTTAACCTTTAGCAATCAGTTACCCTTTATCTAGGCATTGTCAGTATAAACATTTGGTGATAAAGATCAGTGTTAACCTTAACCCATTGGGTCGGTAGTGGGTCGGGGTCTCAGGATTTGGTCGGGGGAGGGTAGGGGACTTTCTCAGTGGGTCGTGGGGTTGCAGTCGGTGTTCCCTCCCAAGCAATGTGGTCCCTCGACCGCCTCCCCCATCCACTGATGCCCTCCGCTGATGCCCTCGCCCTCAAGTGGTCCAGTGTAGAGAGGGTAAGCAGTTATACGATACCACGTCCGTGTGGGGGGGAGCTCCCAGGGTCTGCGTTGGTGTGTGGCGGCTCCATCAGTTCTGGAAAAGACCCTTTCAGATCCGGCATTTCTAAGCTTTGGTAGATAGGGGGAAAGTGGGAGGAGGTGGGGGGAAGAAAAAAAAACCCAATCCCCCCTCCTCCCTGTGGTATGGTCCGCGTAGTCCCATTTGTTAGACTGTCGAAGTCTCTGCATAGTTTATGGGAGCAATATAGGCACAGGTGGCCTTCTCGCTGTTGGAGGTGCCGTGTGGGAGGGAAAAGGAGAAGAACAAAGAGATGATCCGTGGTAGGGTCAGCGTAGTCGTGTCCTGTCTTGCGTGGGTTGTGGTGGTCATTGCAGGTCCATTTCCAAGGGGTAAGGTGTGCTGGGTGGTTCGCGGGGCATCTCTTGCGTTGCTCATCTGGTGCGCCCGCCACGGGGGCTCTGTGTATTACTTCTTTTATTGAGGGGGCAATCAGTCCAGTCCCTTACCAGGGTGGCCGGCAGTCCCAAGGTGTCCAGGAAAATGGCAACATCCGCTGGGAACCAGATTGTGGCTTCTATGTTGTCTTTGCATGCCTTGAGCCCGAACGGGAAGTGCCACCAGTACCTTATCTGGTCGTCCTGGACTAGTGTGGTGATAGGGTGGAGGGCCCTGCGAGTTTGTAGGGTGAGATGGGAGAGGTCGTTGTACAACTCCACAGTTTGGCCCTTGTACCGCCAGGATCTTTCCGTCCTTGCTTCTTTCATGATATCTTCCTTTAGCTGAGTTTCTTGAATGTAGCAGATGACATCTCGCGATGGGGCTGATGGAGGTGGCTTTGGGCGGAGTGCACGGTGTACCCTATCTATATACAGACGTGCTTCTGGGGGTCTGTGCAGTATCAGGTTAAACAGCGAGATCAGTATCTCCCTGTCAGGTATAGCATGGCATGTAATTTATCGCCGGAACCCACTTCCGGGTTCACGGCGCTCAGCCCCGCCCCTTTCTCTGACGCGGTCCCTCCACGATACTTAGGAGGACCGCGCCAGATTCAAAGGGCTGGATTATTCGCACAGGTGCTGCATGAAGATCAGCTGCTCTACTTCTGATCCTACCTGCTCCACTTCTATACCTCGGCTAGTAAACGGATTTCTACCTTCCACTTCCCTCGGCTAGTAAACGGATTTCTACCTTCTCCACTTCTCGACCTCGGCTTGTAAACGGATTTCTACCTTCTCCACTCCTAGACCTCGGCTTGTAACTCTGAATTCTACCTTCTCCACTCCCAGACCTCGGCTTGTTAAAACGGACTTCCCCACTCTCCACTCCTAGTTCTCAGCTTGTTGAAACGGACTTCTAATTTCTCCTTCATTGGGTGAATTAACCCTTCCAGTGCCAGAACTGCCTTTAAGTTAAGTAATACTTTTACCAAACAAGTCAATTACTATTATTTATATTACACAGTATCTAAAACTCACTAAAGTGTCACTTTGTCTAATTATTCCTCTTACTCATAAGGGATTGCTACAAAGCCTAATTTTACCTACATGGATATTTAAAGGTACAGTGACCATAGTTTCATACCAATATAAAAGGAGGTGAACCTTATTGTTGTTGCAACCAAGAAATGCTGCAGTTGAGTTCCAATTAAAGAAATATTACAAAATAAGTATTACAGAATAATCCAGCCTTTCAATGGAACCAGCAGATATTAACTCTCAAGTTTCTGCCCTAACCAATAGAGTGGATACGATTGCTCAAGGGTTACAGGAACTGCAAATTACAAATGAGAGAATATTAACCTATGTTAGAGACATTCAAGGTCATCTTCCTCATGCCGCTCTTCAATCGGCTGGTGATCCTGCTGTCTGTAATCCAGAAAAATTTCATGGAGATAGAACAAAGTACAGAGAGTTTTTGAATTCTTGCAAACTACTAATTGCTTTAAAACCTAGATCTTATCCCACCGAAAGATCCAAAGTCTGTTCAGTGATCTCTTTTTTAAGAGGTGAACCTATGGCATGGGCCCATTCCTTTTTGGAAAATGATGATCCCATATTGGATTCATTGGATGAGTTCTTTGAAGCTATGTCTTTATTATATGAAGATCCTTTTAAACAAACTACTGCTGATTTAACCATCAGAACATTACACCAAAAGAATAGACCTGTTGAAGATTATATTGCAGAATTCAAAAGATGGGCTACAGAAACCCAATGGAATGACATTACTTTACGCAATCAATTCCGTCTCGGATTATCTGAAGCTGTGAAAGATGAACTCTCTCGTACAGAACTTCCTCCTACCTTAAATGCATTGATTCAACTGTCTATCAGTATTGATAGACGTCTAAGAGAAAGAAAAGCTGAAAGGGTTCTTACTAATTCTACCTGGAGAAAACCTTTCACTACTCTAAAACTACCTGAAAAAATTCCTCCACAAACTGAACCTATGGAAGTAGGTATAATAAAAAGTCCTCTTACTTCTGAAGAAAGAATAAGAAGGAGACAACTAAACTTATGTATGTATTGTGCTTCGAATGAACATCTAATTTCCGAATGTCCTCTACTGAAACATTCAAAAGGTGGTAAGCTTCATTCATCTACCTCTATATTGAACGTTTTTCAAAAAAGAAAAGCATCTACTTATTTTTCTATATCTCTCATATTACAGTGGGATACAAAAAGAATCGTGACTGAGGCCATCATTGATTCTGGTGCTAATGGAACTTTTCTTGATTTTTCTTTTGTTTCAAAAAATAAAATTCCTTGTGTTCAAAAAACCAATTTTATTCCAATCAGAGTTATTGACGGTTCATTTATATCCTCAGGACCCATCAAAGATGAAACAATCCCTCTAAGAATGATTACCAACAACGTACATTTCGAATTCATTACATTTGATATTATTAAATCTCCACTTTATCCCGTCATTCTAGGAATTAATTGGTTAAAAAACCATGATCCTTTAATTAAGTGGTCTCCCTTCTCCATCTCCTTTGCTTCTGATTTCTGTAAAAAAACGTGCTTACAACACATTCCTATTCTCCAAACTACTGTAGAACCAGTTATACCTCCATTCTACTCCGATTTTGCAGATGTCTTTTGTAAAAAAGAAGCGGAAACACTTCCTCCTCATCGGCTATATGATTGCCCAATAGATCTCATACCCGGAGCTCCTATTCCTTATGGTCATATTTATCCACTCTCTGAAAAGGAGTTAGAAATTTTAAAAGAATATCTTAATGAAAATTTACGCAAAGGGTTCATCAGACCCTCGACCTCTCCTGCTGCTTCTAGTATTTTCTTTGTGAAGAATAAAGACCAAACCATCCGTCCTATTATAGATTACAGAGCCTTAAATAAAATAACTATTAAAAATCGTTATCCTCTTCCACTAATAAATGAATTAATTGAAAGGTTAAGAACTGCAACTATATTCACTAAACTCGACCTTCGAGGCGCATATAACCTCATTAGAATAAAACAGGATGATGAATGGAAAACCGCCTTCCGGACAAGATATGGTCTCTACGAATATCTAGTGATGCCTTTCGGGCTTTGTAATGCCCCTGCAACGTTTCAACATTTTATCAATGATATCTTTAGAGATCTTCTGGATGTATGTGTTATTATCTACTTAGATGATATCTTAATATATTCTAACAATTTGGATGAACATAGGAAACATGTTAGATGGGTTCTATCTAGACTGAGAACTCATAAATTATATGCTAAACCAGAAAAATGCCTTTTTGAGGTTACTGAATTCTCTTTTCTAGGATACATTATTTCACCTCATTCTTTGAAGATGGATAATTCCAAAATCAAATGTATTATTGATTGGCCTGCTCCTACTACTACAAAAGAATTACAAAGTTTTCTTGGATTTGCAAACTTCTATAGAAAATTTATTAGAAACTATTCGGATGTATCACATCCTCTTAACCTCCTCAACAGTAGTAAACGTCCTTTTAATTGGAATAAAGATGCTCAAACAGCCTTCGACGAATTAAAAAAAAGATTTACAACTGCACCTATTCTACAACTACCTAATCCAACATTCCTATATGTTCTTGAAGTTGATGCATCAGATGCAGCCATCGGAGCAGTTCTTTCTCAACAAAAGACTCCACAAGATCCACTTCATCCAGTTGCCTTTTTTTCAAGATCCTTGAGCTCTGCTGAAAAAAATTATCCTATTGGTGAAAAAGAATTATTAAGTGTTAAAGCTGCCTTCGAAAATTGGCGTCATCTTCTGGAAGATACAAAACAACCTATAATAGTTTATACTGACCATAAAAATCTTGAATATCTCTATACTAACAAAACCCTTACAGCTAGACAAGTTAGATGGAACCTATTCTTTAACCGATTTAACTTCCAATTAATATACAGACCTGGAAATAGAAATAAAAAGGCTGACGCTCTTTCTCGAATTCCTTCTAAAACTACTACTGATGATTATCCTTCTACCAAAATAATAGGAATCCTCTCTTCTCTTCATGATGACATAAAGAATTTGAATCAGAAGGATCTTGAACTTCCCAAAACACCTATACTAACAAAAAAGGATGGTCTATTTTATTTTAAAAATAGAATTTATATTCCTCCCATTCTTAGGAATAAATTACTTAAGATGGTTCATGATTCCCCCCTAGCTGGACATCCTGGAATAAAGAAAACACTTGAACTAACTTCACGATATTATTGGTGGCCTCGCCAGGATAGAACCATTGCATTATATGTCAAAACATGTCCTATCTGTCAAAGGTCTAAACCAGAACATAATCAACCTTTTGGATTACTACTTAACTTACCTATTCCAGAAAAACCTTGGCAATCCATTTCTATGGATTTTATCGTTGATCTTCCACCTTCTCAACATTTCACCACTATTCTTGTCGTTGTGGATCGCTTCACAAAAATGTCCCATTTCATTTCTTTAAAAAAATTACCCTCCTCTGTAGAATTGTCTAAGGTCTTTATTGACAATATTGTGAAACTTCATGGTCTTCCTGAAGAAATTATTTCTGATAGGGGGACACAATTTACCTCCAAATTCTGGAAAGAGATGTGTCTCTCCCTTCAAATTCAACGCAAACTCTCTTCCGCTTATCATCCCCAAACTAATGGGCAAACAGAAAGGGTTAACCAATGTTTGGAACAATATCTTCGATGTTATTGTTCATACCTCCAAGATGACTGGACCACATGGTTACCTATGGCCGAATTTTCTTACAATAATACCATTCATTCTAGTACGAAAATGACTCCTTTCTTCTCCAACTATGGTTTTCATCCGTCTTCATTCCCCATCCAAACCATTACTTCATCCAATCCTACTGTTACATCAAAAAATGAATTTATGTCTTCTCTATTTTTCAAATTACGGGAGAATCTTCAACTCGCCCAAAATAACCAGAAAAAGTTTTTTGACAATAATAGAAGAATTCCCCCTCCTTACAAGGTAGGGGATCTTGTCTGGCTCTCTTCAAGGAATATTACCACAAGCCGTCCTTCAAAGAAATTGAGCTCTCTTTTTCTTGGTCCCTTTCAAGTAATTACTATCATTAATGATAACGTTGTTAAACTAAAACTTCCTCCAAGTTTTAAACTTCATCCAGTATTCCATGTCTCCTTACTTAAACCACACATCCCTGATCCTTTTTATAGGGAAATAGTAACAACTCCTGAACCTATCATTATCCAAGGTGAAGAAGAATATGAAATTCACAAAATTTTGGATTCTCGTGTCCACCGTGGCTCCTTACAATACCTTATCAGATGGAAAGGTTATGGAGTTGATGAAGACACTTGGGAAGATTCATCTAATGTACATGCTAGGAGGTTAGTTACTGCCTTTCACAAACGCTATCCCTCCAAACCGAAATAGTGCACCCAGAGGTTGCCCCATGGGAAGGGGGTACTGTCAGGTATAGCATGGCATGTAATTTATCGCCGGAACCCACTTCCGGGTTCACGGCGCTCAGCCCCGCCCCTTTCTCTGACGCGGTCCCTCCACGATACTTAGGAGGACCGCGCCAGATTCAAAGGGCTGGATTATTCGCACAGGTGCTGCATGAAGATCAGCTGTTCTACTTCTGATCCTACCTGCTCCACTTCTATACCTCGGCTAGTAAACGGATTTCTACCTTCTCCACTTCTCGACCTCGGCTTGTAAACGGATTTCTACCTTCTCCACTCCTAGACCTCGGCTTGTAACTCTGAATTCTACCTTCTCCACTCCCAGACCTCGGCTTGTTAAAACGGACTTCCCCACTCTCCACTCCTAGTTCTCAGCTTGTTGAAACGGACTTCTAATTTCTCCTTCATTGGGTGAATTAACCCTTCCAGTGCCAGAACTGCCTTTAAGTTAAGTAATACTTTTACCAAACAAGTCAATTACTATTATTTATATTACACAGTATCTAAAACTCACTAAAGTGTCACTTTGTCTAATTATTCCTCTTACTCATAAGGGATTGTTACAAAGCCTAATTTTACCTACATGGATATTTAAAGGTACAGTGACCATAGTTTCATACCAATATAAAAGGAGGTGAACCTTATTGTTGTTGCAACCAAGAAATGCTGCAGTTGAGTTCCAATTAAAGAAATATTACAAAATAAGTATTACACTCCCTTAGGTTTTCTGGGCCTATGGGTTCGCGGAGTCCTCGTATTCTAATATTGTTCCTGCGCAGGCCTGCCATAGGAGTGATTGGGGTGATGTACCTGCATTGTGGGGCCTGCATTTTCCAGCGCCGTCACTCTTCCCTCCAAATCCTACAAGGAAGTGCGCAAGGAGGCGATCTCTGTTCTGAGGGTTGTTTTAACCTCCTGCACTATTGATTGGAGGTCTTCTTTTTTTGGCAGGGAGGTGAACAGTGCATACCAATCCAGTGTGGGATTCCCCTGATCTCGGGGACCGGCGGCAGTGAGCAGGCTGTCCTCGGAGACAGTTGATCCTGGTAAGGAGGGTGCCATGTTGGAGGCCTTGTGGTGTGAGGCAAGGAGCCCCGGCGTGTGCAGGTAGCTGCGGATGGAGGCAGACGGACCCTCACCTTGCGTCCTCTGTGTGGTAGGGGTCATTGTGGATCGCTTTGTGCGGCCCATTAGGTCTCTAGGTGTGCTGATGTGTGCGGATTTTGTCGGCAGGGCTCGGAGCACGGGGATAACGCCGCCATTCTCGTTCGGCACCAAGCCTCGCCCCGGCTGAAGGGGTTTTAACCCATTCAGTCCAGCGGGAGGGGGGCCCTGAGGGTGGGGGATACCTAATGACCCTATAGTGCCAGGAAAACGAGTTTGTTTTCCTGGCACTATAGTCGTCCTTTAAGTTTTTCATATATTTCCAGAGATCTAAAAAAGGTGACAACACCAAATTTGAAGGGATTGTACTTGTACTTTTGGAACTGTAAAAGGCCCACAGTTTTCCCTTTAAATATCACAAAAAGCATCTCTTCGCTCAAGGTCGTATCGCAGTTAGTTTGCAACCATCTTCCTCAGTGTTGTACAAAGCAGTTAATATGGAGGCAAATCTCGGATTTGGCTATACTCTATAGGTAAATCAACAAAGTAATGTGTTGTAAACTGACTTATACTTCCAGGCTCAGCCATAGCTGCTTCAGGAGATATTAATTGTAACTCATGTTTTCTTTAACCATTGGTTACTGTTGCTTACAATACAATATGTGAGCAATACTTATGTACATTGTTGGTGCATACAGTAATTTTAAGAGGTACAGAGCATGGAGAGCAGAGATGGGCTGTGAGCACAGGCTAACTCTCTGTCATGACTACTAATGTGATCCAAAACGCAAAACTATGCAATATCTACATATAACAGAAAATAGACAGAACGTAAACCGGTCCTTAGAATGGCCGGATTAATACGTTGAAAGACAGAGAATGGTCAAGTAAGCCAGAAATACAGAAGATTGATAAGAAAGCCTAGTCAGGAAAAACCAGAGATCAGAACAGTCAGGAATATCAAGGTCAGAATACCGGGAATATCAATAACAAGGACAAGAAAACGCACTCTCGGGAACCAGGAACAGAAACCACGACAGGGCAATGAACTAGGGAAATTCAGGTGTTTAAATATCCCTCCTTGGGCTGTGATTGGTCAGGGCTTGGCCTCTGACCCCAGAACGTGCGTGTGTCGACGTTGTGACGTCACACGCACAGTCACGTAAACTTTAAAGGCCGAGCTACAAATGGTTGGGACCTCGTGGTCGGCACCATTTTGGATCCCGCGTGTGAAGGGGATGGATGCCCCAGCGTGTCGGCTCCTGGCTCATTGCTGAACAGATATTTCCTCAAACCTGTCAGCGTGGTCGCACCGATCGGGTGTGACCACGTGGAGAAGCCAGCTGAGGCCGTGACACTCTCTCCACTGATTAGATGAAATGGCAATCGATGATGTGGAAGTGTAAAATCTACATTATTACTGCAACATGACCTGTTGAAGGGGTGAAATAATAATTTATGCAGCCAACGTAGGCCTCGATTTAATATTACTGGATAAGCTTTTCAAGTGATTTAATATTTTTGGATGATCTTTTAAAATAATTTTTCAAACTATTAAAATATATAAACACATATAATATATAAACAACTATCAAAAATTGAAAAAATAAAATATTTTTCATAATATTACATCTTTTTAAAATGTATCCAAAAATATTAAATCAATTTTAAAATTATCCAACAGTATTAAATCAAGGCCCTGATGTCTCTTTCTTGTTTAATTAACAGTAATAAGGTAAACAAGAAAAACTCACAGGCACTCCAAATGTGAAGCTGCAGGCAAATTTATTGCAACAAAATGCACAGCAACATTTCGACCTAACAAGCTTGACAAAGACCTCCTGTTAGGTCGAAACGTTCCTGTGCATTTTGTTGAAATAAATCTGCCTGCGGCTTCACATTTGGAGTGCATGTGAGTTTTTCTTGTTTACCTTGTCGTGTTGGGATTGCTGGTCCTGCTCTGGAACACCTGTGGCTGTTGGGAGTGAGTGCGGTTCGTGCGATCTACCTTGCTAATTAACATTAACGCCACAATAAGCAAGATTTGCACCTTCACTTTCAAAGTGATAGTTATATTGTGTAAATCCTAAGCTTCAAATCCCAGTAAAATACATTTTAACTACTATTTGAGGAAGCATCCAAAATAAGGGCTGAGGTTATATATTGAAGAAACTGTACCCTTTGCTGTCTACATAATCTAGCAATCAATTCCATGCCATTGTACTATTTGAAAGGCAATCCGTGTTAGAACCATAGCCACCGTAACTCATTGTTTTCCCTCGGTGCCATCTCCTAGTTTATGTAAAACTACCATTTATTGGTGCAACACTTTAAAATATTTGCAGGTCGATTTACTAGAGCCTCCTGGGAAAATAAAGTGTCCCAGAATGTGTATGTAAGCTGTTATGTCAGAAAAAGAACCTCCCATGTAAGTGTGAAAACTCCCATAGTAAAGCATAGAAACTAAGGTGGTGGTTCATATTTAATAAATTGACATATAATTGATACATTTACAGATGTATGCATATGTGAAGGAAACAGTAGGGAACAAGGTTATGGAACTATATTTAGGCCAGTCATTTTCATGACTTAAAGCATCTAAATGGACTTCGTAAATTTAATCAACCCATTTAGCAGCAATAACCAAATCCCCAAAACTCTGTGTCTTCAACACAATGACGTCTATTAACTACAACAACCAAGCAATAATAAAATATCATATCCAGCAATATAGGATCCCAATATCCAACTTAAAGGACCACTATAGTGCCAGGAACACATACTCGTTTTCCTGGCACTATAGTGCCCTGAGGGTGTCCCCACCCTCAGGGTCCCCCTCCCGCCCGGCTCTGGGGAAAGGAAAGGGGTTAAAACTTACCTTTTTCCAGTACTGGGCGGGGAGCTCTCCTCCTCCGATCCTCCCCTCTCCGCCCCTTCGGCTGAATGCGCACGCGCGGCAAGAGCTGCGCGCGCATTCAGCCGGTCACATTTTCAATGCTTTCCTATGGACGCTTGCGTGTTCTCACTGTGATTTTCACAGTGAGAATCATGCAAGCGCCTCTAGTGGCTGTCAATGAGACAGCCACTAGAGGAATTGGAGGAAGGATTAACCCTATTATAAACATAGCAGTTTCTCTGAATGGGTTAACCCTAGCTGGACCTGGCACCCAGACCACTTCATTAAGTTGAAGTGGTCTGGGTGCCTAGAGTGGTCCTTTAACACAACATTGCAAGGATCAAACAATCAAAGACAACACCTGAGTGAAAAACACACTTTTAACACCTGTACAACATGCATCATCTAACTTTCCACCATGTTTCCATTTGAAACTTTCTCCATCATGAGAAAATAGATTGTCTGAAATGCAGCTGCATCCAACACTGCTGCAAACCATGAATCCTAAATATACCTAAACCGAGTATTTGACCCTTTTTACACCTGTCTTCGAGATCAAGGTGGGAACAAAAGAGTTATGATATAGTCAAGATAACTTAAGAGTAATTTTCTACCCCATCCCACACAGTAGCATCTGTTGATATGAATAAAAGCAATCAGGTTAACCTCCCAAGTGAACATTTTTAATGCCACCCAGTTTGATTGTGGTATCTTATGTCCCTCTATATGTTGTTCCTAGAGTTGCCACTACATACACACACTCACGCATACAGATCCACACAGGTACCTCCCTTATCACTCCTGTATATCCATGCCCCAGCTATCTTCGTCATCACCCTTGGATCCCCATTCCCCCAGGTATCTCCCTCACAGCCCAGTGTTTCTTAATACCTCCAGGTATCATATTCACTCTACAGTGTATAAGGGAGGGTTGCTTCCTTAGCATCATAGCCTCACAGTGTGTAACACCTTGCTCTCAGTACCTCTGCAACTCATGGATCCAGTCACTCATGTCCATCTTGTCTGTCATCAGAATGATGAACGAGAATGAGAAATGGGCAGATTGACTTACGCAGAGAGGGTGTGTCCAGGAAGCATTCATACCTTTCTACTTTGTGCAGGTGGCCTGTGGGCCACAGTACTATACTTAGGGGACTTCAGTTTGGCCCACTTGCCAGTACTTTGAGATCTCTGATTTATAGACCATATGCTAAGTTATGTATTATTTCATTACAGTTAACGTAATTTGCTATATTATGACGTGGTTTTACTTCAGGCATATGCAACAAAGGTACACAAAAACATACAGCACAAATGCTACTTCACTCCTGGACATTTTACTGGACCATACATCACTAACTTTACAGAAATGATATTTTATATGAATACTATGGAAATGATGGGTGTTGCATTAACAGTCATATTTTATTACCTTACAATTAAAGAGCCTACACAGGCACTTCTTACAAAATTGAACTGTTACTGAGAATCAGAAATGAAGAGGTATGGTGGCAAGTTTGTTTTTAGAGGATGTGCCTTTTTACTTCTTGTTCTTGTGTCTCTTATTTGAGATTTAATTACATAGTTGAATTACTTACATAGTTGAATTAATTACCTATCACAACAACCAACCTGTTCCTCTTGAATATGTAATTATTGGATCGTAGCAGATATTCCATCAAGAATGTCGTAGCATTGCAGATATGTTAGGCCACTGTTGGTGGATGGATGAAACTTTGTCACAGTAGCTTACTCGTCTTAATGTTTGCACTTTAAGATATTCTGTATGCCTGGACCTATTATTCTCTTGATAATTGGCGGAGGTTTGCGATCTCTGGGTTTGGAAGCATCAGCTGACTACCTTGATTTAATGCTGTGGTGTGAGTGCAGTCCCTCTTCTTGTTTATTGATTATGGTAGTTGGAGGGCATCAACAAGACGTTGTCATTAAACCATTCAAAAGTGGATTGAGAGTTTAAGGTAAGACAGTGCTCAGGACCTTCAAAACACATAACTTTAATGAGATTAAGTTGTTATGGTGCCTTGAGTGTATCTTTAATGAAGGTATTTTAAAATAGTTAAAATATTATATTACAATTGAAGAATGAGTCACTGAGCATATTTTATGATTGAAAATGAAGTTGCCAAGCTAATGCCAAGTATATAATTTGTCAAAGATTAAGAGCCTCTGTCTAATATCAACATCAAGTGAAGCTTCAATGTACTGTAGCTGGGCTTCTCTTCCAGTCAGTTGAAGAAAAAAAGCTTTTGCTTATTGCAGGAGATTCTTTGTGCACCCAGTTGCTAGAGTGTTTTACTGTGGCATTGGCTCCGTCTGAAGTGATGAGTTTTGCTCATATATTGGGCCTGAGTTATTTATAGTAAAGGGTTTATTTACTTAAAGGAACACTATAGTGTCAGGAATACACAAATGTATTCCTGACACTATAGTTCTATTAGAGCTGTTTAGGTAGCCGGTCCCCATGTTCCCTGTTAAAAAGTTGTTTTACTCACCTTATTTCCAGCACCACGTGAGTCTTGTCGTGGCTGTTCCCGCCCCCACTCCGCCTCCTTGGTTGAGATTGTGATGGTAGTCACCATCCCTGGGGATGGAAGACAGACACTATGGGTGGGCTCCCAAATTCCTTTTGTGTTTTGTGTTTTGAAACATTGTGCCTATTATTTGTGCAGGGTATGTTGAATGTATTGCTGGTCTGTGCATCTCCCCCTCCCCCCTTTTTCCTGTTCTATTGTTTCCCCAGCAGGGCGTTGTCCCAGGGACACTGCCAGACCAGTTTAATCTAGCTGCTCTGTCCCTCCTCAATCTCCAATCAGCCCTTGCTATTGTCTGACCCCACCCTTCCTTGTACTATAGTAATCTATGTAACCTATTGTATTTAAATGAGGCTGTTGGGGGCTTAAACTATGTGTGCTGTATTCATTAAAGAGTTGCTGTTTAACCTTCACCATGTGTCCTCTGGTCAAGCCTTGGCGTTTGGGTCTGAAGTGTTTCAGGGTTCCTGATAGCTACAAGGAAGCAGACTTGGCGGAGGTACTCGGTCGGAGTACTGGAGCTCCGTTACATTGGTTGGCAGCGGTGGGATGGCTTCCTAGCAGCTGGAGAAACGTCCCTGGACACCGGCGCCTCTACTGGGATCCCACTGTGCTTTCTGGAATTCATGGAAATGGATAGAGCTAGCACCTGTGGAGAATCCCCATCTGAGGAGGAGTTACAGCGGAGGCTACAAGCAGCTCTGTCCCAGTACGATGGCCCTTTCTTAACAAGGGGTGAACTGGACCGGCGGGACTCGATCCGTCGGGATCTCTGGAACAATGTTCTTGAGGAGGTTTGTTGTCTCCGGGGAGAATCCCTCCCAACCATTATGCAACGATTTTGGGATCAAGTTGATTTGCGGATGCAATTCTTGGGAGAGCAGGCTCTGGCGGAATGGGTGTTTAAATTAGAGGAGCTGGTACAGAAAGAATTGTGGCTGGATGATTCTTACCGGGCCTTAAGGTGGTATGCAGTCTAGCAGTACCCATTTCTAGCAGATGATGACCCTCCAGAGGGTGAGGACTATGCTGGCCCTGGGAGGCCTTTGAGGATAAAATTGAATTGGGAAATCCTGAGAGGTCCAGGAAAAATAGGGAACACCTACTGGATCTCTCAGAAGCAATTGACCTGGAACCTGATTTGACCCACCTGGCCACCATGGAGTGGGAGCTTGAACTGGATTACAAGCAATTGTTTGATTCTGCACAGCAGCAGGTACCAGAGACTGGGAATTTAATAGACCTTACATCTGAATATGTTGGTCAGATAGATGTGGAAGGAACTGTATTCTCCACACCTGAATCACGGGGATACTGGGCAGCCATCCCAGATCTCCCACCTCCTGGCATGGAAACTCATGCAGCAGAGGTAGAGGTTGTCGGTCTCCCCCTTCAGCAGCAGATTGAGTTACTGGGAATAGAGGTAGTCGATCTCCCTCCCCAGCTGAAGTTTGCGTTACAGGGAGAGGATGCAGTTGGTCTTTTTCCCCAGCGGCAAAGTGTAACCCCAGCAGAAGAGCTGGCATCAGGACAGAGGACCACTGGCCTCTGCCCCCAACTTGCAGCAACGCCGGAAGTTGAGAGCAGGGAGGACAGCCTTTCGGTGATGGTGGAACTTGAGGAGTACACCACCATCCCAGCTGAAGCACTGGCATTGAGTCAGAGCGCTGCTGGCCTCTGTGCCCAACTTGCAATGACGCTGGAGTTGAAGAGCAGGGAGATCAACCTTCTAGTGAAGGTGGAGTTCAAGGAGTGTGCAACTTCCCCAGCTGAAGTGCTGGCATCGGGGCAGAGCTCCACTTGCCTCTGCCCAAACCCACTGGTAATCCGCAGAACTCAGGTATCAGACACTGCTGGTCCCACGGAAGAGCGGATCCCAGAGCATAGCACGGCTAACCTCAGCCCTTTGCCACAAGCACTGGGGGATCTCTATAAATGGATGGGACTCTGGTCTCTACCTGTAGTCCCCAGGAAGGCTGGACAATGAGCTCCGATCCCCAACCCCATGTCAGAGGGGGCCCAGCCACTCTGCCTTCCCTCCACGGCTGAGAGAGATCCAGGGAGACAGGACAGTGGGCACGCATCGCCAGGTATATGCTTTAGTAGATGTAGAGGTCGGCTGGGTATGTGCTGCTCTTCCATGGGCAATTTGTTTGGGATACCGATTCGGTGATGGCCTTGATGATCTGGATGTAGTCACTAACTTCAGAATCAACTCGTCTGGCGTCTCCTGTATTGGTCTCCTTCTGAAGGGGGAGAAATAAGCTAGAAACTATTCTGAGCTGGATATACAGGGTTCCAGAATTGCTATTGGGGTCTATGGGGGTCACATTGGCCCCCTAAGAGTGGAGTCATATGGGGTTAGGTTTGAGTTTGGGAAGGGGGCCATGGCAGATTCACTGGGAACTCCCTTTCTCCACTTCCAAGTCCCCTCTTATGTCTAAGGCACCCTGTGCTTATTATAGCCACAGGGTGACCGAGAAGACCAGTCTGGCCTGCCCAAACCAGACTTCCACAGACTGATCAGCTATGTGGGCTCCATGCTCCCGACCGGGACAAACTTACAAACTATGTGTAACTTTGTCGAGAAGGCTGCCAGGATGGATGGACTTTTTAGGACTTATTACCCGACTAACTCAGACACAGACCGATTGGAGGTCTGGTACCTGGTTAGTCTATCTTTCGGGGGGAAGATATGTGACGGTAGTCACCATCACTGGGGATGGAAGACAGACACTATGGGCGGGCTCCCAAATTCCTTTTGTGTTTTGTCACATTGTGCCTATTATTTGTGCAGGGTATGTTGAATGTATTTCTGGTCTGTGCATCTCCCCCTCCCCCCTTTTTCCTGTCCTATTGTTTCCCCAGCAGGGCGTTGTCCCAGGGACACTGCCAGACCAGTTTAATCTAGCTGATCTGTCCCTCCTCAATCTCCCATCAGCCCTTGCTATTGTCTGACCCCACCCTTCCTTGTACTCTAGTAATCTATGTAACCTATTGTATGTAAATGAGGCTGTTGGGGGCTTAAACTATGTGTGCTCTATTCATTAAAGAGTTGCTATTTAACCTTCACCATGTGTCGTCTGGCGTTTGGTCCAGGGTGGAAAAGGCCCTAAGTGATCCCAGTCAAGCCTCGGCGTCTGGGTCTGACGTGTTTCAGGGTCCCTGATAGCTACAAGGAAGCAGACCTGGCGGAGGTACTCGGTCGGAGTACTGGAGCTCCGTTACAGAGATCATCAAACTTGATGATGTCATCCAATCCAATGCTTTACCATAAAAAAGCATTGGAGGCTATTGCGCATGCGCGGAAAAAATGCTGCGCTGTGCCAATCAGCAGCTCCTCATAGAGATGCATTGAATCAGTGTATCTCTATGCGGAATGTTCAGCACCTCCATGCTGGGTGTGGAGACGCTGAAAATGAGTGACTGCCACTAAAGGTGTTCCTAGGCAGTAATGTAAACAGTGCCTTTTCTCTGAATATGCAGTGTTTGCATTAAAAAGCCTGCAGAGACATGCTATAGACACTAGCACAACAACATTAAGCTGTAGTTGTCAATTTGAGTGAGAATTCAAAGAGAATTTCAAATTGAAAGGGTTACTATAACCCTTTTGAAAGGTGGAACCTTTCTGTCAAAAAGTGCCCTACTGAGCAATATGGGGAACATCCCCCCCCCTCTCAATTTGCAGTAAAACCTCCAAAGAAAAGGTTTTTCTTTGCTTAAATCCTTCCCCAGAAGAAGCTCCCGGAACTGTTTTTCTGTACCCCCATCCGACATCACTGGGACCATGCGTGGTCCAATCACAGGCTTCTCATAGGAACAGTGTTCTGGGCTGCCTAAGTTGCATGTGCTGGGGCTGCAACTATCCTCCAGCACACAATTAACAATATCTCTGTATGTGCAGTGTTTTAAATAGAAACAATGCACGTAATGACTACTACCACCACCATGACCATTTCAAATCACTGAAGTGGTGATGGTGGTTGGAGTAACACTTTAAGGCCAAAGTAGCTGAACTGAAATCAAAGCTGACATAGAGAGGTTTTCCAATTCTGCAATTTTGACTTAAAGGACCACTATAGTGCCAGGAAAACATACTCGTTTTCCTGGCACTATAGTGCCCTGAGGGTGCCCCCACCCTCAGGGACCCCCTCCAGCCCAGCTCTGGAAAGGGGAAAAGAGGTTAAACTTACCTTTTTCCAGCGCTGGGTGGGGAGCTCTCCTCCTCCGATCCTCCTCCGTTCCTCCTCCTGGGCTGAATGCGCACGCTCGGCAAGAGCTGCGCGCGCATTCAGCTGGTCACATAGGAAAGCATTCATAATGCTTTCCTATGGACGCTTGCGTGCTCTCACTGTGAAAATCATGTGATCTGAAAATCACAGTGAGAAGCACGCAAGCGCCTCTAGTGGCTATCAATGAGACAGCCACTAGAGGATTAGGGGGAAGGCTTAACCCATTGATAAACATAGCAGTTTCTCTAAAACTGCTATGTTTATGAAAAAATGGGTTAACCCTAGCTGGACCTGGCACCCAGACCACTTCATTAAGCTGAAGTGGTCTGGGTGCCTAGAGTGGTCCTTTAAGCAAATAAACCCTCAAAATGTTCAAATACTTGCCCTATCACATGAACAGCAGCATATTAAAGGGGTAATCTGGATTATGGAATTAACCACCGGAATAATTGCTTTATTAATCATTCTACTAATCTGAACCAATCAATGTAGTTCTTTTTATTGCTTTATTAAATATAGGTTTGTTTTTAGTTTAGATAAATCCAGTATCCAAAAGTAATCCCTATTAAAATACATCAGTTGAGAATTTGATCCATTCTGTATTGCAAGCCTGCTTGCTATAAATATGTTAGTGACATATCCTCTCATCTCACACATTATTTAATTTATCTGAGCTACGTAAAAGCCAAGATCATCAAATATTAAAAGCCTGTTTAAACTTGTAGAAGATATGTTGCTGGCACCAAGTCCAGTTTTATTGGCAGATATTTTACGCAGACTTATTTAATAAACTTTGATTTTGTTATTTTTAATGCACATATTTACAGAACAAAGGATAAGCAAGATTACTTTAATTAAACTTGTGCATTTAAGAAAGAGAAATCGGCTCACCAGAACTATTCATGGTTTTTCTTCCATTGTATCTTAGTTTTGTTACACTAAATTAGTAATATAGTTCCTCTGAATTTTGCTTTGGAAATTTTGTTCATTCACAACATTTGGACACCTTTTAAATACTACCGTATAGAACTCATGGTTTAAAAGAGGAACCTGGCAAATGGTAGCTTGTGCTATTTCTTCTCACCATGGGATATGAAGGTCAATATATGAGGTAGTAGGCTACCATCTCCAAGCTCCCGTCGAATACTGAAGCATATGGGGCGTGGGGGAGGTGTAGGAAGCAGCCAAATGATTCTTCCTATGCTCTTTACCCATGCATGATTGATGAAGCATGAGGGGAATAGTTTTATACAGTTGCAAGAAAAAGTATGTGTATTCCCTTTGGAATGATATGGATTTCTGCAAAAAAAAAGTATTCCCTTTGGAATGATATGGATTTCTGCACAAATTGGTCATAAAATGTGATCTGATCATCATCTAAGTCACAACAATAGACAATCACAGTCTGCTTAAACTAATAAAACACAAAGAATGAAATGTTGCCATGTTTTTATTGAACACACCATGTAAACATTCACAGTGCAGGTGGAAAAAGTATGTGAACCCTTGGATTTAATAACTGGTTGAACCTCCTTTGGCAGCAATAACTTCAACCAAACGTTTCCTGTAGTTGCAGATCAGACGTGCACAACGGTCAGGAGTAATTCTTGACCATTCCTCTTTACAGAACTGTTTCAGTTCAGCAATATTCTTGGGATGTCTGGTGTGAATCGCTTTCTTGAGGTCATGCCACAGCATCTCAATCGGGTTGAGGTCAGGACTCTGACTGGGCCACTTCAGAAGGCGTATTTTCTTCTGTTTAAGCCATTCTGTTGTTGATTTACTTCTATGCTTTGGGTCATTGTCCTGTTGCAACACCCATCTTCTGTTGAGCTTCAGCTGGTAGACAGATGGCCTTAGGTTCTCCTGCAAAATGTCTTGATAAACTTGGGAATTCATTTTTCCTTCGATGATAGCAATCCATCCAGGCCCTAACACAGCAAAGCAGCCCCAAACCATGATGCCCCCACCACCATACTTCACAGTTGGGATGAGGTTTTGATGTTGGTGTACTGTGCCTTTTTGTCGCCACACATAGTGTTGTGTGTTTCTTCCAAACAACTCAACTTTGGTTTTCATCTGTCCACAGATGAATATTTTGCCAGTACTGCTGTGGAACAGCAGCAACGTGCAGCAATGTTTTGTTTGGACAGCAGTGGCTTCCTCTGTGGTATCCTCCCATGAAATCCATTCTTGTTTAGTGTTTTACGTATTGTAGATTCGCTAACAGGGATGTTAGCATTTGCGAGTGACTTTTGTAAGTCTTTAGCTGACACTCTAGGATTCTTCTTCACCTCATTGAGCAGTCTGCTCTGTGCTCTTGCAGTCATCTTTACAGGATGGCAACTCCTAGGGAGAGTAGCAGCAGTGCTGAACTTTCTCCATTTATAGACAATTTGTCTAACCGTGGACTGGTGAACAGCAAGGCTTTTGGAGATATTTTTATAACCCTTTCCAGCTTTATGCAAGTCAACAATTCTTAATCGTAGGTCTTCTGAGAGCTCTTTTGTGCAAGGCATCATTCACATCAGGCAATGCTTCTTGTGAAAAGCAAACCCAGAACTGGTGTGTGTTTTTTATAGGGCAGGGCAGCTGTAACCAACACCTCCATTCTCATCTTATTGATTGGACTCCAGTTGGCTGACATCTCACTCCAATTAGCTCTTGGAGATGTCATTAGTCTAGGGGTTCACATACTTTTTCCACCTGCACTGTGAATGTTTACGTGGTGTGTTCAATAAAAACATGGCAACATTTCATTCTTTGTGTGTTATTAGTTTAAGCAGACTGTGATTGTCTATTGTTGTGACTTTAGATGATGATCAGATCACATTTTATGACCAATTTGTGCAGAAATCCATATCATTCCAAAGGGTTCACATACGTTTTCTTGCAACTGTATAATAGAGCTTTGTAAAAGGGTCCCCAATGTCCCTCACTCATGGACAGGAGGTGAGGAATAAAGTATGAAGTTGGCATGGCATTAGTGTAGGGCACTAGGGGACCTTTTGGTGTTGGTGGGGAATAGGAGCACAATGAGGCTACCATTCCTGTAATGAAATATCTATTATGAACATCTAATTTTATTGACGAATTTCACTCCCTAGGTAGTTTGTTCATGGATTTCAGGAACAGGAGTTCAATCTTGTGACAGAAGTCCCTTCCCTTCCTATGGATGCTGCTGTCACCACTTTTTTTGTGGTACATGGAACAGCTGATCCACTCTCCTATCACCTAGTACCTGCAGTAAAAAGACTAGAAGACTTGCGGAGGGGTTTGAGACTTAACCTCCTGTCTATAATCTAATCTATTATAGGTTTCCTTATGGACTTTTGTAATGTAATTGCATGTTATGGCAATGTAGGCAGAATGCTGTGATTTTTATTGCCTATGTTCCCCTGACTCCTCCATGTGACAGGAGAAACTGCGGGCAGGGTGAACAATACGTGCCAGGGAGAAGGAGCAGGCAGAGGGGACGATACCTGCCTGTTCAGTGTAAAATTGCTGTGGTGGTCCATGGTGCAAGAGGAAAAAGGATGAATGGACAATGTTGGAGGGCTGTTCTGGATAGCAAGTCAGGGACCATTCACCCCTGTTCCTATTACAGTTTGATTTACTTCATGTAGTGAAGACATTTTGAGTAGTGTATTTGTTTTATGGTCATGGTGTCAAACAAAAACCATTAGGTTAGCTATGTTAACAAGTAAACAAAACATTGGAGAATGTAGAAAACCAATGTTTTGTTGCTTTTAAAGATTATGAAAAAAAGTGCAACTTAGTATACAGTTACTAGCAAACAGTGTAAGGGAGTGCAGACCTCAGGGGGTGCAAGGTTACAGGAACACTATTGCGTTAGGAAAACAAAGGTATATTCCTAACGCTATAGTTCCCTGGTGGCCTTTTAGATGACCAACCAAAACCTGCAGGGAGAAAAAAAAAGTAGCTTTACTTATCTTTTCTCCCTCGCAGCGCTGGTCTCCATGGCAAACCTCCTTGATCACTGAGATCAATATTCTCAGCCAATCCAAAGCTTTCCCAAAGCCCTGGGAGTTTAGAGTGTATGCATGGAAAAATGGCACGCTGTGCCAATTAGATGGTTTTACTCTGCTTTTTCTGTGGAAGCGCCTCCTGTGGCAGCCTGCGTAACAGCCACTAGAGGCACTCAAACCCTGCAATGGAAACGCCAATGTTTTCAGTTGCACGGTTAAAATGGGGGTGAGGAGGGAGGGAAGGGTACATGGAACCCAGGCCACTTCATTAAAAAGAAGTGATCTGGTGGGGACGTGGCTGACTGCCGTGGTGAGTGGACGCATGAAGTGAGAGCTCCCGGTCCTGAATGACCAAAAAGCCTGATTTCAAGCAGAAAACATAGCCTAGTACTGGTAAAAACACTCTATCTTTACCCCAAGGATGGCACTGGCGAAACAAACTAAACTCACGGATCAGATCCGCCACACAAAAAGACAGCTCGAGGCCTACTCTGGTGACGATGGCCTAACACTCTCACAGACGTCTGATGCCGGACTCAGACCACGAAGGGGGCCATTACACCGACGCCTCTGTCACGGAAAAAAGATTGTGTGTTATGCTACAAGAGTTTAGAGTCACTCTCTAAGCTGACCTTAAGAGAGTGGGAAATATCGGAGCTGGATGAGAGAACGAATCATCTGGACGCCCACAACGAAGAACTCGAAGAGCAGCAACAACTTAAGTGCAAGCTGGCGGACATAGAAGACTCGAATAATGTCTGCTTCCTCAGGATCCCAGAAAGCATGGGGGCAGAGGCAGTCTCCGACTACATACTCACAGAGTGCAGATCACTGTTACAGAGTATCAAAGAGGGTGACTGGCTTCTCGACCGGACCCACCGCCTGCCTAGGTCGTAGAGACTCACCCGCAACATGCCAGGTGACGCGGTTGTGTGATTCCACTACTATAAAACGAAGGACGCATTGCTCACGGCAACGTGGAAGCTTGACAAGCTGCTAGAACCTTACTCCAATATTCAGATTTATGGGGACTTATCAGTTCTAACCATGAACTGCCAAAGATAATTTATAACCGTAATAAGAAGCTGAGGAACCATACCATCCAATATCACTGGTGTTACCCGACGAAGATCCTCATTTGGAGAAATGGAAGAACGCACGTTTTAATCGAACCGGAGGTGGGCATACGCCTGCTGAAAGAATGGGGCCTTTTCCCTTCAAACGCAACAGTGGAGGCGGCTGCTATGTCACCTGCAGGGAGAATGGCAGATGGCGGGAACGCCCAACAAAGCTGAAAGAACTGTGACTCCAGGACTCTATCTCACCAGGGCACTAAATATATGACTTGGGAGCACGTAACGTATAGCCTTTTTACGATATATGAAGTATGGCACTAAGATATGTAGATCTGTGGGCACAACTGGTCTTAAACCCAGTCTCATGATGTATAATATAACTTATCTTTAAGCAATGATGTGAATTGGGCATACAGCCAGTTCTAGTTGAATGAGTGCCCCAAGGGTGCGAGAAGGGACCCCTCAGAGACCTAAAAAATATGTTAATGATGCTAGTTAAAATATGTTTACAATGCAAGTTATAATACGTTAATGAAACTAGATACAACAGGGTGAGGATCCCACAGATGGGGTGAGATCTGTGTATTTAACCCATAGGCAATGTGCAGTACATATGCATTCAAGGTCATTCATGCCTCGCTCCGAACACAGAGCGAATCCGCCTAGGATATTAGAAGCTGGTTGCATCTACCGTCTCACGTCTCACCCACATAGAGCGCCAACTGCGGAGATGGCGCTGTGTAGATACTTTGGTTTTTCTGTTTTATTTATGTTTCCCCATCCCACTGGGTTCACACTCCACTATGCACTTAATCCACACCAAGGCCGCGCACCACAGAGTACAAGCAGATCTCTAACCTGGGACAATGGCTGACTCCCTCAAAATCCTCTCATTAGAAGTCAAAGGCCTCAACAGTCCCCATAAACGTAGGATAACTACTCAAGAAATGACCAAAGCCAAAGCAGCAATTGTGTGTTTGTAGGAGACACACTTCTGTGCCTGTAACCCACCAAAATTCATTGTTAAGCGTTATGCCCAAGCCTACCATGCTATGCCCTGCACTAAATCGACGGGTGTCTCTATACTCTTTCACAGCGACTGGGTATTTACCCCCTTTAAACAATATAGTAGTCGGGATGGTAGGTTGCTAATTCTAGTGGGCTCTCTAAAGGGCCTACAGATCTCCGTAGTCTCCCTGTATGCCCCAAACGAAATGCAGAAGTCCTTCTTAAGCATGGTTTTCCGCAAAACAGAACGGTACAAAGATGGGCACACATTTGTGGCAACTTCAACTATACCCCAGACCAGATAATGGATATCCAATGAGCTCATGGTAGACTCCCTAAAACCATGTCAGTTTCCCTCAGTCAACATTTATCAAATCTGTTGCACACACGACTACTACAACGTATGGTGCAATCTCTACCCCCAGACAAGGGACTACACATTCTTTTCCCCAGTACACATGACATCTACTAGAATAGATCTTTGTTAAAAGAACGCTGCCGCATGCAACCAGCATGCACATTGGCCCCATTACATGGTCGGGCCATGCCCCGATACTGGTTACCATGAAAATCCCCCACCCAGCCAGAGGGCGAGGCACATGGCGTGTGAATGAAGCTCTTCTGGACAACCCAGAGCATCTACATACACTCAAAACACACCTGCACACATACTTTGAGGCTCACCAACATTGCAAAACATCAATTACCACACAATGGATAGCCCTTAAGGCAGTAATGAGGGGCAACCTCATACAGATCGGCTCTCTATCGAAGAAAGCAAATAACACAGAACTACACAGACTCACCCAGGAAATAACTGAAGTAGAGGCCACCTCCAAAATGAACCCTTCTTAGCAAATTCACAAACGACTGATGTCCCTTAGGAATTACTATTATGCCCTACAACTACAGACCACTAAAAAGCAGATGCGCTATCTGAATCAGTCTTACTGTACTATGGGCAACAAAGTAGGGAAACTCTTGACAGGGAAATTAAAACAAAAACACCTTCAGTCTAAAATACCCTAAATAATGTCCAAGCGAGGGCAAACTATATAACCCCCAGGACATAGTTAATGATCTAGTAGAGTACTATGCCTCTCTGTATCAGTTGAGAAATGACCCTGAGATGCATCAACCAACTAGCGCAGAGATAACTCTCTTCCTAGACAGAGTGACTCTCCCCCCCCGACACAAGACCAGTGCTCCTACCTAGACAGCCCCTTCACGGAGGAGGAAATCACAGTTGCAATACACTCACTCCCCAGACACAAATCACCTGGCCCTGATGGATTTTCCAACTACTACTACATAAAATTAGCACCTCAACTGACTCCCCACCTCACTAACCTGTTTAACGACATCAAAAGTTCAGGACACATGCCTAGGTAAATGCTAGAAGCCTACACTTGCCCATACCCAATAACACCCCCACCCTATGTGCCAACCTACATCCCATTTCACTGCCCAACACAGACATAAAACTTTATGCCAAACTATTAGCGACACAACTCAAAACCCTTTTCCCCACGCTAATATCAAAAGAACAGGCGGGATTTGTACCGGGGAGACAGGTGGGAGACAACACCAGACTGATCCTAGCGCTTGACACCGAAAAGGCGTTCGACCGCCTGCATGGGAATACATGGTGCCGTCCACCTTTCTGACCAGTGTCTTAGCCCTCTATCAACAAACATATGCCAGAGTATTTAGCACCGGGTTTTCTATCCACATCACTTTGCATACACAATGGCACACGTCAAGGGTGCCCACTATCCCCACTCATATTTATCCTATGCCTAGAACCTCTGACCCGCCTCATAAACCAAAGCATGCACATTCATGGGATGGACAAAGTTGGCTCTATTCGCTGAGGACATCCTCCTATATACGTAACGAACTCAGCCAAGTCCATGCCCAACCTCTTAGATCTACTGAAGGCATACGGGAAGGTGTTGTACTATAAAAATAATACCTCTTAAACCCAAGCATTGCCTATTAATCTCCCACACCCTACGGTGTCACAGATGAAATTGCAATATGCCTTTAAATGGCGCATGACATCCCTCTCCTATTTGGGCATAAAGCTGACCAAGTCCCTACAGACCATCCCAAAGGAGAACCACCATCCTGTCATATATAAAATCAAAGCATGCCTAGAAAAATGGGCAGGCCTGGAAGTATCATGGCTGGGTCGCATCAACTCAATCAAAATGATGGTAATGCCGCACATTCTATATCTTTTTAGCACACCATTGCCATCCAAACTGATAAAATTCCTTCAACCCACAATAAACGCACAGGTTGGAAGCAGAGGCCCCCACGAGTGGCTCACCACAACCTGGGGCTCCCTTACACAAAAGGGGGTTTGGGATTGCCAGACATCAAAACCTATTACAGGGCGTCAGTGTTGGCGGAGGGCATACGAATCCTAAGGTTACTGCACCGAACCCAGTACCCGCTCTCACTATCCTTGGAAAATGCGTGCCTGAACCCATACAACATGAGCCACTGTATATGGGCTAACACAATTCCCTGGTTAAATGAGGTGCACATGTTACAGAGCTCAAGATTTTTATTACACTCTTGGAAACTCTGGAGCCCACTCATTCTAGACACTAAATCGCTCCTTCGATCAGCGGCCCCTAGATCCCTTTCTCCTGACTTGCCAGTAACACAGTGGAAAACAAAGGGCTTTTGCAGGATACACGACTTACATGAGGGCAATGAGATAAAGCTATTCCCTGATCTACAAACGCAATTCTCACTACCGGTGAGGGATTTATTCCTCTACCTCAGAGTAAAAAACATTTTACAAGCAAAACTGTGTGGCGCGAAAGACTGCTCCAAGGAGGATCCACTGTTAATGTCCCAGGTACTAACTCCCAAACCACTCAAACCTCTGATATGGTGCCCTCCTCAAAGGTTTATCATTGGAGAAGTTGCCCTATATAAACAACTGGGAATGGGAACTGGGGCGGCAGTTCTCTCTGGCACAATGGCATGAGGCCGTAGCAAATACGAAAAAAGGCATCAAAGAATCTTTCACTTTAGGAAGTGTACTGTAAAGTGATGATGAGGTGGTACATGGTGCCGCATAGGATAGCGCGCATTTACAAAGGAACGTCTGGGTTATGTTGGAGGTGTGAGGAGTGAGACGGGTACTATGCTTCATGTATATAAAATATGCTACACTAGAATAGTAACAGCAGAAATCCAGGAGCTAATTCATAAATGTCAAACAGACAGATATTTGTTCTAAAATGACACACTGGATATTTCAATATGTAAATGATAAAAGTAAATCAGAATAGATAAAAGTTCAATGAAGATTAATAAAAATTAAATGAATTATGAAAATATAAAGAGAATATAAAAACTCTGAAAACATATATATGTGAATAACTGTATGGCAAAACTATCTTTTAACCCAGGAAACAGAATAATCCCCGGGCAAAGATAGCTTATGCCAAATAATATACTTCCATTCAATGTATAAAATGAAAGATAAAGTAACCAAATGGCATAGATTCCTTAGAGTTACTGAATCATATAAACTGCCATCATGCAAATATGGTATATAAAAGATATATATATATAATATATATTTACAAGCAGAAACCAGTACCAAAAAACTGGCTGCTATAGGCAATGCAACAAAAATATCGCCAAAAACAACTGGGAATAAAGAAGTCAATTTTATTGAAAATATAAAAATATTTCTAAAAATAAGTCCACATTCGAAGCAATAGATAATAGAAGGTAAAAACTGCACAAAAACCTTATGTACAGGCACGGATGGATGTGGATAGTAATCCCAATACAGTATCCGAATTCTGGTAGCCGGTGAGGACGCCTGAATTCCAAACAGGTCGCTGGGCTGATACCTCTGCTTTCTATCGCTGTGTGGACGTTCTGTGAGCTTGCCTTGAACTTGTCTAAGACAAGGCGTCTGAACAGCACTATCCGACGAGCAGCGCAGTTCCCCCGAAGTGAGGCTCAAGGTGGAACGCACTGTGGCACGCAAACCGTCTTCACCGGCTACCAGAATTCGGATACAGTATTGGGATTACTATCCATATCCATCCGTGCCTGTACATAAGGTTTTTGTGCAATTTTTACATTTACCTTCTATTATCTATTGCTTCGAATGTGGACTTATTTTTAGCAATATTTTTATATTTTCAATAAAATTGACTTCTTTATTCCCAGTTGTTTTTGGTGATATTTTTGTTGCATTGCCTATAGCAGCCAGTTTTTTGGTACTGGTTTTTGTAAATATATATTATATATATATGTCTTTTATATACCGTATTTGCATGATGGCAGTTTATATGATTCAGTAACTCTAAGGAATCTATGCCATTTGGTTACTTTATCTTTCATTTTATATACCATATTTGCATGATGGCAGTTTATATGATTCAGTAACTCTAAGGAATCTATGCCATTTGCTTACTTTATCTTTCATTTTATACATTGAATGGAAGTATATTATTTGGCATAAACTATCTTTGCCCAGGGATTATTCTGTTTCCTGGGTTAAAAGATAGTTTTGCCATACAGTTATTCACATATATATGTTTTCACAGTTTTTATATTCTATTTATATTGTCATAATTCATTTAATTTTCATTAATCTTCATTGACCTTTTATCTATTCTGATATACTTTTATCATTCACAAATTGAAACATCCAGTGTGTCATTTTAGAACAAATATCTGTCTGTTTGACATTTATGAATTAGCTCCTGGATTTCTGCTGTTACTATTCTAGTGTAGCATATTTTATATACACTGTCTCTATAGGATTTTGGTGGATTCCTATTTTTTATCCAGTTTTAGAGCTTTTTACACTAGGTCTCTTTCCCTCTATTTCTCTGCAAATCCTCTTGCATGAGAACTCATTTTATTTGTATACTATGCTTCATGTATTCTGGGACTGCCCAAATCTGAATGCATTTTGGAGGCAAGTCCAGACTCTTATCTCACGCACAACGAGCCTTCATCTTCAATTGCAACCAGAATATTACCTCCTCCATATGATCCCTGACTTAGAGATACAACCCCACAGAAAGATAATCTTAAATCACGGTAGCAAAGATAACTTTGGCGAGCCACTGGAAGAGCAAACAAATCCCCTCAGTGGAGATCATAAGTAACAGGCTAGATACAATCAGCTCTTACGAATGCATGGCAAGCAGACTAAATGGTAGCATAGGCAAATATAACATTTACTGGAGCAGTTGGATCACCAGGCGGACAGCCCTCGTCCCACTGCAACTCTAACAAGTGCAACGGGGTACAGTCAACCGAGTACAGTCTCTGATGGATTACAGTTGGTACCAATTTAGAGGGCACCAAACAACAAGATCAGTAACAGTTAATCACTTGGGATAAGTGTGGCAATTGTGAAGATGAAATGTACCCAGGGTTCCATTCCCTTCCCCTCTTCTTTTCTGTATCCCTTCCCTCTCCATGTCAGTTTGTTAAATGAAAATGCACGTCACAACAAGGCACAGAACAATGTACAAGGCTCCTGAATGCTTGCAATAGGAAACACTATGCATCACTTGTAGGAGCAGGTAGCCATGTAAGGATGTATCTGTTGAACTAATTTAATGAAGTGACTGCATTACTGCTCTGTTCCACAGACTACTTGTTTCTTTGTAACATATTTGTTCATTCAATGCTATTAACACAGTGATTTTTATTTTATTTTTACATCTGAGCTGCGTCTGAGCTGTGATGTACAGTTTAACTTATTTTGAATCAATAAAAAAGATATATGATAAAATAAAATAAAAAATAAAATAAAAGAAGTGATCTGGGTGCCTCTAGTGTCTTTAAAAACATTTAAAAATAAATAAATAGAAAAGCATAATATAAATTGTTTACACAGAAAGCAGCTGTACATTAAGATAAATTATTACTTGATATTACAGCATCTGTTTTAGGTAATTTAATACATGGCAAGATAATTACAGCCTGAGCATTCCACATCTTACCACCACATTCTCATTGCATAGAGTGCTCTGTATTGCATGATCTGATGGTGGGTGAGGCTTGCTATTTTCTTGTTATCCTAATACAACATCATGGATTAATCTACAGAAACATTGCCTCTACAGGAAACTGAAACAAACACTAAAGCTATGTTAAATGACTATTTATTAATTAATTGCTTCTGAATAATAAAAACCCTCTTCAGCAAATATGTGGGCAGCACTCAACTTCAATATGTGCATGGAATTATGAGATTACATTTACAATTTAAACTATGGACCTTAATAAATGTTATATAAAAGTAACCATGCAATTGGGATTATATGGTTCAGTTGCCGAACAACCACACGAAACAGAGACCACCCTGGAGCTTGTTAACACCTAGTAACAACTTGGAATGTTTCTCACGCAGTGTTTTAATTGTTCATGTGGGTGGCCGCAATTCCTATGGACAATCACAAGGTAGAGGCCATCTTGTTCGCATGAACGCAGGCAGCGGTGTTTGGGCATGAAACCCAATGGAACTAAAATTGGACACAGAAAACCCCAAACACTGCTCGACTTCCATCATCGCCTGCGTTCGTTTCTATTGAACTTAGAAGGGCACTGTTCGGTGAAATCATTCGTCTGGATGAGGGCAACAAGCTCCAGGGTAAGACTCTGTTCGGTAGTTTCTTCATTTTCAAACTACCGTACTAGACCGACCGCAAGCCCTGATTCTCTGGAACTATTTTGAGCATGGGACCATGCCTGCAGTCGGTCAAATAAATGACTTCCAGGAAATTCCTGAACCCCTGAACTGATCTGGGTGATTTTTGGATATGTTGGTTACCCAGTTTGGGGCTATCAGGGGATGTAACATTTGTGGGGTTTTATGTATTTTTAGGGTATGTTTGGGGTGTTTTGAAAAAATATGTTTTTCCTGTGCTTGGAGATAATTGGATAAGAATTAGTACAGTTACTGATCCAATTATCTCCCAGGCAGAGGGGAGGGATTGTATGCTTGTATATGGGAGTGTCATGTATTTAAACATCTTTGTCATTGGTCTGTGACTTTGTGCTGCAGTCCCCCACAAGGTCCAGTGGGGAGTGCCCCTTGCATGGAGACATGCATATAAGGCCAGTTGTGGCTGCCATGAAAGTATTCCATCTTGCAATCCAAAACTGTATCGTCCTGTTATTGGAGGGAAGGAAGATTTAACCCCTGTGTCTGCTGTTCCAGCTTACAGGGGATTCAATGGGGAAAGTCTTTGAAAGGACTAGAGCTCCCAGGATTGAGTGTCGTCCAGTGCCTGGGGGTGTCTAGAGCGAGTTGACCATTCGGCTACAGGAAGGAACGGTTCCAGGGCCCCAGTCAAGCCACGGCGACTGTGGGCAGAAGTGCTGTGGTTTGTACCCTGTTCTAGCGGTCCTTGGCGGATGTACCCAGCCAGGGGTACAGGGAGCTCCGTTACAACTTGTTATAAGGTGAAGCAGAGACTCAGTCAAAAATCCTAATTTGCAGACTTTACTGATAGATGAATATATAAATCAGGGGTGGTGGATGGGTAGATCTTCAGAAATACAACTTTCATGTTTCTTTACCAGCTGTAACGATAGCAAAATAGAATGAAATATTTAGTTGAGTATCTACTTCCTCACCACCCCTGCAATAAAATTACATCTCCATGAGTGTACAATTATGTACAAAATATATTTTAGGAATGTATTTTTTTTTTTTATATTTAAAATTTGATGGATTTTAGAAAAATGAAAAAAAAAACAAATAAGAAACATAAAGGATATAGCAGTACATCACCAAAGCAGTTGCATCAAGATTACGGAATGCACCATAAGAAAAGCAAAATTGATTCAGAGAGTAGGTTGAAAGTAATGCTATTTATTTTTTTCAGCTCGGGTTTGGATCTATTCTTGGGATAATTGGATCCAATTTAATAGAAAACAAGAGGCAGATGGTAAGTAACTGTGCACGTCTAATGTTAAAGAAAATAGTATATTAAGTGAGATTTTAATTAAGTTGTTAATTAGTTAATTAGTGTACAAACATATTAGGCACTCCCTTCATATAAAGCCTATTTTACCCCTGGCTGTTAACTTGCCTTCTCTGTTTTGGTCCCCTCTTCTTTCTCCATTTTAAAATACTACCCTCTATGTCAGTGAAATTTTTTCGTGCCTTAACAAAAGCTATCGATTTATGGCTTACCAAGTTTTGTTCAGATTGGAAGATTGAAAACAGAATTTTCTTACAGACTAAGGTTTATTATTTAGCTAAGATCACAGGAGGGGTTATAAATACTTTTCTGATAGCTACAGTAATGGAGTCTGATATATCAATATGTCAGCTGGCCTGGTACTGTCCTTCTGTAAAATCATGAAATGTAAACCACCATACTATTGAGCATCTCATCAAGTCTACAGTTTTGCTACCTACAGTCAGGTCCATAAATATTGGGACATCGACACAATTCTAATCTTTTTGGCTCTATACACCACCACAATGGATCTGAAATGAAATGAACAAGATGTGCTTTAACTGCAGACTTTCAGCTTTAATTTGAGGGTATTTACATCCAAATCAGGTGAACGGTTTAGGAATTACAACAGTTTGTATATGTGCCTCCCACTTTTCAAGGGACCAAAAGTAATGGGACAATTGGCTGCTCAGCTGTTCTATGGCCAGGTGTGTATTATTCCCTCATTATCCCATTTACAAGGAGCAGATAAAAGGTCCAGAGCTCATTTCAAGTGTGTTATTTGCATTTGGAATCTGTTGCTGTCAACTCTTAATATGAGATCCAAATAGCTGTCACTATCAGTGAAGCAAGCCATCATTAGGCTTAAAAAACAAAACAAACCCATCAGAGAGATAGCAAAAACATTAGGTGTGGCCAAATCAACTGTTTGGAACATCCTTAAAAAGAAAGAACGCACCGGTGAGCTCAGCAACACCAAAAGACCCGGAAGACCACGGAAAACAACTGTGGTGGTTTACCGAAGAATGCTTTCCCTGGTGAAGAAAACACCCTTCACAACAGTTGGCCAGATCAAGAACACTCTCCAGGAGGTAGGTGTATGTGTGTCAAAGTCAACAATCAAGAGAAGACTTCAACAGAGTGAATACAGAGGGTTCACCACAAGATGTAAACCATTGGTGAGCCTCAAAAACAGGAAGGCCAGATTAGAGTTTGCCAAACAACATCTAAAAAAGCCTTCACAGTTCTGGAACAACATCCTATGGACAGATGAGACCAAGATCAACTTGTACCAGAGTGATGGGAAGAGAAGAGTATGGAGAAGGAAAGGAACTGCTCATGATCCAAAGCATACCACCTCATCAGTGAAGCATGGTGGTGGTAGTGTCATGGCGTGGGCATGTATGGCTGCCAATGGAACTGGTTCTCTTGTATTTATTGATAATGTGACTGCTGACAAAAGCAGCAGGATGAATTCTGAAGTGTTTCGGGCAATATTATCTGCTCATATTCAGCCAAATGCTTCAGAACTCATTGGACGGCGCTTCACAGTGCAGATGGACAATGACCCGAAGCATACTGCAAAAGCAACCAAAGAGTTTTTTAAGGGAAAGAAGTGGAATGTTATGCAATGGCCAAGTCAATCACCTGACCTGAATCCGATTGAGCATGCATTTCACTTGATGAAGACAAAACTGAAGGGAAAATGCCCCAAGAACAAGCAGGAACTGAAGACAGTTGCAGTAGAGGCCTGGCAGAGCATCACCAGGGATGAAACCCAGCGTCTGGTGATGTCTATGCGTTCCAGACTTCAGGCTGTAATTGACTGCAAAGGATTTGCAACCAAGTATTAAAAAGTGAAAGTTTGATTTATGACTGTTAATCTGTCCCATTACTTTTGGTCCCTTAAAAAGTGGGAGGCACATATACAAACTGTTGTAATTCCTACACCGTTCACCTGATTTGGATGTAAATACCCTCAAATTAAAGCTGAAAGTCTGCAGTTAAAGCATATCTTGTTTGTTTCATTTCAAACCCATTGTGTTGGTGTATAGAGCCAAAAAGATTAGAATTGTGTCAATGTCCCAATATTTATGGACCTGACTGTACCTTGTAGACAGATGCTGACTTCCACAAATGCATTGGATGACATGTCTACCGCTTCATTACCACATTTCTTTGATCTGCAAGTGATGCTCTTGAAACTGAACAAGCTTGCATATCAAAATAAAAAGATAAATAAATGCGGATTGTATGCTGACAGTTTATTAATACTAACCCAAAGTCCGTGTTCTTTCATCATTACTGATCGAAAGGACACTAACTATTATGGCTGATTATAGTAATTATGTTTCAAACTCTGTTTTGCTACCGTCCTCCATTTTTTTTTTTTTAACAAACTATTTTAGATGAGGACAGCTTAGCAACATGTTTGCTTCCTTTGACTGCCTGTGGTCATATAGATTTGGAGAAATAATGTTTACGTGATGCAGAATTTTCATGTCTGCATTATCACTGGGAATTCTGTCTCACCAGGATGGTGGTGATTGGTGAGAAATGCTGCGCAAACCTACCCTAGGCACTGTTAGTAATTATTGCTGTCCTGGTTGGATGGAATTGACACTGGTAACATTGGTAATATGAAAGACTGAATTCAACATTAATAATGATGCTGAAGAGGTTACAGTCTCTGAATGCCAAGCATAGACACAGTATTTGTTTGACGAACTGCTTGTAAACAGACCCAAATTTGGGTGATGACACTGTAGTGGTTATGTTACTTGGAACGCCCTTCTGAAGATATTTTGTAAGCAGCTTCATTAATTTCTGTTTTTCTTCTTCTTTATATTATTTCCTTTCCTTTGCGGTAACAGTTGTTGTTACATAGTTTTCTCTGTGACCAAATATACTTTGTGTTTCTGTTTACAGCTTGTTGCATCTATAGTTTTTATCAGCTTTGGAGTGATTGCAGCTTTTTGTTGTGCAATTGTGGATGGTGTTTTTGCTGCCAGACATTTAGTAAGTATGCAAAGCAAAAATCTCTCAGTGAATGGGGAGAGATGTGCATGATATAAAAATCAGGGTGAGCCAAAACACCCGCAGTATGATTAAAGTTCATTCTGTAATAGACCGTTAAGTGAACCGATAAATTATTTTCCGTTATTCATCTGACATCTTCAAAGATGATGTTTATCAAATCTTAAAGCAACACTCCAAGCAGCATAACCACTAAAGGGAGCTGTAGTAGTTATGGTGCCAGGAGTGCACTGGTGCTCCCTCCTCCCCATTGCAAGGAGTCAAACTTTGAAGAATTGTTTGACTTCTCTCCTAGACCTGCTCCCCGCCTTCAGGACCCTAACTAGGAACTAGGTGAACGTTCCTAGTTAGAATCTTCCATTAGTCCTGCATAGCTAAGCTCATTCTAAAATTGTTTGGCTACTTACAATGGGTAGGGGGGTAGAGGACTTGTGGCACCAAGACCATTACACTAGTGTAGTGTTTATGGTTCTTGGTGTGTTCCTTTAACTGTCTTACAGGTGTTTGAGAGGTTCTTGACCTATTATAAATCAGCAAAGCACAGATTGTTACATCTGTAAATGTTGGCTTGTGATTCTGTATTAAATTGAATAAAAATATATTTTATTTTTAAAAACATAATTTGCAGTCCATGCTTTTCCTTCTGAAAGTAGTATATGATTCATTTGATTAAATGACTGTATACTATTATTGAAAACTGAGGCTACTAGTGATCAATGGCATGTATTTATTAGATTAGAGTAGGGTCAGTAGTTTTCCTGTGTTAACTTTATTGGAAGAACAGGTCTAGAGATTATCTCCTGGAGATCTCACCAAACACAGCTGATGGAGTGTGTTCTTAAATTGAACAACTCAAGGAAGCTTTTAGCACAGTTAACACGAGATGGGCCAAGTAGACCCTTTGAATTCTACAATGAACACCATGAAATAAAAACTACTGCAAATTTTCATTGTGTGTTATATCTTGGATCGACGTGGTTCTTAGTGAAAAGCTGTGGATTATTTTCATACACCATGTGCTGTAGGCACTGAGTGTATAATTGCAAGATTTAAGTAAACACCCTTCGCTGTCAAATCATATAATAGTCATATAACTAATTGAGACAGTGAGCAGACCTTCAAGACCAGAATACAAAGAATTAATGTCAAGCACACAATTATTGAAAGAGATGCTGAATGCAGGATATTATTATTAGTTGATGCAAAATTTGCCCACATGTATTTTATCATGTACCTTGCTAATTGTAGTCAGATAAATAATACTTTGTCTGAGACACACCTTCATTGTTTACCAGCTGAATTGATTAAACATACTGCAGTTTTGGGGTTTAAGCAGAGATGCATGCATGAAATATTTTTAGGAGATCAACGAGGCACTGAATCAGAGAATTTGTTTTTCCAGAATTTGAATTCACACATGTATGTATAGACCTTTGACTTGTCATTTTATATAAAGTCATGCTGGTTAAAAAATATATTGTTGATTCAATTCTAGACGGCTTGCCAATGCATTTCTTTCTGGTGTTCAAAATACAAACCTTCTATTTGCTGGTACTAATGCCTTTTATTTTGTCTTTGTTAACAAGGACCTCAGACCTCTCTATGCAGGGAAGTGTAGTTACTTTACAACCACACAGGGCGATGATACAACACAGGTAAGAAAAAGAATATGCTACCTGATATTTGCAGGAGGAAATTATTTCGTATGGTTATCTATAGGGGTCTTGGTTTCAGGTTTTTGGGGTCCTATTTTTCCTTTGTATCTGTTCTTCCTTCCTTTTTTTTTTCGGCAGGTGACGTGCCAGCAACCTGTCCGTGGCTGTTTCCTGAAGATAAAAAGCAACACATGTTACTGCTGTGACTTATATAACTGTGGGAGGTTAGTGACACATGCGGGATAATTTTATGCCTCCTAGGTTAATGAGTTTAAAGTGAGATGCTGGGATTCGTTTAGAAGAAATAAAAAAATCCCAACAACTAGCAATCCAAGCTTCTGTTGCACTAAACAACAAAATTTTGTTACTGATAAAGATAGCAAAATTACTTTGACTTTGAAAAACCAGAAAAGTGTTGCAACCTAAAATATGACATTGATTTAATTGAACCTCTGTATTAAATTATCTGCATCGGAGTACTAAACAGCGCCTGGATGACTAGAATGTGCCGTGATTGTACAGACTTTTATTAGAAATATTTATGGTTTGGATGTTTTATCTTGGAAAGTGATGCTTCATATTGGTATTGCTTCACATATAAAGCATTTTAGCTAGGACTGCTTATATGACCCAAATAAATAGGTGTTTTATGAACAGGTATGCCCTGCAATAGACTTACCACTGCAAGCTTGTTTAGTGACACATTTGTCTGGTGTAGTTTGGAGGCTTTTTCTTAGGTATCCCCTTCCCAGAACAGATGGGAGATATGAGAAAACATCGTTCATGTAAGATTTTTTTTTTTTTTTTTTATATCACTAGCTAGATCCAAATCCCTTCACTATCTTTAGTGTGTAATATTGTCTTTCAAACTAAAGAATAACAAAGAATGATGGGAAATGTAGTCTACAACCCGAAGGACCAACGTTGGACATCCTAGAGCCAGATGGCCAATAGACATATCGTATTATTGATTTTCATCATATATTGCATTTCCTAGTAGAAAAGTAAAGTGTTTTTTCATCATATTTGGCTTGTGTTGCAGGAGTAATAAAAAAAACAAACAAAAAAAAAACATCCAGAGTGAATGTGGAATGTCTAGTTTAAAACAATAGAGATATTGAAATCTGAGTCAAATAAATGTCTTACCTTCACACTTAAATAACTGCAATTAATCTCTTTAACTTGCTTTTCTTGTAATTGCAGACTTGGAGTGTCAGGTCTGTATTATGAATACATTGATGTCAGAAGTTGCCAAGATGTTGTGCACCTCTACCACTTGCTCTGGTCGGTAACTATACTGAACATCGTGGGTCTATTCCTTGGAATCATTACAGCTGCTGTACTCGGAGGATTCAAGGATATGGTGAGATACCAACCAAACATTTGACTTAAATATGTAAACATGAGAAGTTTAAATATGTATAATGACTAATCACGACACTTAATTATCTAAATAGATGGAAATATGGTAGTTTTAGATCACAATCATATGAAAACATTTTTTATTGTAAAAGGCTATTCATTCAATAAACCTTTGGTGCCCAAAAGTCAGAACAACGGTTGTTGCTGGAAAAAAAAAACACCATAATGCTAAAATATGGCATTATGGTCATAGCAAGCATCGTGCACGATACATTTTTACTATAACAACTGGGGATATCCAGTTTTGCCATTCTGTAATTTCTAATCCTTGATACAGTCTCCAAAATATAGGCCAAAAGGGCCAAGTTAGAAAACTAGCTTGCAATTCCATTGTCGCAAAATGTTGCAAAGTCACTAAAATGAGAATTGTCATGAATTCAAAGTAAATTTCAAATTTCAGGTCAAAGAAGCCAAAATGGAAGCATAGCTGACTTGTAGAATTTTCAATTTTGGCCTGAAATTTGAAATTCACTTTCAATTCCTAACAGTTTTCACTCTAGTGAATAACCTTGCAGGAGTGATCATTTCCTGTACTACTAGCTAATTTATTAATTTGCTTGAAATTCATTAAAGGAGATTTGGCTTTCTAACACATAATGAGCTGGGCGTAGCAGTACGTACCTATATTTATTGTAGGAATTCAGACATTTAGGCTGTAGACATTAATAGACGATAATACATACTATAGCTAGCAAACACTATAGATAATATCTGCTAGCAACTTGTCTAACACCATGTACAAATTATATCATGTGCTGCATATAATATAATGTGATGCAATGTAGTATATGTATAACTATTGCATTTTCGACCACATTTCTGGAGTGACATGTCAATGAAGAATTGTGAATTTGTGTATGTTGCTTAGGATTCTACCTTTTGTAATTGACCATTTTACTGTAATTGTACTTGCAGAACCCAACTATTCCTGCCATTACATGTATATTGGAGACACCACGGCCTAGAGTGCAGTACAACACAAGACCACCAGTGCCCTCTTATAATACTTATTACCACAGTACTCCACATCTTCCACCTTATACTGCCTATGACTTACAGGTATGATAAAATAATTACAGAAAACTTCTAGCGACTTACAGTCAGGCACCCAGATGTCAATATTCTATGTTAATTGGCTGCTATCATTTTTGAGATTCACTGATACGACACTGATTGTGTTTAATTAATTTCCATGAACTTCCTTTGGGCCATAGGGGACTCATCCACACATATTCTTCAGTTTTAATTATGGAGCTACATAGAAAATAAAAGTGTCTTTATATGTACAGCTTTATGTGTTCTTGCCGGTGGACTTAGTGTACAGAGGTCACAGTGCAAGAATTTTGCTTTCTGTTTTACTTACTTGAGCCTCAATAAAATTCTAGTGTGTATTGGCAGTTTATTGGCTGCTAAGAAGCCTTGTATCGGTTCAAAATGATTTAAAAGGTTACCTTAACCATCATGACCACATCTGCTTTTAAAAGTGGTCATTGTGCAAGCAGTCAGTTTGAAACACCGCCTATACAGAAAAAATCTGTCATTTTATGCAAGCGTGAGCTAGTCAGCCTGAAACTTAAAAAATTACATCCGTTCTCAGCATGCATCGTGCGCTGGCGATGGAGACAATCAGCTTCTTCTCGTGCAGGCAACTCTGTGAGCGCGTCTGCAAGTGGAAGCCTTTTCAAACTGTGTGCGTGTGGCTCACACACACAGTCTTAAAAATGGTTCAACTGTCAATACAACCCTTTTCCCTGCCCTGTGGGTATGCTCATCTCATCAGCTATAATTTAAATAAACTCAGTGAGGGAAAGGGGCCAATTATACGTAGGTGGCAGATTGGAGCTCTGAAATTAATAAGCGCCATAATAATTGCCTCCAAATGGTGATTCAAATTATCATTGACTTGCAAAATGCAAGTGAAACATAATTTTGAAATGTGTATCTTGTTGGATGTATTCAGTTCAGAATATTATTAAATCTTTGTGAATCTTCCGAATCCTATACTTTCAGGATAATTTATTAAAAAGAGAATTCAAATTGAATTTCAAAGTTAAGGCCAGAGTAGCTGAACTGAAGAATCATCTGAATTCTCACTTTAGTGAATAATCCTAATTGAATAGAGTTTGGATGTGAAAGCACAGATTTTAATCCGGACACTGAATGCATATGGGCAATTGCTGCAAATCTTGGCGGATCGACCAAATTCCCTGCCTGGTTTTGGCTTTAGTAAATATGAGAATTGCCATTCCGACCTGTTTAGTGAATAATGCTGTATAAGTTGTTCAGTAAACTGGAAATTTTGGTAATTGACCAGGTAAAACAGCTGAGTTGGAAAATGACCAAACTCATATTTTTCCAGCTAGGCTGTCATAAAGTTCACTGGTCACTTTCCAATAACTCACAGTTTAGTGAATGACAGAGACACACACAAGGTGGAGACTGTGATGCATACATACTCATCTTGTAACGCAATGCACCTCCGCTCTGCCCGTGATCTTCTCCTGTCCGTTGCTCCCACCCGTACGGCTAACTCACGCTTGCAGGACTTCTCGCGGGCGTCTGCCATCCTATGTAAATAGCCTGCCTACCGCCATTAGACTCTCCCCTAGTCTTCAATCGTTTGAGAAGTGCCTTAAAACCCATCTCTTTAGGAAAGCTTATGGCCTCCCAGAGTAACCTCTACCTTGCACACCTGTCTTTTGCTCTCACCTAAAGGGCAGCACTCTACTCTCTCCTCCAGCTCTGTTTCACTCCCACCTATTTTGATTGCTATTCCCTGTCCTATTGTGTTTTGCACCCCACCTCCTATGAAATGTAAGCTTGTTTAAGCAGGGTTCTCTTCAAGCTATCGTTCCTGTAAGTTTTCTTGTACTTGTCCTATTCATAGTTAAATCCCCCCTCTAATAATATTGTAAATCACTACGGCATCTGTTGGCACTAAATAAATGGCAATAATAATAATACACACTACAGTTTACAAGTGCAAGCAGGCTTTCAGGAACATGCTATAATACAATATATGGGTATAATAAAAATGTAAAATTACCCCTTGAAAAGGGGGAAATTAGTAATAATAAGGTGGGCTGCTTCACACTAAAAAAGAGAGCGTCTTTCTACATGCACACAATATGCTTTACTCTTATGCATTGTTGACTAAACTTTTATAGAAAAATGTAACGTATAAGTAGCAAAAATATCAGCTGATCTATTTATTTAGAATAATTTGTGCAGGCATTTAAAGCCAAGTGGAACACATAGTCATCATTTTGTGAGAAACAGCACTTATTTTATTTACTTGTTATTCACATCCCAGTGATATTTAGTTCTTTATACTTGAAGGCTATCCAGTCATGTATTCACTATCATGATACGCTTTAATAAACATCTAGCCTACATGCTTGTTTTCTAATGTGCATAAAATATATTTCTAAAATCCATGAAAGTAACACTTTAAAGGACCACTACAGACACCCAGACCACTTAAGCTCAATGAACTGGTCTGGGTTCCAGGTCCCTCTAGTTTTAATCCTGCAGCTGAAAACATAGCAGTTTCAGAGAAACTGCTATGTTTCATTGAGGGTTAATCCAGCCTCTAGTGGCTGTCTCACTAACAGCTGCTAGAGGCGCTTCCGCGATTCTCACTGTGAAAATCACAGTGAGAAGATGCTCAACGTCCATAGGAAAGCATTGAGTAATGCTTTCATATGGGCTGTTTGAATGCGCGCGCGGCTCTGGTCACGCATGCGCATTTGGATCTGACGTCGGCAGGGGTTGGAGAGTTCCCCAGCACAGAGGGAGCCCGGCGCTGGAGAAAGGTAAGTGGCTGAAGAGGTTTTAACACCTTCAGCCCAGCGGGAGAAGGGGACCTGAAAACAAGTTTGTTTTCCTGGCACTATAGTGCTCCTTTAAGCAGTGGCTGTACAGTAAGTGCTGTGTGGCTGCTAGCAGCATATTTAGGAATTCCACAAATCTAATGTGATTAATGGAACTGACGATGCGCACTAAGCTATAAAACCCATAAAATTCTGCTGGACAGGGGTTTATACTAGAAGACCAGATTACTAAAACCAGAATTAAAAGTTCCAGATTGGTGGAGCTTCTTTCTGGTCAGCTTCCCTCATTTAACCATGTTCATCAGTTTATGTTTACCTCGATGATACAGGCCTCTATTTAATATTTTTGGATAAGCTTTTCAAATGATTTGATATTTTGAAAAACATTTCATCTTTTGGTATCTTGATATATTTATCTATACTTTTGATATTTTAATAGTTTGAAAAAAATCATAAACGTTTATCCAAAAATATTTAATTATTTGTAAAGTTTATTCAAAAATGTTAAATCAAGGCCATGAGTAGTAAAAAAAATGTCACCTTACTGGGAATATTAGATAAATGACCATTGAAAGGTGTGTGTTTTGATACTTTTATAAATCACATTTACTCTTTCTAAATTACCATGGAGGTTATATTTGTGGAGGATTAAAGGTCATATGAGCCATCCACCCTGTTTGCTGCGTGCCTTTTAAATGCTGACATTTTACAAAGGATCTGAGGAATGTAGGGACTAAAACTATTTCTCTGCATTCTTAATGTAGTAAATATGCCTTCCAGTCTTCACACATGAGGAATCCTTTTCTCCAGATTGCCACATGTGCAGAAGTTTTGTGCCTGCCGCTGAATAACAAGTCCAGCAGCTGTCGCTTCATGTGTTCCTTGTGTCTTACTCAGCAGACATCCTTACCGAGAGAGCAGATTTCTCACAACAAACCCAGAGCTGGCAACTCTGTATCACAGCATGCATTTCAGAGTGCATGTTAGCAAAACAAGAGGCAGAAAACAAGATAGAATTATGTCACATATGTAACTTATAACATAACCTGGTTGTACACATCTACTCACACAGGACTCAAATTTTCCACTGGCCACTGGCGAGTGAAAATGTAGCCCTGGTTTGTAATACAGGGTGGGCCAAAATTTGGAGTAGGATTTAACAGGTAAATAACTTATTTGTTAGTAGTTAAATTTTTTTGTTGCAGGTACATATTATAACTTGGGAGATTCGTCATGGGCAATTTCATAAAGGAACAACGAGTAAAAATAGTGGAATTTTATTGGTGTGAGATATCGGAATATGATAGAAAAATTGTATGTCATGTAGTGAAAAATCATCCTAAAAAGTGGTTTCATTACTGCCCATACAGTCAGGGCCAAAATAGACATCCTGAGAAAACTGTTCAGCGGGTGATTAATTTCAAGAAATTCCCAATGCAACTACGTTTTCCCAACCTTTTCAGCCCATGATTATTTCCTGTGGGGATATCTGAAGAAGAGGGTCTATATGAACGATTTGCATACACTTGAGCAACTAATGGAGAATATCTGTGCAGATATTTGAGTGCTGGAGTTACTTCTAAAGACAAGTAACAAGTAACAGTAACAAGTAAGTTTTAAAGCCTGGAAGTAGCGTAGGACTTGTTATTCTAAGCCCAGTACCCTCACACACAGACACAGATATAGAGGTTGATGTCAACAAATCTATGCTTGTAATGATATTAAGCTCATTCTTGAATGTTGTTATTTTTTTACAGCATTCCACTGTCTTCCCAACATCTACTCCCTCTGGTTTGTCAGATGACCCAAATTCAACACAGTCATCTTCCAGCTTGATGTGGCCATCCAATGCACCACCTCGCTATTCTCCACCTTACATGCCACCAGATGAAAAGCCACCGCCATATACACCGTGACCATCAAGGATCCTGTAAACTTGTCACCTCAGTAGATCTTTAGGCAAAACACTAGCCAAATACTATAATCTTTTCTATCGATATGACATGCATTGAGTAAACGTATGTTTGTACAGAGTGAGTAGCGTTGTGTAAAATGATACATGTGAGCAAACATATGCACGATATTCAAGATACTATACTTAATTATATTAGCCTTTTGGCCATTTTGGAAATAAAATTTAGGACATTTGGTGTGGCCAACTTGAAGAAACAAAGCGAGTCTGACCTTAAAGGAACATTCACGAATAAGTGTAAAATGAATCTTATCATGGATCATTAATGTATGCTGTCATTGACACATTCATATTAATTGAAGAATATTAGTGTATTTTAAGTAACGAAATGCAGTCAGTTTCTTTCCTTTAACCACTATGTGGAAATTCCCTTTACACATTGACTCCTTCTGCTAATGCTTCAGCCTACTGAAGGAAAGTACCAACAAAAACAAAACAAAATCTTGCAAACAAAGTAAATATAAGACTCAAGAGGTTCTATCCACATCACTTATTTTGGAATCATATCTACCTTTTTATAGATTTGACAAGGAAAACCTCTTGGGCAGAAAACAAGTTAACGCTTTGTTATCCTGACTGACTAATACTTTGATTATTTACTACATTTTGATTGCCAATTTGAAGACCTATCATAGTTGTGCTAGCTATTTTTTTTGCAAGTCAGTATACCCCATACGAAAGTAACCCACACTAAAGAAGATGTTTACATCGTAATCTGGAAAATCTATTTTTATGAGCTTATCAGTATTCTAGAAAGTTGGGAGCCAATAAGCTCTCATTGAATTGTGCACCATTGATGCCTCTTAACTGTAAAATTAGTTTGTAAATATAGAATGTTTAAAAAAAGCTATTTCCTGTAAATCAGCACTGTGATTATCACTTAAAGCCATTGTGACTTTCTGTTGTTTGCGGCTTATTTTCATAGATTGATGATTGGCTTCTTCTGGGAAAAAAAAGAGGGTTGTGTGAGTAGCAGCTATGATGATGTTTTAATCGCTGGTGGCCTGGGTGTTCTCATTCCTTTTTAGATATGCGTGAAAATGCAAATCTAAAATTTGTGGGAAGTTTTGCCCATTTCAAATGGCAGATTTGTTTGAACATTATATAGTTAATTGAAAGAGTTTTATAGAAACAGTACAATTAATAAGCAAAAGAGTATATTGCGTAATAAAATTATTGATGATAAAAAAATAAATTAAATAAATGCAAGGATAATATCTCTACTTTAGCTGGTGGATGTACAAAAATATAGTATACACCATACAAGTTCCATTATATGCAGAAGACATTACATTTAAAAAGAAAATAGGAGTAGGTAGTAAAGAATAGGAAAAGGACATAGGAGAGAGAGGGGGCAAAAATAAATAGAAAAAAGGGGGGCGAGTGTATTGTCGAAGTAATTAAAAAAAAAAAATCAATAGATTAAAGGACCACTATAGGCACCCAGACCACTTCAGCTTAATGAGGTCGTCTGGGTGCCTGGTCCAGCTAGGTTTAACCCTTTTTTCTACAAACATAGCAGTTTCAGAGAAACTGCTATGTTTACCTATGGGTTAATCCAGCCTCTAGTGGCTGTCTCATTGACAGCCGCTAGAGGGCTTCCGCGCTTCTCACTGTGATTTTCACAGTGAGAAGACGGCAGCGTCCATAGGAAAGCATTGTGAATGCTTTCCTATGGACTGGCTGAATGCGCGCGCAGCTCCTGCCGCACATGCGCATTCAGCCGAAGAGGAGGAGAGGAGGCGGAGAGCTCCCCGCCCGACGCTGGAGAAAGAGGTAAGTTTAACCCCTTCCTCCCCCTAGAGCCTGGCGGGAGGGGGACCCTGAGGGTGGGGGCACAAGTATGTTTTCCTGGCACTATAGTGGTCCTTTAAACAGGTTCAATTTAGTGAATTATCAGAGTAATCTATAGGTCCAAAAGTTTACTAAAGTATTCAAGAGATTTATACAGGTAGATAGGTTCTTAGAGTTCTCACATTTTCTGTTTTTGCTGCAATGCATTTACTTAGGCTCTCCATAAATTAAAAGGGTAATCCAGATGTTGACCTTGTGCTCACTGTGCCTAGAGGGGTAGCAGCTACACCTTGTTGACGAAGCCCGAACAAGGAAGAAACTATTGTCTGGTGGTGCTCTCTTGTGCAGAGGGGACTCTCCAGCATTTTGGTTAGATGGCTCTTATTGGTGGGATCAGGCTGGTATAGGTTCTTTCTGTAAAGGCACAAGTGAACTAAAAAGCATTTATAAAACCTGAGCGGGGACTAACGGATGGCAATCTACTAAGGTTTCTCTAAGCCTTTGTCTGTTCTTAGAGTTCTCATATTCTCCGTTTTTGTTGCAGCTGGACAGGTGAGCTGTTCCAAATTAAAGCTGTGTTTTTTTTTAATTAAGGCCTTTCAAATTCCTTGAGGGGCTTTTCAAATTCCTCGCTATGTACAGAATAGCTGCTGTGCAGATTCAGCCTGTTAGCATAAAATAAATATCTGAACGATTGCATTTATTGGCCAAGTTATCGAGAAGTATATATAGTTGTATAGTGGGATCAAAAGGCAAGCAAATATTGAGCAGAGCCTTGGTCAAGGTAAAAAAACTGTCTCCATAATGCTTGGATCAAAGGGCCATCAAACATGATAGAAAGTGTTACTGTTATCAAAGCCCCCAGAACACAAGCCGGATGTAGTTGGGAAGATCCTATCCAGGACTAAGTGGTCATTGTAAAAAATTTTGAGATACTCTCTTTCAAGAGAGTGCAAGTGGTAATTTTCTGAATATTAGCAATTATAATGTGCCATTCTTCCAACAAATACCCATGTTTGTTATCCCTCCCCCATTGGTAATGGTAAGGAGAACATTGCATAGAATGTAAGAATGTTGTATAGACTGAAGAACTAAGATCCAGCCTGGAAACATGAGTTCAAAAGCCAAACCTGTATTCAACAGGGAGATACTGGACACTGAGAAATGGTTTTATGAAATGGCAAATCGAATCCAAACAGTTCAGAAGGGGGAATATGTTGTGTGAGTCATTGACATGCTAGGTGCCTTCATGCAAAATAGACAGTTTAAAGGGACACTATAGTCACCAGAACAACTACAGCTTAATGTAGTTGTTCTGGTGAGTGTAATAGCTACCTTCAGGCATTTTCCTGTAAACACTGCCTTTTTTGAGAAAAGGCAGTGTTTACATTGCCCCTGGGGACACCTCCAAGTGGCCACTCATCAGATGGCCACTGGAGGGTCTTTCTGGCTCAGAGCTGCACAGTAAGCAGCCCTGCTGTTCAGCGTCCCCAAGTTCTGCATGGAGACGCTGAATTTTCCTCATAGAGATGCATTGATTCAATGCATCTCCATGAGGAGGTGCTGATTGTCCAAAACAGCGCTTGGACCCGCCCCCTTGCCGATTTTAGCCAATCCAATGGATTGGCTAAAAATTGGCAATTTTGATTATGTCACCAAGGGGGCGGGGGCCAGCGCCGGCAGACCTGTGAAGAGCTGAAAATAGGTGAGTTTTAACCTAAGGACAAGCCAACTAAATGGTGGGTTTTAACTATAGGGTCATGAATACATATTTGTGTTCCTTACCTTATAGTGATCCTTTAAGTGGTTTAGTTAATGCATCTTCTACATGTACACAGCCTATACTTCCCTCTGAGGGGGTTCAGTGCTGCTGGAGGAATTGGTTTGCTCAATAACATAACAAAATATATGGAACAGAAATTATTTTAATTATTATTTTATTATTTATATAGCGCCAGCAAATTCCGTAGCGCTGTACATGCTTCACTAGTTATGCCTGAATAGTAGTGTTTTGTACAGTCTGTGCCACTTCTTCATATAAATAATGTCAAACACAACTTTCAAGTTTCTCAAGCTTTTAAGTTACCAGTAGGATGGGCAAATAATGGAATAGGTTTAATAGCTTTGCGAGCAATTTCATCTTAATTGCATGTGCCTGGCCAAACCCAGTCATGGAGTATGATTACTATCGTTGAAAGTCTTTTTGCATGTAGGTTAGGATAAACAAGTAACTGTGTAGGTAAAGACAAAAGAGGGTAGGAGTGCTATGAAATCCCAGATACAAAAGGCTTCTTGCAAATGCATATATACCCATTTAATAATAATAATTGGTCTATCTGGGACAATGTGAGGGTAATATTAAGGCCTTAACTTTTATTTATAGTTTTATAGCCTGAAAGGTCACAGTACTGCCTTAAAGTGAAATTATAGTGCGTGGAAAACAAAATTGTTTTCCAGGCACTATAGCTCCCTATTGTGCCCCTCCCTCCCCTACATTCCCTCTCCCCCCCCCACACTAGGGTCAACACACAAAAGTAATTATTGCAGTTTACCAAAAACCGCAGTAATTACCATTGCAGGGTTAAGGGACCTGGGAATATGCACCCAGACCACTTCAATGAGCTGAAGTGGTGCGGGTGCCTATAGTATTGCTTTAATATGGGAAACGAAACCCAGGACTGAAGTTAAAAAGTTTGCTATCATAAGTAGGTTTTTTATCGGCAAAAAAGTCACCTTTTTCTAGTCCTTGCACATCATGATTTATGTGAATGGAATGTGCTAAGCTCTCTACATAAAGGCAAAAAAGCAGGCGGTAGAAAGCATCCTTGGTTTGTCTAATTCTGTAGAAAGGAAGGGGAGGCAAAAGTCATAGTTGAGACTAATGCCGAAAGGGATGGATCAAGGATCCATGTAAGAGATTTGAGTCTTGAACTAGTAACAGCTGGGAAAGAGGGTGTTTGCACGGCGGAGGAAAGCTATTGGCATAAGAAGAACCTATTGTGGAGGAACAAGAGGAAAACGCCCAGTGAGCAACCAATGACAGAAGGGGATTAGCCCTATATAAAGGGACAATAGGGGGGAGGTTGTTCAGGCTGCATGTTGATTGCATTGTGATTGTTTTAATTTAATTTAATTTAATTTATGGTTTCTGAAGAAGTCCACTAAGGTGGAAGAATCGCGTTGAAATGTATTTATACTTTTATTTATAGTATTGTTTTTATTTATTTGATTAAATAAAGAAAACTTTTGAATACTGGTTGGAGCTTAAACATCTGATGCTGGAATCTGATCCATCCCCAGTAAAATAAAAGGGCAAATTAAGTTGTAGCCCCGCCAACCTACAACACGAGAGGCATTCCTTAAGGTGTTCCTAGTTCAATGATCTTGTGAGTCCTAAACAATTAGCTCTAATTTCCTTGTTTATGAAATTATTTCACTATGTGCTGCTAAATCGTTCTTTATAAGTGCATAGCTGTGTCCCAAATTTGTATATATACACAAGAGGTGGAGTTAGCACTGCAATGTACATACTGTTTCTCAAAACTGCAATGTTTTACATTGCAGGCTTAAGGGGACATGGACACTGCACCCATACAACTTAATAGAGAATAAGTGATCTGGGTGACTATAGTAATTTTTATTTTATTTTTTTAGTGTGTTTATAAATTACTAAATTAAATGGGGTGGCAAGACATAGCCATACATATTATTGGTATATTTCTTTTTCAAAATATTGATCCTTTGGGGTAATTATACAGTAAGCATACTCACATGCAGACACAGATAATCTCACTGACACAAGCTCATTGATACACAGGCTCACAAGACAATCTCATTGATATACATAAGCTCATTGGTCAAGCTCATGAACACACACATGCTCACTAGAGACAAGCTCACCAACACACATGCTCAATGACATACACATACATCTCACTCACTAGCAGACACACACATACACACAAGCTCACTCACTAGCAGGCACATGCACACAAACAAGCTCACTCACTAGCAGGCACGCACACACACAAGCTTTCTCACTAGCAGGCACACACACACACAAGCTCACTCACTAGCAGGCAGACACACACACACAATCACTGTCATAGGCTGCAGCTTACCTGGAACCTGGTAGGTGAATTTGTCATTCTCTGGCCAACGAGATCAGCAGCTTGCCTGTGGGGGCGGAGCTTAGTCATGGGAGGCGGGGCTTGAGCTCAGGTAGCAGTGCTTAAGTGTGGGGGTGGGCATGCGGCGATGAATTGCTTAGCATTGTAAAGGAAGACTGATAGGATTCCCTCCGGCTGCCAGCACCCTAATTGCGGCCACACCGGCCCCCAGCACCTCCCTCCTTAATCCCCTTAGGCTGTCTGGGTCCAAGGGGAAAGTCATTTAAATGAAATTAGCCTAATTTCAGGCTGTCTGTTCGGCCCCAAGTGCCGCGGCCCACCGTGAAATTTCCCAGTATCTCGGTGGGCCAGTCCGGCCCTGATTGCTGCTTAGTAACATTTCTAGTGGCTATAATTTAGATAATTATTAGAGAGACTTCCTGTGATATTTGCAGGGCCTACTTTCAGCATCTCATGGTGCACAGAGATGCATTGAAGCATTGGATTAGTTGAGATCATTAAAATTGATGATCTCAGCCAAAGCGTCCGCTATGAGACCAATGTGGTGAGGAAAAAAAGGTAAGACATAACTTTATAGCAAACACTGGGGTGGGGAGGGATGTTGGGGCGAACACTTAAAGGGACACCATAGTAATCAAAACAACTTTAGTTTAAAGGGTTACCGTAACCCTTTTGACAAATATTTAAGTTAAAAAGCTCTGTTGGGCATTACTATTAGTTGCCCCAGTCTAATCCTGCAATAAAAAGTTTAAAACCTTAACCTGAATCCAGCGCCGGCCGAAGCTCCCAGAGTTGACCTCCCTCCAGGGGCGTACATAGAGTATTTGGCACCCATGGTGGATCATGTATTTGACACAATGCCCTTTCCCCCTTCAACTTTAGAATATAAAAAACACCCACAGTTTTTTTTTATGTTTTCAAGAATATTTATTGTACAAATTTGTATACTGTATGTTAGAAAGAGTTTGTATACTGTATGTTAGAGAGTCCATTTAAGGTCCCATTAGAGACTACAAAGGAGTCTAATGGACCCTAGAGACGGGTCTTTCTAACATTCTGGCCCCCATTCACAATAAAGTGATATAGCATGGCTACCTGATAGCCAGCCGAATGTGCCTCTTCTCACCTCAATTAATGTTGCTGGCTGGCTGCTGTGGCTGGCTGGCTGGTGGCTGCAGTGGGAATGCCTTTCTCTTCTCCCAGCAGGCATCTTTTTCTCCCCAAACCCCTTGTGTGTTTCTTTTTCTCCTTCCCCTCTGTGTGTCTCTGTGTGTCTCTTAACCCCAGCCCTACTGTGTGGCTGTTTGTTGTTGTCTCCCGGCCTTTCAATGCACCTCTTTGTGTGTCTTTTTCTCCCCCCCAGCCCCTTTGTGCGTCTGTTTCTCCCCTAATCCCTTTGTGTGTCTTTTTTTCCTTTTTCCCAGCACTTCTGTGTGTCTTTGTCCCCCCTCAGCTCCTCTGTGTGTCTCTTTGTCCCCTCTCAGACCCTCCATGTGTCTGCCGCAGCACCATGTCCAAGGCTTTTCGTAGAGTAGCCTGTGATTGGACCTATTCCCCAGCTCAGAACACAAGTTATGTTGTGTATACATAAAATATATGCAAAAAAAAAAAAAATACTGACATAATTACTACACAAGATGGCAGTGTTGTATCATATATACCTCATTCATCAACTAAGAAAGTGATAATCAAAAATACTTGCTATCTGTACATTTTTACTAAGGACTAAAGAAGGATTTAAGGGACTCTATAGGTACAATAACAACTTTAGTTCAATTAAGCAGTTTTTGTGTATAGATCATGCCTCTGCATGCCTCCCCTGTCTGTGACTAACACCATACATGAAAAGAAAATGTTTTAATTCTCAATCACTTTACCTTGCTTTAGAACAGGGGTTCCCAATAATTTTTTTTCAAAATCGTAGATTCCCCCCCCAAAAAACAATTGTGAGCCATTGCATAAATCTTTTTTTTGTATGTGCTGGTGTATGTCTGTGTGCCAAGGTGTGTGTATCTGTTTTGATGTGCCAGTGTGTGTATCTGTGTATGTATCTGCAAGATACACACACACTGGCACATAATGGCACCCAGATACACACACCTTGACACACAGTATCGGTGTGTCAAAGTGTGTGTATCTGTGTTTGTATGTGCCGGTGTGTGTCAAGGTGTGTGTATCTGTTTGTCAGTGTGTATCTGTGTGTGTATGTATCTGACACACGGATACACAAACTGACAGATACACACACACTGGCACATACACACACTGACAGATACACTGACACACACACATATAAACACACAATGACACATACACACACCTGAACACACAGATACACAAAATGGCACATACACACACAGATTCCCACATTGGCAGATACACACACTGACACAGGTACACATACACACACACAGACACATATGTTTAACTTACCTTTTTTCTTCTTTCAGTGCTGCAGGCTGAGGATGGTGTACCAGGTCGGCAGCTACTCACTCCCCGCTTCGCTCCCTCTCCCTCCAGCCAGTGCACTCTGTCTGTGAGGTAGTGCTGTAACTTCCTCTCAGCATTCCATACAACAGGGGTTCAGTCAGGGTCTTAGACGCTCGCAGCGCCTCACCGGACCCCTGTTTAGTGCTACCCATCAGGTGGCACTAAGTGTTTGGGCCACCCGATGAGCCAATCGCTGCTGAACCCCAATTTTGTCCTTGGTTCCGCTGAACACTAATTGGGAAACGCTGCTTTAGACACATATCTCCTTCTCTGTAAATTGAGTGCACACAGGAGTCTCCTGCATGATCTAGCGAGCTATTAATAGAGCAGGCGATAGGTTCTAAATTAAACAGAATGCACAATAAACGAAGTTTAAACATTAGATCTCTGTTTACAGGAAGTGTTGAGGAAGGCTGTTCAGGTCATATGCAAGGAGTTGTGGCTAGAACTGAATAAACAAAGTGGTTCAACTCCTAAATGGCTGAGAATTGAGCAGTGAGACTGCAGGGGCATGATCTATACACCAAAACCGCTTCATTAAGCTCAAGTTGTTCTGGTGACTATAGTGTCCCTTTAAAATCCCATAGGGCCCTAAGCCAGGGGTAGACAACCTTTGGCTCTCCAGATTTTGTGGACTGCATCTCTTACAGCCACAATGCTGGCCACATCATCTGGAGTGCCAAGGATTGCTTACCCTTGCTCCAGACAGTTTAATGGTTTAGGGGCCCCCTTCATTTTTCACATAGGGATAAATGATGCAAATCAAATTACTGATTCTTAGCCCCCTGTCTTACCTTTGGGACCAAGGTCACCTTATGGTTAAACCTGCTCTGCTTAGGACAGGACAAATGGGTTAGTGTGTGTCTGCATTTGTGTGTATGTTTTTGTCTCTATGGGTCAGTGTGTGTGTCTTCATGGATCAGTGTGTGTCAGTCTGCATGGATCAGTGTGTGTGTGTGTGTGTGTGTGTGTGTGAGCCATTCTGCATGCGTCAGTGTGTGTGTGTGAGCCATTCTGCATGGGTCAGTGTGTGTCAGTCTGTATGAATCAGTGTGTGTCTCCTTGAGTCAGCTTGTGTGTGTGTCAGTCTACATTAGTGGGTGGAGCGTATTAGGCAGTAACCTTTTTTTTTTTTGCCTAGGCAGGCAAAAATCTTTGCACCGGCCCTGGGAATACTACATTAAGAAACTATTTCCTTCTGGTCACCACATCCGCAAAATACTTAGTTTTAGCAGTGGCGGAACTAATGAGAGAGAGCCCTCGTGCAAGTAATTGTCTAGCAGAAGGTTGGCCAAAAGGTAGATCCCCATCTGTCATACAACTCCCACAATGCTGTGCCAGCTGGGGATTTACCATTTGTCCATTCTTGAACAGTTGTATTCGTGAGCATGTTTTTGTGTAGAGTATAGGTGTGCATGTAGGGGTGTATTTGTACGTACCATAGCCATTTAGTGAATTCAGTGTAGCACTTCTATGTTATGTTTGCATTTAAATGCAGGCGTACTTTTTCTGTTGCTGTTTGAATAGTTGGGTGTTTGTATATAACTTTGGCATTTTAATACAGGGATGTTTTCGTAAACCTGTTACCTGGTACTATGCCTCCTAGGGGTAAGGTCTACCCGCTTTCTGAGAAAGAAAACCAGGTCATGGAGGAGTACATACAAGAATCCTTACGTAAAGGTTTTATCAGAAGGTCCTCCTCTCCGGCTGGTGCTGGTTTCTTTTTTGTTGCCAAGAAAGAGGGCGATTTGAGGGTCTACAAACAGGGTCCTGAATAATATAACAGTTATATCCCTCTCATTACTGAGTTGTTTGACCGTGTTAAAGGTTCTAGATATTATACTAAACTAGACCTCAGGGGGGCTTATAACTTGGTTCGTATAAAAGAGAATGATGAATGGAAGACAGCGTTCAATACACGCAGTGGGTATTACGAGTATCTAGTCATGCCTTTTGGACTGTGTAATGCTGCTGCTGTCTTTCAGGACCTCATAAATGATGTCCTTAGAGATTCACTGCATGTCTGTGCCGTGGTTTATCTCGATGATATACTTGTATATTCTCCTGATTTGGAGTCACATCATGCCCATGTGAGGATGGTACTTAAGAGATTGCTGCAGAACGGTCTTTTTGTAAATTGGAGAAATGTTTATTTGACCAAAAATCAGTACAATTCCTAGGGTACATCATTTCTGAACAGGGATTCAGCATGGATCCTTCAAAATTAGAAGCCATATTGTCTTGGCCTCTTCCTCAAGGCCTTAAGGCAATACAGCGATTTATAGGCTTTGACAATTATCGCAGGTTTATTAAAAACTTTTCATCAGTCATTTCTCCTATCACAAAACTGACTAAAAAGGGTTTGCACCCCAGGGTTTGGACTCCTGAAGCCGTTAAAGCCTTTGAGACTCTCAAAAAGGCATTTGCCACTGCCCCTGTGCTACACCATCCTGATCCTTCCCTTCCCTTTGTTACGGAAGTAGGCGCTTCAGAATCAGGTGTAGGAGCTGTATTATCACAAAGACTATCGTATAACGAACCCCTCCATCCCTGTTGTTACTTTTCTAAAAAGCTGTCTGATTCGGAAAAGAATTACGACGTCGGGAACAGGGAACTATTAGCTATTGTGATGGCTTTTAAAGAATGGAGGTACTTATTAGAAGGAGCTAGACACAAAATCCTGGTTATAACTGATCATAAGAATCTCTCCTATATAGCAGATGCTAAAAGGTTGTCCTCTCGTCAAGCCAGATGGTCCTTATTTCTTTCACGCTTTCAGTTCATTATCACATATAGGCCTGGGTACCATAATGTCAAGGCTGATGCTATCTCCAGACAATACGAACCTTTGGAGTCAATTGCCCCCGCTCCTGAACCCATTGTACCTAAGATAATAGCTGCTATCCGCTTGGTTATTTCGTCTCTTTTCCTTGATGGTATCAAGACATACCAAACCCAAGCACCCTCTGAGACACCTGTTGGTAGATTATACGTGAAAGAAAAAGATAGAAAGAAATTGTTAGCTTTATTTCACACCGCCAAAACGGCTGGTCACCCAGGGGTTACCAAAACATACAAGGGTCTCCTTCAACAGTTTTGGTGGCCCTCACTTAAGCAAGACGTAGTGGATTATGTGCAGGCTTGTCGTGTTTGCGCACAGTGTAAGTCCCCTAATGTTAAACCCCCGGGACTCCTAATGCCTCTATCCGTGCCCAGGAAACCATGGACCCACTTATCCATGGACTTCATTGTAGATCTTCCTTCATCTGGTGGACAGACAGTAATTTTGACTGTGACCGATAGGTTCTCTAAAATGGCACACTTTATTCCACTTATATGTGACCTTCTGCGGTTCAGTTGGCTCAAGTAAGAGGTGTTCCGCTTGCATGGTATACCACAGGATATCGTATCTGACAGGGGTCCTCAATTTGTCTCTTGGTTTTGGAGGGGCTTTTGTGCTGAGATGGGGATCTCCTTGTCATTTACGTCCTCCTATCATCCACAATGTAATGGAGCCGCCGAACGAGCAAATCAATCTGTAGAGTTATATTTATGCTGCTTCACGAATGCGCACCAGGACAACTGGTCTCACCTCCTTCCCTGGGCTGAATTTGCCAGGAACACCGTGACTCATTCGTCCACTGGCTTAAGTCCTTTTATGGTTGCTTATGGGTTCCAACCCTCTGTCCTTCCCGGCGTGTTCTCCGCCAAGGAAAATACCCACTTTGGACGAGCAGCTTCCTTACGGAAGATGTGGGATCAGGTCCATGCTACTCTTTCTCGTGCGACTGCTAGTCAGAAGAGATTTGCTGATCGTCGTAGGGGTGCTGCTCCTTCTTATGTCCCAGGTGATAGGGTTTGGTTGTCCTCTAAGAATCTCCGCCTCAGGGTCCCCTCGATGAAAGGTTCCTTGGCCCCTATAAAGTATTGCGTAAGGTCAATCCTGTGTCCTACTCCCTGGCCTTGCCTCCTTCCATGCGTATACCTAACACTTTTCACACCTCCCTTTTGAAGCCCCTGCTCTGTAATCGATTCTCTGGTCCTCTCAGGTGTCTGGATTCCCTCCGCGCTGTCTCCAGTGACATGTACGAAGTGGCTGCTCTGCTTGATTCTCGTTTTTCTCGGGGTCGGTTGCAGTATCTGGTAGATTGGAAGGGTTACGGCCCTGAGGAGCGGCCTCTGACTTGAATGCGCCCTCTTTGATCCGCTCCTTTCATGTGCGGTTTCCTTTGAAGCCTTCGGCTTCCCGCCAGTTGAGCGGTCCTCGAGGGGGGGGTTATGTCAGGGTTCCGCGGGCGGCTGTGAGGGGATCTCCCATCCTCCTACCTGTCGTCGAGCAGCGTCTCCTCTCCGCCGCTCGCGTCCTCCACGCCTCCCAGCGGCAGCATGTATAACGCTGCACGCTGGGAGGTTGCAAATTTATGCAAATGCCGGGGTCTCTCACGTGATCAGGCGTTAAAGCAACAGTACAATCACAGTGGGAGGCGTAGATATCTCCCACGTGTGATTGTTAATTCTGATTGGAAGTTATCCAATCAGAATTAAGCAAAGGGTATTTATACTTACCTTTCCTGTCTCTCAGTGCCCTGTTGTGGTCTTGTGATACCTGTATTGCAGTTTGCTCGTGTTTCTCTCTGGTTACCGATTATTTGGCTTGTTATTCCAATTATACTGTATTCTCCACTCCTTTGACCTCGGCTTGTTTCTCGTTCTCCCGTTTTCTGTCTCCCTTTACTTGGCTTGTCTCCTGACCATTCTTAGTGTGCTTAGCCCTGCCACTCTAAGGACCGGTATAGCATCTTTTCTCCTCTGTGTGTCCTGTTAGCATGTTAGGTTCCAGAATCGTGACATGGGGACCCCTAGTCACCTGGGAGGGTAACATTTTTATTTAGGGCCCCCACCTGCCACTCAGTGGTGGGTGCTGGGGGGAGGACAAAAGGTGCCCCCACCTGCCGCTCAGGGGTGGGGGCTGAAATGGAGGACAATAAGTCCCCCCCTTATCGGTATTTAGGACCCCCACCCACCGCTCAGGGGTGGGGAGGACAATAGGTTCACCCCCCTTATTCTAATTTGGGGCCCCCACCCACTGCTCAAGGGTGGGTGCAGGACAAATCCCCCCTCCCTTATTTTACTTTAGGGCCCCCACCCGCCGCTCAGGGTAATCAAGAATTTGTTTTTTTTTAGTTCTGCATGGCATTTTAACTGTGAATGTCATAACACTGGTAACTTTTACTGCTCTTAAACACTCATATTTGTATTCAGTGATGTCTCATGAGTACAATAGTACCCTCCATGTATGGGTTTTGGAAAGTTACAAGGTCAAATATAGGAGCAAACAGAGCATCTCGTAAAAAAGCTAACACAAGTTATAGAATATTTTCAGTTTTACTCAATGGTGTTGTATCCAGGCAAGTCACAATTCTCATATAAAGAGTCATTGATATGAAAGAAAACTAGCAGCACATCGGTGAATATCATAGCAGTCTAAAGGCCTACATATATATAGCCAACTATAACTGATGGTGAATTAAATATCAGAAAGGAAAGTATATAGTACACAAAAAAGATCCTCTTGAAGGTTAGGAGAAAATTCATCTTTTAGTAGGACAGCTAGACCAATCAAATTACTAAAAAAAAGAGTAGATCCCAATAAAGGTGATTTGGGAATTCCAAATCTTGTTAGTTACTATAGTGCCTCGGTTTTAGTAAATGCATTCATAGGATCACTGTTGTTGCTGGTAAGATATTGAGGATATTTTGGTATTCCCAGGCAGGTTGTGTTATTATCTTTGGTTGAAGTCTCCACCTAAATTGCACCTAGAGAGTAGTCACATTTCACTCCATGTGCATTTGGCTTAGAGAAAGCTGGATACAACTCATGAAGATTTTGTAATGGTTTCAAGAGCAACTCCAGTGGTGGCCTTGACATTGGGCATTGAGTCATTAACTATTTGAGAATGAAGCAAACAGGGGACACGTGAAGTGAGAGATTTATTCCATGGTTTGGCATCAAGTTTTTTTTAACGGCTCTTGGAGCAATAATGAATACCTGCTAAGGGGTACTTTCAATGTTTAAAGTTTATAAATTACCTTGGAACAGATAGTATTCTTCTAACTCAAGGGGTTCCCTCCCCCCAGATAATTTTCTTGTGCGCTAAAGCAAAACATCATACGTACTTATTATCAGTTTTTGATTCTGCCAACTTCCTTAGCCAAATTGTCTTACATGATCAATGGGAAAATAAGCTGGAGTCTTCTTTTGATATTGATTTATGATATGGAGTTCTTATTAACCTTTCTATTTTTTTTTTTATGTGTTGCTTATTTCTGAGGTTAAAAATAAACATTTGTTCCATTGGTATTTTCTGACAGAACCATTGGTGCACATATTTCCTTCGCAATCTCATTTATAGTTATATAGGCTAAAAAGAGACATGTCTCCCTCAAGTTCAGTCTTCCTCACATTTGTTTTTTGCTGTTTATCCAAAAGGCAAACAAAAACAGTTTGCAGCACTTCCAATTTTGCAAAAAACTAGAAAAAAAGTCCCCTTTTCAGTTTATGCACATCAAAATATGCCAGATTGGTTTGCTGGGCCTATGTTACCTTTGAGACCATATGGCTGCCCAGGAATGACAATTAACCCCATCATGGAGTACCATTTTCAAAAGCAGACAACCTAAGGTAATCAAAATGGGTTAAGTCCACTCTTTTTTTAGAAGCCACCTAGTCACAAACACTGGCCAAAGGTTAGCATTCATATTGATTTTTTTCACCGATGATATAATCAGCATTATACCTTTTACTAAAACATTCATATTTGTCTTTAGTGATGTCTCACGAGTACAACAGTATCCCAATGTCCACGTTTTATGGTGTTTTGAAAAGTTAAAGGATCAAATATAAGGCTTGTCCATCTACACATTGAAATTTGCCAGATTGGTTATGTAGCGTATGAGACCATATGGTAATGGGAATTACTCCTGTCATGGCATACCATGTGCAAATGTAGGCAACCCAGAGTATTCAAAATGGAGTATGTCCAGTCTTTTTTAGTAGCCACTTAGTCACAAACCCTGGCCAAAGTTAGCATTTCTATTTGTTTTTTTAATTTTTCACACAAAAACTGGACTTTCATTGATGATATCATCATTGTGATACATTTTACTGTTTTGAAACACTCATTTGTGTTCACCGATGTTTCCTAATTAAAACAGTAGAGGTTTTATGGTGTATTGTAAAGTTACAGGGTTGAATATAGAGCTTGCAAATAAAATTATCTGGACTTTCTGCCTATATATATATATATATATAAAAAAAAAATATTTACATATATCTATATATAGATACAGATGTAGATATACACACACACACATATATATATATATATATAAAATGGCATTCTAAGTGTATTTCGATATCAACATATATATATATATATATATATATATATATATATATATCTCATCAAAATACAGTTAGAGTGAAATTACTCATATATAATTTTTAATTATTTTTTTTTTGAATTTTTATTTATCATATATATATATATATATATATATATTGTATATACCTACGGAATTTCATTCTAAGCATTTTAATATGAAAATATGTATATATATATATATAGTTGTTATTCTGATGTAAACAGTTATTTTTATAACTGTATAATTATTTATTTTCTCCTTATTTCAGCAGTTGGGGGTTTGCCTGACAGCCCAGGCTGTCCCCCTGAGGGAAGCTGCATGAAAGGCTATTGGGTCCACATGATCATGATAACATAATCACATGGCCCTTGAGGGACAGATTGGTTGCAGAGGGACTGCTTGGTTTGTCAGACAGTCACCCCAAATCGGAGCACCGCCAATCGCTGTGTCAGGTAAGTATGGCGACGCAGGAGGGTAGCGATCTGCAGGGTGTAATATGCCGCTTTGCAGCGTGAAAGGCAGCATAGCACACCCCTACGGCGTTGATATTTTTTGTCACATTTTGCTTTAACAGAAGATGTTTAACTCAACTGATTTTTTTCCTGCTCCATATCATTCGTCAAGTAAATGTACATTATAAAATATAATGCAGTACAGCTTTGTGTAATGATTTTACAACATATGGAAATAAAGCATGACTCTTAACATCTTCATGATCTGAATATGATGGTTCTTTCCACCTGCCTCCCTTGGCACCATATTCTTGAGCTTTAAGATTCCAGTTCACTGCACTCCCATTCCTTCCCAAAATGGAGACTCTCAGGTTCATGTGCTGATCAGAGAACTATTAGAGATTTACCTGGTAACAGATGGCTACATTGGTCAATTTTTATAATGCAGTTTAGTGTCCCTCTTAGTTGTCTTGCCTTTTCTTTGTAATTCCTCATGTAAATAATCTGCTTCTATCATTACTTCTTTAGGCCTTTGCAAGCATATAGTAAGTACACAATAACACAGAAATAATATGGTAAAAATTAGTAATCAATGAATCCCATGTTTCTGCTTGTATTTTTAAGTGGAAGAAATTTGCTTTCTTTAGAACTTGGTAATTAAGTGCACAGAAATAACACCACCATAAAGTAAAACAAAACATACAAACAAAATTATATTAAGGATAAAGGCAAATTACCTTTTTAAAACAACAGACACTTACATTCTGCCTATAGTGTGTGAGAATCCTTAATATACTACTGTCACATTCGGCGACAGTGTACACCTGTCCCAGCGCGCTCTAGACACCCTGGAGTTCAGTCAGCAGCCGTCATAGTGCCTGTGGTTGCAGCACCCCAGTTTGCATCCTCTGACCTTTGATTTACGGCCAGGCCAACTCGCAGTGATCGTTCCAGCATTCCAAGATGGCAGCTGGTTTGCAGGTCAGAGGTTGGAGGAGGTATGGCTGAGCCAGGACAATGATGCATCCAAGATGGGGCTGAGTCGCAGTTAGTCACATTGACCTCACGTAACCCTTCCTACAGGTGAGACCAGGTTATGTGATTGAGCCACTCCTTTATAAGCAGAGAGCACCTTTCAGTCAGTGCTTGGTTGTTTTGCCACCTGCCTCAGAACTCTTAGCGTTTGTGTCCTGTCCTTGCTGGTTTTCTGACTTGCTTGCTATATGAATTTTGCTGATTGCCACGTGCCCTAACCTCTGATTCTGATTTCTGCCTGACCCTTCTTCGGATACCGTTGCCATGGATTTTTCTGTAATTTTATTAACGCCCCAACGTTGTACAACATTGTAAATTAAGACTGATACTGGATGTTCTCTGAACAATAATCACTGCAGATTTCTTGAGATACCAAATTTAAATTACAAAAAAATTGTTGGAGTGGACGGGGCATGACTGCCATGCCCACTTGTTCATTTCATCTACAATGAAGACTTCTAAGCCATTTTCCCCCATAAAACAACTACCAGTGCAAACCTGGGATCATATTTTCAGTAGTCAGCAGTCTTACTCCACTCACTTCATTTTAAGCTTTTAGATAGCATGGGAGAGTTGTTGGCTCTGACATCTCAGGCCTAGAAGGAGCTCATAGTGGGGAGGAAGCTGAATCACTCTTGGCTTCAGTTACTGGTGTGATACTAATTACCTGCCCACTTTTGCCCCCTGTCCACCAAACTGACATGGATTATCCCAGCCAAAACCATAGAGGCATAATGTTATTCGAGGACTCTGGACATTTTTTTTATTCATCACAAAAAAAAACTAATAAAATGTCGGAAAATAACTTGGAAGCATTTCAATAGGCATTTAACAAAACATGCTAACAATTTTGGATGAAACAAAAAAAAACTGAATACCAATCAAGCTACACAATTCTTTACTTCTAATTTGGTCCAGACCGGTGGGTCTGAGGCAGGTTCCAACATCCAATATGGTGTCTCCTCCCTACTAACCTGAATCAACAGCCATGCCCGCCACTCCCTATAGGTACCATTCACAATCACAGAGAGGATATCGCCACAGCTGCCCTGTGACACCTAGAGCAGTCTGATTAGTGGACAGAAGGTGCGGGTTTTTCAGAGCTTGGGTGCTGTGGAGCAGTTGTCTACGGCTTACATGAGACCTACTTCGGGGTGCCTGATGGGCCTCTTCTTTTGTGAATCTTCTAAGAATAGTTTTCTCAAATAGTGGCATAGATTGAACAGTGCTTGTACTGTGACTGCGCATTCTGCATTTGGGGTTTCATTTTTAGATGCTATACAATTGCGTAGCACTTACATTATATTGCCACTTGAGTCTTAATACAATTTGTTGTTTTTTCAATGTAAATCTTTGGTGGCTTCTCATCTATTATCCTAATAAAAAAACAAAACAAAGATGGACAAAAAAAAAAGTTGCCAAGCTGAAACTCAATTTAAATGTTCCAGTGCACATTTTATTTTTCAGAATGAAAGAAAAAAACAACTAAATATCTACTTATTTAATTAGGATTTAAGTCCCTCCTGTTTACAAAATGTATGTTTTCATGATTTTCTCCTGAATGTGTTTTACATTTCTCCAGTTGAAAGCAATTTGAATCCCACTTACATTATTTTTACGGATGCCTATGCTTTTTTTTTTTTTTTTTTTAAAAGGATCCACTTCAAAAACACCAACCTTACTTACACAGCCATCAGGCATTTTGCCCCTTTGAAACGGTCCGACCACTAATTTTGGCTGTAGCTCCAGGGCCGCCTTTCTTCTGAAGTTAGTGACTTATCCAAAGCTATGTGGAAGAGAAATCTGGGCACAATAAAGGTTCTCTCCGCATTCTTCCACATTTCACAACACTTCAATGAATCCATCTGGTTTTTATATGTGAAGTTAGAATGCAGGTTGCAAAAGCTAAGCTATATATATTACACTTGTGCACATTATTGTATTGTATTTCTTTATTTAGAAGACAATATATTTACAAACATATTGCAATGAAATAGGAAAATAAAATGGGATGCCATAATTTTGTAACGTAAATAAAAATTAGCTGTAACAATTGACATAAGTAAACGAGTAGTGAAAGATGGAGTGGAGGAATGGGTGCTCCAGTAGCCAACGCCCTATTATTTTTACTCAAACTTTCTCTTTATTCAGTGCATGGGGTTGGTACTACCTTGAACGTTTTTAAAGTTTCAGTCACTAATTTGCTAATGAAATTATCTCAAAGCTTCGACACTTTGGGTTGCATGGTGTAGTACTCAATCTCCAGCTTTTATTCTTACTTTTACCATGCAGAGGTTTGAAAATGTGTTTCCTTCTAAATAATAGAAGGATGTAAGGTTGGCAAGAATTAAAGTATACATGGTGCAGTATATTTGATTTTAATGTACCAGCAGGGCTAGATTGTATGCCTAGTAACTAATCAAAAAGGCATGTCAAAGTTGGGGCAGGTATTTTATTTGACTCTATAGCCCCTGAAACTCCTGGTAAACGTATACATTGGGTATCGTACTCAAGAACAGTAGCAGAATTCAAATATGGTGTCAATACAGTAGTAGTGGGACAGACGTCATCTGAAATTCTCCATAAAAACAAACCAAAAACCTGTGACAAACTTTAAAAAAAATAACAAAGCAAATATGATGAAGGTTGCTGAAAAAATGTTTAAATGAAGTGTCAAAACACTCTTTGTGAAATAGCCTGGGGGATGTACTTTTCATCAAATATATACTTCTGCATAACAATTGTGTATTCCGTGACACTATTAAAGCTGTAATCTCATCAAGTTAAATTTTGCAAAGCTTTCGCTTTAAAACAAAAATTAACTCCTTGCAATATGTTTTATAACTTCTAAAAATTTGTTGAAATCCTAGACCTATTGGTCATTTTAACAATCAGGACTAGTAATTATATTGATTTTGGGGAGTTATTTTTTCCAGCCAGCTAACATACTCAACAAACAAGGAAGGAATGAGGCCTGACTGCTGAGCAACAAGCTCATGCTCTTCACGGAAACCATCGTGGAAAATCTACAGAATCAAGCCTCAGATCGACTTCTGTGGGCGACAAGTGACACCAAGGGACTCACGTTGGTACCAACTACACAGCCATTCCTGTGTTGTTCACACATACGCTAGATGAGACCTACAAGAATGGACAGTTCGGGGAGGCAGCCGCTCTCCTGTCATCACACAGGGCACATATCATGAATTTGGGCTCCCCTGTCCCCCCATGGATTGGTGGGAGATAACCCGGTTCCCACTGTGGTGATGACCTTTACTGGATCGGATGGCTAGTGACAAGCAGTTCAACTGCGACCAGCAACCCAAAATGGCTGCCAACACAATGCCTGCACTTCAACAAGCACCCTCGACCTGTGCCTCACACGAAGAGCGAGTCTCCAGAGCCATCGAGACCATATGATTGTGATTCTGGGTACGAATTCACCGGCGGATGGAGCATCCTGAGGCAGTAGCTGATCTCCAGACTGATCTCTATGCCAACAAGCAACAACTAGCTGGGCAAGACCCTTACACGCAGGAGACAGCGCAGAAACAGAGGCCGACAACTCGTAGGAAACCTCAATGCTGGTGGCTCGATTCTACTGTAGGCTGTCGCCCTCCTGGGTGATGTTCTGTGGAGGGACATTCCCCTGCATATTACTTGTATGCTCAAAAGCTCCCTTCTCATTAAACAAAGCATCCTGCTGGATGGCCCCTAGAGCAAGTCCGGAATGCAGATAGCAGGGGTACTTGTGAGTCCAGAGCATCAGCCTATATTACAGCCCAGGGGAAGATGAGGTACTGACATGTGGGACTTGGGACTGTGCTGCAATCAAAGCAATATTCACCATGTGTCTGACATAGGCTAAATATCTTGTCTTATAACCTATACCTTAAAGTAAAATGCCTAGCATAATGTTACCATGTTGGTTTTTACTAGCTCAATGCTCTTTTCCTCTTTTGTTTCTCTCAACGCAGTGGCATCATACTATCTTACTTTGAAAGCCTATGCTACAATCTAGACTTAGATAGCTTTACAAAGCACCTCTTCTTATATCTTGTAAAAATGGGCATGTTTTCACTGACTTACTGTATGTAAGATATTAATCCTGACTCTCTGATCATTTGCTGTTGGGGCATGACAAATCTATATGTAAATCTCTGCACTGCAAAAATAAAGAATGGGAAAAAAAACAAAAACAAACAAGGAAGAGCACTCATGGGATTATTTAATGAAAAAGCAGGCTATAGCACACATCATTTTAAAAAAATGGTAACACCTTTCCCAGACCAGGAAAAGACTCCAATAATTTGGAACTGTTATTTTGTTTCTTATCCCATAAGCCTCTGTCCAGCAAAGGTTTATTGGATATGTAGTTTAGTCCCAGTCTTAAGTCCACCCATAACATGAATGAAACTGCTTCATAGTTTGACGGGAGACATAACAGGCCACCATAAGTTTATTTCAAACCTTGCTTACAAATACCAGGCAGTGATTTTCTGTGCTCCTGACTATGTGCAGGTCGCAGAGACAAAAAAGGATGTCTGTCCAAATTGTGCATGCATATACACACCTAAGTTCCAAGCTGGGTGAAGGTTTAACCATTGAAGGAGAAAGTAAATTTCGTCATTCTGTGTCACTGTTCTACAAGGCAGGCATCTAGCTAAAGAGATATTTTGCAAATTACTGCAGTTCCATATACAGGGAAACTGGTACCCTCTGTACCATAACTTTTGCAAAAAGACAACACTTATAGGTGCTTATAGGGACCTGTTAAGTCAAACTATTTCTTACAAAATGTTATTGTCCATCTAACTTTTATTCGTGATCAATTATTAGAAATGTTGGGCTGGTCCAAAAAACAAAACGAAAACCCAAACACTTTTAGAAAGTAGTCAATCTACATGGCTTTAGAGTAGACATTAATCCCTGCTTTAAAAACACAGTGAGGAAAAGCTGCAATAAATTACAATTGTAATACAAAAATAAATAGCTGAAATCCAAATGTAAACTACTGAAAATCAGTTTTTTTTTTTTAGTAATGCTTTTGACTTTAGAAAAAAAAAATTGCTTACAGAAATAATGCCAAAGTTAACTGGGTATCTACTGTCTCCCTTTGCCTTTCTATTGCTTGCTCTGTAGAAAGGTAGGAATTTCGATAACATTTATGCACACCTTTATTTGAATGACAGCAAAGGAACAATTTTCTGTGACTGATGGAACACTTTGACTATTTTGCTTCCTTTTTTGGAACATACTTTATTTGCCGTGCAGCCTGGCCAAACGTCTAAGACTGTCCCTATTACGTAATTTGGTAAGGAGCACAGTATTTCCATGATGCAAATGTTTTTTTCATTGTTTACATTATACTCTGTAATTAATGAGAGAGGATGTGCCAGGACCATCATGATATGGCATGTGAACCCTCTTCCTGAATGGGATAAAATATTTAAATGTCCCCTTCTTCCAAAATATTTTTGGCATGTTAACCAAATGGACTGCATATCTGTTCAATTTTTTAATACTTATTCTAATATACTAATACAAATACTAATGGAATTAGTTTTCAGGGGTTATTTACTAAACTAACAGGATTACAGTACTCTAACATACCATACAACTTGAAAATGGTTATGTTAAAAAAAAAAAAAAAAAAAACAAAAACTGTTATATTTCAGTTTAGGTGCTATTTATTAAAAGGCCTAGGACTCCGAGCATACTAGACTCTTGCAGCATTGGAAGTTCTTTCCATGATTTCTGCAGTAAAAATCAGATCATGGAGCAAAAGTTAACAGTTTACACTATAAAGAGAATTAAGTATGTATCAGAAGAATCATCTTTTATGTGTGGTTTACAGTAATAGCAATAATCTCTAATGTACAAATGCAGTAAAGATCCTAGTCACATAAATGAAAGGATGGTCTTTCAGAATTGGTGATAAATCAAAAAAACTAAAAGAAAACCTAGTGTCTAATGTTAATGACAACAAACTGGAGCTATCCCTACTAATAGCTAGTCGGATACAAAAGAAATCCCACCTCCCACAAAAATAAACACTACATGACCTGCATATCTTTGTTTAGACCTGACCTTATTTCATCTGAAAAATTAATGTTCCTGTTTGATTCCGATTTTGTCTTTCCTCAACCATCTAATAGGATTCTGGTATTACAAACTCAAATTCTGTACTTCCAGACGACACACTTTGATTATTCTGGTGCAGAAATATATTGTCCCAGTTAACAGGCTTTGGTGCAGCAGTTGGGATGTTTTCTGCAGATGCTGGTTCTGCCTGATCGGGGTCAATGTCATACACAATACCACCATCACTGCTTACAGGGGCACTAATTGAAGGATCACTTACAAAGCCACATTGTCTGATCTGTAATGTTTTACATGGATTCAATCGATACAACTTTGAATCTCCAGAAGGGTCCAAACTATGAACAGACTTCATATGTGAGGACATAAGATGATAGTTCAGAAATGTACTACCACATGTCAAGCACTGGTATCTTCTTTCACCTGTATGGTTTATCTCATGCTTTGTACGGTACTCTGCAAGGGGAAAAACACGCTCACAATAACGACAAGGGTATTTTCTTTCCCAGGAATGAACATTGAAGTGTCTTCGTAAGCTTTTTAGACACACATAGGATCGTTTGCAAACAATACAAATGTAATAGACTCTGCCATCCACTATTAGTTCATAGTGATCCTCATCTTTCACTTTCATGCGTTTCCGGTTTGGGAAACCATCTTCATCAAGTTTGGAAAACCCTTCATCAGGATCATCCTTAATGGGAATTACAATGTCATATGTGTCTTCCCCGATATTTGCATATACTTTACAGCCGGTTGACAGACCTTCTATTTCTGAAGCCTTATCTAAAGTTATTATTTTTTTACGATCCGTTCTATGCAGAACCTCAGATTCTCTGTGTGTTTCCTTTTTGATGCCAGAAGCAACATCTGATATTTTTATTTTGAATTCACCAGGTTTTAAGGAAGATGCTTGACTGAAGGTCACAACCTGTTTCTTTTGAACTCCAGATCCATCATAAGATATATTTTTCTGTGCTATAACAGTAGAAACCGGTCCAGATACACAGCTTTCATCCAATATTATTTCAGTTTTGGGCAAAATGTTACTACTTGGTAGGAATTTTGGACCATCCATACTGACATAAGGTGGCATGTGCTTCTGGAATGTAGATATTCCAGGAGAATTGTGGGAAACATCATTTGTAGGTAAAGCACTCAATGGTAGTTTACTATGAACCAAAGTACTACTAGATGCATTGATAGGAGGTGTACCTGAATTTGTATTACTTGTTACAGAAAGCTTCTCAGACTGAGCATCACTAGATGTTATAGTTTTCTTTGAATCAATTGATTGCTCATTAGATAGTGGATGGCAATCTAAAGATTCCTTATTGTGAGGTGGTGGTGGCTTGGCTGTAACTATCTCTGAGCAGAATATTACATCATCATCAGAATCTACATCCTTCGAATTCAACAGTTTGTCCTTTAAGTCTTCTACAGACGAAGTGCATGCTTCCATAATGACTGGCATCTCATTATCTGTACTTTTCTTTGCAGACGTACTAGCTACATTTGCTAGAGGTTCACTTCCTTTTTCATCAGCACTAGATTCGGGATCAGTAGTGCCATCATTAACTCCACCAGAGATGTTCTTCACTTGCAAAAGTGGGATACCAAGATTTGCTATAAAAGGCACGCCCAATAACTTGCCAGATTTTATTAGTTCTTCTAGCAAGTCACCTTTCACACGAACAACTCTTGCACTGTATATATAGTTGAGTATCTCTGCAAATACATTAGCTTTGACAAAATTGAGTTCCACAACTTGCCCAGCAACACAGAAGAGCTGATGGAAATAAGTACTACATGCAGAAAGAATGTTTTTATGAGCTTTAAATTTGCGGTCTTCAACAATGACTGTTACATCGCAGTAGAGTCCCTGCATACGCTGGTCATTTAAAGCTTCAAGCAGACTGCCAGAATATTGGTTATCCGTAGCAGTTATCAGTTTGTTCGCGTCCATGTCTGCAAATAAAAGAAGACCCATTTCAGTATATGCAAACAAAAAAGGTAGCTAACTATTCTCAGTTGTTCGTAAAATGACTGGGAAAAGGTCCATTTGGACATGTTGAGTTCTATCAATCATAATCTGTTTATGCATGAAAAGTCTGTTGGAAACCATGCATACAGCCCCATAATGATTATAAAAAAATAAAAATAAAAACATCTGTAACTATGTAACCCGACCATACCATTTTATTTCCCACAAATCAAGAATTACTATTTTTTATTTATTTTTTAAGGGTAAAACATCATGCATAAATTGTTATTCAGAAAAAGAAAAAAGTATTTTGACACACACAAAAGCTATTAATCAGAATCATAGTGTAGTGGTATATTTTATTAGTGGCTACTATATGCATAGTAATATGCTATGTTTAAAATTGCAGTGATAACATTCAGTTAACAAGCATGATGAATAGACAAGTTCTGTTGGGCAAGTCTCATCTGCATTTCTAAAACTTTTTAATTTAACCCTTCTATGCAGTGTATTGTTACTGACAATTATGATTGTACCTCTGTGCAATACACAGTCTGAGAGGATGTGCCAGATGACAGCTCTATTACGGAGATGATGTAAAGGGTAACAGTCACTTTTTTTTGTTTCACATGGATTCACTTACAACTCGAAAATGAAATCTATCTAATGTGTACAGAGGGTTGGGAGTGATTTAGTCAACAAACCCAGGCAACAAGGAAAGCAATATGTTTACAAAACAATATCTTAAATAGATATCAAAAGAGTTGACAAGCAGATTTTGCACTTCTTGATTGGTGGCTCCCAGAACCAGAAATAACTCAGGATGTGGAAACAAATACTGAATAATAATGAGAGCTGAATAACCAAAGCAATTTAAAAGTAAATTTGTTATGCACAAATTGACACGCTGAAGGGTAATTTCTTCCTCTACTGTTTTGAAACAAGCTTAGAAATAGACCACACTATCAATTTTGTGCATTAATTTTATTGTGTGAATGTCAATTAAATATAAGTTAACAAAATGGTGAACATCTGAACTGTAACATTGATTTAATTAAATGAGATTAACTATTTTTATTTCAGGACAAAAGAATTAAGGCATTTTCATTCAATTTATGCAGCCTTATCTTGCTTATCTCTCATTTAAGGTCCCAATAGAAAGTTTCTTTTTTTTATTATTTGGGTTATTTTATTTTATTTTTAACACATCCAATCAAATTTGACACCAAACCTGTACATAGTCAAATCATCTACTAGGATTAAAAAAAGGACCAAATTACAGTTATTTTACTATCCCAATAAAAGCCCCCTAAAATTATTTTTGAGTCATGAAAAGGGGACCACCCACCAAATACAAAACAAAACACATGAACAACAAAAGCTACTGAAGAGTAGGCATGGGAGCACGTGAACAATTTGGAAAATACAATTGGTTGCTATAGTTCCTGTGTTATGTAGAGAACACAGAACTCTGAAGTTCTCTACGTGATCTTCAACAAAGGGGATAATAAGCATACAATTTGATTTAAGGAAATAGGAGTAATATGAGTTACAATTTGCTTAAAGAGTTAATCCAATTTAAAAACTTTTTTTTTTTTGGGGGGGGGAGTTAGAGGCCAAGTTCTCCCTGCAATCTGATCTTAATCTACTGACATCATTCAACATCACTGGGAGGATATTTAGGTAGATGGGCAGAGGGGTGGGTTGTGCCACAAATGGCTGTCTGGCACCAGCATGTTGTGTGCTTGGCTAATGATGTGGTCAGAGCTAGGGCTACACCTCTGGAAGCAGAGAGATAATTCTACATATGGGTGTCTTCTAACGAAACTCTGTACATGCAGACTCCAAGCACCATGACCACTTCAAACCACTGAAGTGGTCAGTTACTGCTAGAAGTAACCCTTTAAATAAACTTTCCCCGATTATATTATCACTGCAAATTAAAATTAAACAGTGATATTGCTTTCCTCAGCTTGTAACAGTTTTTAAAAAACGAAAACAACCTAACAAAAACAACATACATTGGTCCTCATAAAAAAGAAAATCATTATGAACATTTTTGGTATGATCACAAATCAGTTCATTGGCCTGTTAAGGATTATTCCTTATCCCATAACAACATAAAATAATTTAATTGTCTGATCAAATATTTTTGTATATGCTTAAACTGCTCGAAAATGTATTACATTTAATTTAACTTCTTTCTCACTGTATCAATATATAAATATCCTTTTAAAAGGAAACAGCTCAACTACATTAGTATATACTAAAGATTAGTTGTACTTGAGTCAAAAAGAAGCAGTACTTTAAGTTTAGGCTGAAAAAGGTTTATTGGTTTGCCATAGACAACTCTAAAGTCTAAAGCGTCAAGTATTAGTGACTAGTAGCACACAATTTAAAAAAAAAAAAAAAATTATTAAGGAAAAGCTGTACAAATATATATATATATATATATATATATATATATACATATATACACACGCACAAAGTTATTGGTACAAATGAGCAGCTAAGAGAATTAGACAGTTTAGCATTTACAAAAGATGTACAGCCCTATATTACTACGGACATACATACAGCTATTTCCATTCTAGAATAGCAAATACGAGAATTATGAGCTATCAGATAGGTTGACTTAATTTTATTTTATTTCTCAGGGTACAAAATCACATAGGAATGCAATGCTTAGATGTCATATGGTTGGAATACAGAGCAGAGTAAAGACTCAAATTAGTTAGAAGTGAGCATTCTTCAATGTTCATACTTTGTCCATAAATCAGCACTTTCCAAGGTATTTCCAATCCTGTTGCATTTTTACAATGCATGTATGGATTAAGGTCTTCGAATTTTGCTTGAAGCTTTCCAGTAATATTTTGTTGCATTAGACACTCCGCTGTTCATGAAGGGAGGAGGAAAATAATAATAATAAAAAAAATAAAAATCTGCTGTGCAATGGTTAACGGTGTTGTGATTCTTTTACTAGCAGGTGAGCATAGTTTTTAGACAGTGTTTAAGTATTTAAAGATCTTAAATAATTCACATTCAGTAAGTGCAACAGTTAAAAATATACATCCCGCAAGGAAGGTCACGACACCTTTCATGCAGAAATGCAATAACCTTGCAGATTTACTCCAGCAACATATTGATTTAAAGTAGTTAAAGTGTTAACCATTTGCTGTTTTCCTCTAAGACAATATGAAAGAGGAATTTAAACAAATTCCCTAGAAAAGTTTTTTTTTTTTAGTCCAGGGACTAACTGTACAACTGTATGTTTAAATCTAGGTTTTTCTAAATACCCAAATATATTATTGTGATCACATTTTCCCAAAATACCCAGAAAGATGAAGACAATGTTTTTTTCTCTGCCAAAGCAGTGCCAATGTAATGCCTTTCTAAATTACAGTATGAACATGTCTTCATGAACTACAAACTACATTTACAGTGCATCGGTTGAACATTGCAAATCTGCCTTACTCACATCAGATTTTCAACCAGGACTAACAGAAGAAAATATACCTTTGCCCTCTCACCTCAAAAAAACAAAACAATAAAATATTCCATCTAAAAAAAAATTTAGTTTTATTAACTAAATAATAAAAATTGGGGTTTTAATTTAAGTTTTGACAATTGCGGAGGACCCCTCCCCCACTCCATACTCTCACTTTAATTTTTAGTAATTATTATCCTCACAGTCTATTTACTTCCCATAATGTCCAAACTTTATATAGTTTTGCAGTCTAATTAAAAACCATTGCAAAAGTGCAAATATATCCTTTACTGCAGTTATTCTTATGAATGCTTGTGCATTACATTATGACCAACACAAAAAATAAAGTTTGGCCTTTAAACAAGTCTTATTTCAAAAAGGGCATTAGAACACTCTTACCTACATTACTATACTAAGCACAACAATCCAATTTTTCTAAGAATATTTTACCTTTCAATTAGAATTTACATCAGTGAGTACAAGGAAAAGGAGTGCTGCATTGATCCATAAACTGCTGGAAACCATGCAATTAGAAAATAAAAAATGATAAAAGCAAAACCAATTACAGTAGATACAAGTATAGTAATACTTTCTTCAATCCTAATATTTTAATTTTCTAAAATATTACAGGCAGCCTGACTATTCCACTTTTAACAAAATGTGTTAATGTTTTGGGATGTTTGATATTGGACTGTAAAACAAGAAAATATCATTTACTTGAGAAAGAGTTCTAGGGTCACTTAGTATTAAAAATATATCTGGCTGCAGAATTAAGAATACTCACTGCGTCATTTACATGTCAACATGATAATTACAAATTAAAAATTAACTTGCTTCTTAGATGGCTGTACACCAGTTCAGTAGATGGTAGAATTATTAACAAACCATAAGACCTTGCATATTTGGACCCTTGTGGTAGTAAAAAAAAATAAAAAATAAATGTATTCGCTTTTGCCCTGTTTACATGAAAAAAATTCAACACAAAAACAGACAATGGAGTAGATTTAAAAGTATACATTATTAACAAGAATACGTAGTAGTTATCAAATTACAAACCAGTTACTTTTAAAGTGCAAGCGTACAGCAATGATAAGCAAGTGTCTCCAATCTATAAAATGTAGGGAAGACCCTATTGTCACAAACATAATGAAATATGTGGATTATTGGTTAAAAGGCTTGTTTCTATTTGAAAAAGACATGGAGAACAAACTATCTGAATGCTTCTTAGAAATTCTCCCTATAACCTTTATTTAAATGCTGCTAAGATGCCCTCCACTTATGTATTGGATGTAGTTATGAATTGGGAGAATAAGAAAAAAATCTACTTATGATAATTGGGATACGAGAACTGCATACAATAAAAAAAAAAAAAAAAATGTTCCTACAGCAGTTCACCTGAAAGTATTTTCCTATTTTATAATAGTTTAGTTTGTCAAGTATCTAATAAGATTCTGGTATTACAAACTCGAATTCAGTACTGCCATCGGATGCATTTGGTTTAAAAATATTCTGATTGCTCTGCTGGAGGAATATATCATCCCAGTTCACTGGCTTTGGTGCTGCACTAGGGGCGTCCTCTTCAGATGCAGGTTCTGGTTTATCAGGGTCAATATCATAGACAATTCCACCATCGTTGATTACTGGAGCATTAGAAGAAGGATCAGTTATATAGGAGTACTGTCTGATCTGTAATGTCTTACATGGATTCAGTCGATAAAGTTTTGAATCTCCAGCAGGATCCAGACTGTGAGCTGATCTAATGTGAGAAGACATAACCTGATAATTGATAAAAGAACTGCCGCAAGTCAAGCACTGGTATCTTCTTTCACCAGTATGATGAATCTCATGTTTTGTGCGATATTCTGCAAGTGGAAAGACACGCTCACAGTAACGACATGGGTATTTTTTTTCCCAGGAATGGACATTAAAGTGTCTTCGTAAACTTGTAAGACACACATACGAACGTTTACAAACAATACAAATGTAATAGACTCTTCCATCCACTATAAGCTCATAGTGGTCATCATGTTTCACCTTCATGCGTTTCCGATTTGGAAAATCATCTTCATCAAATTTGGAGAACCCTTCATCAGGGTCTTCTTTAATGGGAATTACAATGTCATATGTATCTTCTCCAATATTTGCATACACTTTACAACCAGTTGACAGGCTTTCAATTTCTGAAGTGGTGTCTAAAGTTATTATTTTTTTACCATCCATTATGCGCTTAGACTCCGGTTCCCTATGAGATTCCTTGTTACTTCCAGATACAACATCTGAAATTTTTATTTTGAATTCACCAGGCTTTGAGGAAGATTCCTGACTGAAGGTCACAACCTGTTTCTTTTGTACTCCAGAACCATCAAAGGATATATTTTTCTGTAGAGTAATAGAAGGAACAGATGCAGAAATAGAGTTTCCTTCCACTAGTTCAGTTTTGGGCAAAATGTTAGCGTTTTGTAGCAATTTTGGAGCATTCACATTGGCAGAAATCGGAAGGTTTTTTTGAAGTGAAGATGTGACGTCAGAGGAAGTGTTAATTGCTGCACTGGAAGGCACAACAGATCCATTTGTAACCTGTGTACTTGCATTTGCATGAACAGTTACATTAAGTTTTTGAGGAGATGAAGTCATTTTCAAAACAAGTTGGTTTGATGGTTTTGTGTTTTGAACAAGCTGAACATGACTAGATGACGTGGATTTCTTTAAATCTAGTGACTGATCATTTGGTGGAGGTGTTTGGCTTGGTACTGCTTCCTTTTTGTCTGAAGGGGGTGGTTTGGCTGTCACTATCTCTGAACAGAAAATAACGTCATCATCAGAATCTTCGTCCTTTGAATCGGGCACTTTTTTCTTTTCATTAAATTCTTCACAAGACAAAGAAAAAGCCTCAGTAATTACTGGCATTTCCTTGTCTTTTGCACTTTTATTTTCTGGTGTGGTGTCTGACGAACTAACGGTTTCTTTTTGCAGTTCATGTTCTTTTGAAACAGAACTAGATTGGGAATCAGTGCTGCCATCTTTAACGCCACCAGAGATGCTTTTAACTTGAGACAATGGGATTCCAAGATCTGCTATAAAAGGGACACCCAATAACTTTCCAGATTTAATTAGCTCTTCCAACATTTCACATTTGACACGGACAATTTTTGCACTGTATATATAGTTGAGTATCTCTGCAAATATATCAGCTTTGACAAAATTAAGTTCCACAACTTGCCCGGCAACAGAGAAGAGCTGGTGGAAATAAGTACTACATGCAGAAAGAATATTTTTATGAGCTCTAAATTTGCGGTCTTCAACAATAACTGTGACATCGCAGAAGAGTCCCTGCATACGCTGGTCATTTAAAGCTTGTAGCAGACTGCCAGAGTACTGGGTATCCGTTGCAGTTATCAGTTTTTTCGCCTCCATGTCTGCAAGTAAATAAAAGAAGACCTGTTTCAGTATATATTAAAAAATGGCACCCACTATTCTCAGCTGTTCGGACAATGGACGGAAAGCTCCACTTGGACATGGTGAGTATCATGAATAATCACAGTTTCTGCGTGAACAAGCTTGTTGCAAACCATGCTTTGTTATACTGAAATCCCGATTCCCTTATAAAACAAACCTTTACAAGCTATTGCAAAAAAGTGTTGTGTACATACTATATATTATCTAAAAGATATTGGTAAGTGGTTTTACATATGTTAAGTATGTAAAGTCCTGGACTATTAAACCTCTTCCCTACTAGCTGGTAAGCCTTTAGCACAAATTTAACACAATAATAGTTGTGTAATAAAAAGCAAAATTAAACCAATATCCATATTGTCAAGTATCCATGTAGGAAAATACAATTCAGAAATTGTGTGCGCAAGTAAACCACAACATTTTAAATCATATAAACCAAAAGCACAAAAGAGAAATTGGTAATGTTACAGGATTTATATATTTCCCTGATGAGCTTGCCTGCTACACACCAATGTCCATAAAGGGTTATTCTAAGCACCATAACTACTTCAACTTACAGCAATTGCTATGTTGCAATGACTCTGCCCCAACAATTACACTAAAACTGCACCTCTTACTGAAATAAACCAATTTACTTTCCCAGCTGTAATTTAAAATCCTCCCACCCAAGATCCTAGTCAGGTGCACAATGTCTGAGATTACCCAATGCCCTTTAAGCCACAGCAGCATCTTGTGATAATACTGTGCACATCTGCTATATCAGCTTAGTTAAAAGTTCAATTCATCTTATGGCTAAAACTGCATCTGGAGAATTAACATATTCCATAAACATCTGCAAGACAAAAGAAACAATATGGAACAGTATGTGAGACTTACGATTAATGGAATCTATTCATGTTTTAAAATTTGTATATAGTATTTAACCACACAGAAGTTCTTAAAATGTGTTTGTATTTATTTAAGTTTATGGCCTGCTGTTTTTCAATCTACAAAAAGGTTGTAACTGCAGCAATTATCAATTCAGGGTTATTCCCTCTTAAAATTACAATCTTGGTTAAAAAAATAAAATAAATGTATGTATAGTTTTACGCTTTTGCTTGAGGGAAAACTTTTTTTTATTTTAATCTATATATCTAGATCATAAACACAAATAATGTCAAACCACATTTCCAGTTCAAGATATGGATTCAATTAAGTATTTTGATAGGCATGTCACGAACTAATTTTGCACTGTAATTACGTAGATTTAAGTTACTGATATCCCACTTCAACAAGCTACTTGCCTTAATATTCCTATCATGCTATTCGCACAACTGCGATTGGAACTGGAATGCATGCCTCGTGAAGACACATGATTGGATGTGCAGTCTGCTGCATCAAACCAAAAAGCTTTGTCAGAATTGATATTAATTTTGGCCTTAAAAGGGAAATGCAGAGTTAATGCATTAAAAAAAAAAAAAAAAAAAGTATGAGTGAGAATAAAAAAAAAGGTATTTCCTATTTTTTCAAAAATCTGTTTCACTTTCATTCCAAAACCTACTCAATGCAATATCTTACAAGATACAGCAATCTCAGAGTTCTCATATTAGAATCCACTCCATCCAGCATGCTCTTAAGTACTGAAAGTAACTTGAAGACATTAAAGTAACATTATCCTGCCCCCCTCTGTGACTTTTCTTTTCTTTTTTCATTGTTACTTTTTCAATGTAACTGTCTGTACCCGCAGTTTTTATTGTATTCTACATCTTTAGTCTATTCGTATTTACAGTACATGTGATTACTAATGTTTAGGGACATTTTGCTTTTACCCCACCCTCTTAGCAGTACACACCCATCCTTATGTCCTTTCGTTCTATGCCATCTAGAGGTCTCACATCAAAATGCACATGCAATATCTTCTGGTTTTTCCACTAAGCACTTCCCATCCTCCCTGGAACTGGTTTCTCCAGCTAATGTTAAGCCAATCCTTTTCTGCTCAACAAAAATTAATTTTTCTATGCTGGGCAAAACAAGAAACAAAGTAGACCAACATCACATGAGCGGCTATCAGCACAATTGGCCACAGCAGGTTTCTCATTAAAAAAACAAACAAAAAAAAAAAACGCATTACATTTATTACCAAATTCAAGTTAAAAACAAACAAACAAAAAAAAAAACCTTTACTTCTAATCCCATTTTACAGCACTACGGAATTATATATAAATAATAAAATAATGACCAGCAGTATACTCTGTGAAAAAAGCAGATATCACCGACAAAGCAATAGTTCCAAAAACCTCCAAGGCCAGTCTGGAACTATACAAGTGATAAATCTATTAGGTCTGTAAATATATACATATTAGCTATTTGTATATAACAAATACTATGTTATGAAAGACAGATTTAAAATTTGGGATCAACCGACAAATGACAATGACACATAAAACAGTAAAATTTCTGGTAGTTTTCAGATGCTTAAAATAAATTTAAAAAAAGTTAATTAATGGGCAGTGAAACTCTACTCTAGGCCCTACTCTCTTACTCTTAAAAGTTGGTATGTAAAAACGTAAACCTACTATGTAATAATTACCTGCACGAACATCTCAATTATAACGGATTGCTCATCTTGAAATATTTAAAAAAAAATTATTACAAGCTGTTAGTAAACACATTAAATGGGTTTAAAAAAGAAACGCAAAAATGGAATTACATTTTTAAATGGGGATTTCCTGAGCAATTTGGTTTGAAGACATCACAAAAAGTTGTTCAATTCTTCCAACATTATGAAATGATGACTGGCATTTGTAGCATGTGTCACTGCAGTTCATAGTACAGATTGCAAAATAAAATTCCAGTCACATATTCAAGATCTGTCACCAATTCATAAGTATTGAGATCAGTACTATAAACAGCATTGCAATGTGGTATAATTGAAAATGGATACTTAACCTATTTGTTTGTATTTTTGTTAATGACCGGTTATCCAGATATTATCCCTTAGGGTCTCCCAAACAAAAGATCATATAAATGTAACATTAAAAAAAAAAAAAAAAAAGAACACTAGCATTAGGAATACAAAACTCTATTCCTAACTGAATAGCATGCCCGACTGCAGTTTAGGGCCCCCCACAGGCAAGCAGTCTCCTCCTCCCATAACATCATGCAGACGGAGGACCTATTGCGCATTTACGGCGTGTATAAGAGCTCCCAAATAGGAAAGCATTGAATCAATGCTTTCCTATATGGATTTTGAAGATGCTGCACATCCTCATACAAAGCGTGAGGTAGTTCAATGTAATTTCTTGGAGTTAAATTCTGTGAGAAGCCAGGATGCGTCTCTAGTGGCTGTTTGGAAGACCGCCACTACAGGCTGTATTAACCCTGCAATGAAAACATTGCGGTTTCTCTGAAAATGTTCATTTAATATGCCATTGCGAACAGAGCTGGAATGTTAGATGTCAACCCACTTGCTTGCAAAATTTATGGCGTAACATTTTATTTTTGCCATTCATGAAAATTTTAGAGTAAGGCACGGTCTCTCTATGAAAATCCTTACTTGTAGTCAATTGGCTTGTAACTAGTTTTAAGGAATGGGAGCTGGTTGAAGAGGTCAGTGGAAATTATGTAATTAGCAGCCAAAGAGCTCCTAATCAGAAGAACTGCAGAAAAGAAATAGGTATTTACAAAAAGGAATTGATGTTATTGAACCCCAAATTGCTGTAATAAAAGGGCTGAGAGTCATAGTCACACTGGATTATGAATTGATGTTATTGAACCCCAAATTGCACTATGTAATAAAAGGGCTGAGAGTCATAGTCACACTGGATTATTAATTTAACATACGTGTCGTGTACAGCACCAAACTGTCCAAATTTCGCCAAAGGGGTAGCAATAACGTGAAATGTGTTGCCTGACAACCCCTTAAGGACCAAACTTCTGGAATAAAAGGGAATCATGACATGTCACACATGCCATGTGTCCTTAAGGGGTTAAAAATGAGTGAAACTGTAGAGAGCGTGTTTTGTTGTGTTAGCATCTTTACTCAAAAGGAGAATATGGTCAACATCTTTAAGATCAAACTTAGAGAAATATATTATTTGGAGTATCAGAGGTGTTGAACATTTGGAGCTAGAGATAACACACACCAACCCAACCCTGACAGATTAGTGACTCTTAACAGCCTCAATTCCTGTACCAGGTGAATCATATTCAGAAGGGACAGAAAACTGACCAGATACATATTTTTTTATATTTAAATGGTTATAGAAAAGGTTTTGCAAAATGCAGGTACAGTGGGACCTCTGTTTACAAACGCCTCGGTTAACAAAATTTTTGGTTTACAAATAAAAATTCATTGAAAATAATGCCTCAGTTTACAAATTGTTTTCGCAATACAAAGCAAGTTTCCCCAGGATGCATTGCACCTGGGAGGTTTAGAGCATCGCCCCCTGCATGTAGCACGTGGCTTTGAGTGTGGAGGTGTTGGAGCGGCTTTTGCATTGAGTTTTGGAGCCATTCTGGAAATTGTTTGCAGTTCTAGTTTTGGGACTTTTTGATGCATTTCTCAAGCTGTGGAAAGGTAGTGAGCTGAGCTTTGTCAATTGCTTGCCTTTGATTGTGTGTTCTGCATTGTGGGTTGGTTTCCATGCCAGCTCATTTTGACTTTTTTCTGACCTCCAGAACGGATTAATTGGTTTTCAATGCATTCCTACGGGAAACTGTGTTTCGGTTTACAAATTTTTCGCAATAAGAAATGTCCCGGAGAACGCATTAAATTCGTAAACAGAGGTACATACATATATATACACATATATATATATATATATATATATATATATATATATATATATATATTAGATCTAATTATATTAGATTATTTAAGAATTGGTCACTGAGCTGATTTTACAGTTAGAAAACAGATTGCAAGCCAATTTGGGTCCCTGTCTAAAAAGGATTAAAAAAAAATAGTATATGGATCATTAGAGATGCACTAAACAATGTATCTTCAACTTAAAGTGAATGTATACATAAACTAGAAATGTGTGTAGAACAAACAGATTAAATAAAAAAAATTAAAAAGCACCCCCCCAGCCTCTTAGAAAGTAATATATAATTGCATACTGAGCTGCATGCACATAATTTACTAGAACATTAAAGCATTATTAGATAGAGGTTTGATTGATTAAAAAGATATACTACACTAGTTATACATCAGCACCAAAATAACTTAAAGGGACACTACACTGCCAAAATAAAAAAGATAGGAGAAAAAAAAAATATATAAAAAAAAAGTTAAGTAGGTGTGTATTCCCAATGAAAACCATGCATGCATTTAATTATGCATTTTTCCCTTGGTGACATTTAGCTCCATTGAACTAAACAACCAGAAAGCATCAGAAAACTGTTAGGGGTCTGGAGCGTTCCTTTACGTGCTTGTGAAAGATTTTGGCCTCATATTCGTGCTGCGCTTTTCTTCACATTCAAACTTAGACTTTGGGGGAGGGGCTAGACACTTTCTGTATCTTTAGCTATGTCCTATTCTTTCAGAAACCAACCTCCTTTTTAAAGGGACACTGTAGTCACTATAAGCATTTCATCTCTTTGAATTGGCTATAGTGCCTGGAGTGCCCTGGCACTGTCCCTCCATTCAGTGTTGCACCATGTTCGTGCAGTATGCCACAAAATAAGAGTCCCTGGCCACCCACAGTCTGGCCCCTTCAGTATGTGTAGCTAAGGCAGAGATTACACACTTCCTTGTTGTCATACCCATTCATATTGTCAGTTGGAACTCTGACAGGCTAATAGCAGTCAGCTGACACTCTCAGCCAATCGCAGCTGCCTATTGCTGCTCAGGCTAATACTTCCTTATTAGCCAAAGCAGCACAGAGGGGATGGATTGCCGGGGACTCTTGTTTAGCATTAAAACATTAAAAGTTTAAAAACTGTTTAATGCTGAAAGAAATGATGGTACCAGACACTATAACCAGTTTAATGAGATGAAGCAGATACAGTGCCTACGGTGTCCCTTTAACTGTTTTTTGAGTAGGTACTCAGAAGCTGAGCAGCTGACATCACTACGCCCCACAGCCAATCACTTCCCTCTTTTTATTTGGGTGGTTGAACTTTAGTACATATTTAAAATATATCAATAAAAGGACTGTGGATTGGCTGTGGGGGCAGAGCCAAGTCTGCTGCTCAGCTCACACTGAGCTCTCAATGGCGTAGCAGAGTATGTACTCAAGGTCCACCAAAAAATGTTAAAATAGGTACAGAGTTATGCTGCAGCAAACTCCCCCCGTTAAAAAAAAAAGAAAAAAAAAGAAGCTATTTGATGAGAGAAAAGAAAGAAAAAGAAACAGTACGTGTATGAGGCCAATACCCAAGCACACCTATCTAAAGGATTTAATTGATGTTGGTTCACAGAGTGTTCCTTTAAAGTCCCACATTGAGGGCATCATAGACTGGCTGCTTCAATGCTCAGCTCATATCTATTCTGGATCATTGAGGAAAGATGCCAAGAACAGATATTGGTGAGGAAAAGATAAAATATTGAGTGTTTGTGTGCTTAGGGATCATGGTAAATAAAAAAAGACAGTTTTGACAAAGTATTAGTCAAATTATTGATTTCCAAGTATCCATAACTTTACAAGAATTGATTACAAGTAATAGGACCTGGAGTAAAACATGGGTTAAAAGAAAATGCAAGGCACAAATAATTAATGGAACTTGAAAAATTAACTTGAAATTGATGTTCACTTTGGACAAAACAGGGCAGTTCTAATGAGAACCAAAATATAAGCAGACTGAGGTTCTCTGAAACAATGTTTTAAAAATGAAAAAACACAAGCTTTAAGGCAGACATTGCAAGAAAGTATTTAAAATGTATCATTGTCCAATGTCTGTAGGATAAAACCAAACCTCCTGATCTCAATAATAAAAAAAAAATTATACTTTTAAAAGGGACAGAAAACCATTTTTGCCATGGATGCCGTTTCTACACGTACATGAGAAATGCTCCTTTGTGAAACTATGTTCTCAACACAAATTCTCTGGGCAGTTGAGTAAATTATGGGTCTTGCTAGTAGCAATCCAAACTGATAAATTATTCTCAAAATACAGGTTACGTTTAATGTTTAGAATATAATGTTTCCTGAGACATTATCCATTATTAGGAAGGGAAAGAGTTCAATACTCAAACATTAAAGTCGAGTGGTACACTGTTTGGATGCCATTGCTCGATGCTGCTAAAATGAAGAAACCATTCTAGCTGTACTACAGGGTGGCCCATAATTTCCTACCCATCCAGCACACAGATACACTGGGTACATAAGATATATGGATGGGTAGGGACTTATGGTACACCCTGTACAATATTTATGCTTTCCATTTATACAAAATGTTTACATATACGTGTGTGTGTGTGTGTGTGTGTGTGTGTGTGTGTGTGTGTATATATATATTACCTTACAGTTACAGTACAGCTGACTGCCAACACAAAGCAAATGTGACTACAAAAACACTTGTTTTCCGTACACCACTCATCTCCTGGTCATCCAAGATCTGTTCTCGCTCATCAAGCTGGGCTCCTTGGCACATGCTTTCCTTTACCTCCTCCCCATCAACCCACAGAGCCAACACTGCAGTTGCTTTTATTCTACGATGAAATCACACACACATCTGATGTAAAATGTGCACAGCAGACACCACCCTGGGTCAGACTGACCTCAAATATGCATTATTGCTGTCCAGATGACCGTATTATTCCAGCTGCAGGAAGAGTTTTAATTCTAATTTTACCTAATTTATGACATGTTATGGAACCCTTCCCCCTCCCTCACCCTTTTTTATTATACACCCCCCCGAATAAACCTAATAAAAGACCCCCACACAGCCATTTAACGCTGGTCCACACGTGACCCCCACATGGAGACAATTCTCGGTCAGTGCGAGCCGCCTGAGCCCATTCCCTGCCCTCGCCATCTTCCCGAGGCCTAGTAGCAGCAGCCAAGCCTGAGGCTGGAGTAAAGGCCTGCCCCGCTCTGGGAACAATGAGAGCCGGGTCACCGCGCGCCCCCGCCGGCCGCCCTCCCAGGCAGGGGGATTTAAAGATGGCGGAAGCTGGGAGATCACAAAGGGAAGGCTGTTGGCCTGGCCGAGGCCCGGTGCCCAGTGACCCAGCCTGGGACTCGGCTCTGCCGGCTGCGGGGGGGGGATAGAGCGCAGGGGCTGCGGCTCGGTCAGACCCGGTGATGGCGGTTAGTGAGGAGGGGGGGAGGAGGGGGTTTTACCTGGTGTCCCCGGGCTCACCCGGTGCCTCAATTTCCGCAGACAACGAGTGAAGCGGCGAACGGCAAGCTCCTCCCGCGAACTCCGTGCGCCGCCTGCAGTGCCGAGCAGCCAGCAGCAGAGGGCCGAGCGTGATTTCCGAACGCCACAAAGCAAAGGGTTCGGAAAAACCTCGGCAGTTTCCGTAAAAGAAAAAGTGGGCGTGGCCGGAGCTCAGGGAAGCCGTCGCGGGAAGTTTTCCCAACTCGCCGCCATTTTCTCCGCCCACCACCCTTCTCGCACACTGACTGATAGACACGGCGGGGAGGGCTGCACCTAGCATAATGACAATACACACTGGGGAAATAATAGATTGTCAGAATGAGGATAGGGAGTATGCTGCCTTAATGAAGTCTTAGCTGCTGTTCATGTCATATACATAAAATAATAGAATAAAGAGGGGGGAAAGGCTGTTAAACAATAACCATTTTAAGTTTTAATGAGGTTTAAAGTTAGGTAGCTTAGCAGGGTGATTCTTGCACAAAACTGTCCATAAAGTTACCTACGTCCAGATCACCCTGGACATGACCTCCTTGTGAAAGCAATGTCTGGGGGATTTCGGACAATGTCCGGCTTTTTGTTCTGGCGCCAGCGTAGGTTAGAAATGTAATTACGCAAAACCAGCGCCAAGTCGCTGGCATGTTACGCTGTCTTGTCTCTTAGCAACGCTGGCGCCAACTTCACTACGTGTGCCGGCTGCCTTTACTTAAGTTTTCCACTGGCATGATGCCCAGAGGGAAGGGAGAGGGATGAGATGGGGGGGAAAGAGTGAAGAAAGTTAGGCAGGCTGAGCAGGGCCTGGAAGCAATAGCTGGGTGTCTGACAGTGCAAGCGTGTTGCCAGCTTAAGTTAGTGCCTAACAGTGGTGGCCCAGGCATACGCAATAGCTGCAAAATAAATAATTTGGTGTCTGACAGTGTTGCAAGCGTTATTTAGTTGCCATTAGCTGGAAAAACAAACAATAAGTTAGTGCCTAACAGTGGTACAAGCATTATTTAGTTCCCATCGACTAGAAAAAGCAATAATTTGGTGCCTGACAGTGGTGCAAGCCTAATTTAGTTGCCATCAGCGGGAAAAAGCAATAATTTGGTGCCTTACAGTGGCACTGGTACAAGCACTACCAGTACCAACAGCTGCAAAAATAGAAAATTTACACCACACTTACCAATATTTTCGTTTCACGGATATAATCCATGGCAACACTACAGATGGATATAGCTCTTCCCACTTCTAAACTGGACAGAAACACCTCTTAATTAAAAAACAAACAAACAGAAAAAAAACCTTCAGTTTATCTCCCAAGCTACAAATCAAAAAAGGGTGAGAGTGTAGTGCTGCCATGACCTATATCCGGGAAACGAAAATATTCATAAGTATGGAGTAGATTTTCTATTTTCCCGGATATATCAATGGCAGCACAACAGATGGGTTATACCCAAGCTAAAATATGTCAGGGTGGAAAAGAGACAAAAATTCTGAAATTGATGCCAAGAAACACTCTATTATTTACGTAATTACAGTACAGCTGATAGAACTCAGAGGTAAAGGATCTGGCCATATCCAACCGATAATGGTGAATGAAAGTGTTGAATGAGGACCAAGTTGCTGCTGAACAAATGTCAGTAAAATATTGGCTGCAGCTGCCCATGAAAAGGTCAGTGATCTGGTGGAATGGGCCGGTATACCTAATGGGATCTGGATCCCTGAGGCCTCATATGCCTTAGAAATGGGTGTGATTATCCACCGGCCAATAGATGCTGTAGAAGCTGCTTAACCCATATTATGAACAGAAGGGATGATGAAAAGGCTAGATGTCTTTCTAATACCAGATATATGGTCCATGTAAATACAATGGACCAAGTCCAGACAATGCCACCTCTTTTCTTCTTCAGGTGAAGAATGAGCTAATAATGCTTGTAAGAAGACAAAGCCTTAGGATAAAAAGTTGGAACAGTCCAAAAGAATAACTCTGTCCTCTTGCAGAATAGGGAAATGAGATTCACATGAAAGAGCCCAAAGCTCTGACATTATTCTACCTGATGTAAGTTCCTACTTTAAGGACTGTTAAAGTTAATAAGGCAGTATTTTCTAAGGGCTCAAATGTAGAATCAGACAAAGCTTTTAATACCAGAGGCAAGTCCTAAGGCGAAAAGCAAGACTTCAATGGAGGACGAAGTTTTAGGATGGCTTGAAAGAATCTGACAATATCTTGTTCAAATGCCATTTTGATCCAAGAGGATAAAGAGGGCTGGAATCTGCACTTTTCTTTTTGATTTGAAAATTTTTATTAATTTAAAAAAAAAAAAAAAAGAGGGGCGGGGAAGGGGGAAAAGCATATAGGTACAAATTGTCACATATATACAATAACAGTGGGTACATAATCCAATAATTTAAGATAGTGTTACATGTACAGGTGCATTTGGCATAATGACAATATACATGTAGTTGCACCCATTGATGTGAATATGAAAGCCAGGCGTTATGTAGGAGGTGCCTAGGCTAGTCAAGTAGTTGTACAAGTATGTTACCAGGTGTTGTATGGTCTCAAAAATTACATAGTACAGTAGTTACAAACTTGACCTCTAATCCCCGATCTCCATGTGTCCCATGTTGACCAAGCATTCGATATTAGTTTTGTCTGTGGGAAAATGCAAGGGAATTTGCGCTCATTGGAGTCTTGTTTATCGAGTTCCTTGCAGAGAGTTCTTAGGGATGGGGGTGTGTTTGACTTCCAGCCTCTGGCAATGTTTTGTTGGGCTGTGAGTGCTACGTGTATAATCAGCTTGAGTTCCTGTCGTGGCAGGTTTGGGGTAACTCCAAGAGAAGATAGGTCCTTGGTGAGAAAGTTATAGGGTGCTCTGCGTTTTTAGAGATAAGGTGGTGGATCTCCTTCCAGAAGTGGGAGAGGCTAGTGCATGTCCACCAAATATGTAGATAGGTACCTTCTGCTACGGTACATCGCCAACAGGAGAATGTGTGTTGTAGGTATGTGTGCCATTGCTCCGCTGGTTTAGAGTCAGAGAATGTGAAATGGTCTGAGGCAAGTTTGTAGCACATGGAAAACCACGAGAGGACAGAGTCACAGAGACCGAGCTTTTGAAGAGTTTGAAGAAGTAGAGGATGATCAATGGTGTCAAAGGTAGCAGAGAGGTCAAGAAGAATTAGTATGGAGTAGTGGCCTTTGGATTTAGCTGTGATTAGGTCGTTAGTAACTTTGATAAGAGCAGTCTCTGTAGAGTGGAGAGGGCAGAAGCCAGATTAAAGAGGGTCAAGGAGAGAGTTGGAATTGAGGAAGTGAGACATACGGGACAAGTCTTTCCAGAAGCTTTGAGGAGAAAGGAAGCAGGGATATGGGACTATAGTTAGAGGGGGAGGAAGGGTCAAGAGATTTAAAAAAAAAAAAATAGGTACTACAGTGGCATGTTTAAGGTCAGCAGGGACAATGCCAGAAGAGAGAGAGAGAGCAGTTGAAGATATGTGTTAAGAAAGGCGCAAGACAGAGGGAGAGAGATCTGATAAGGTGAGATGGGATAGGATCGAGCGGGCATGTGGTGGGGCGAGAGGAAAGGTGAAGGGCAGTCACCTCTTGTTCTGGGAGAAAGTCTGAAAGGATAGGAAAGGCATAATCTACGTGTATTTGAGAAAGGCAGGGTGGGGAGAATTCTTTACCTGTTCAATCTTGTCGGTAAAGTAACATGCAAAGCTATTGGCTGTAAGGTTAGTTTGGGGGGGGTGGCCACAGCAGGGCAAAGAAAAGTGTTAAAGGTATCAAAGAGACGCCTGGAATTGTGGGAGCATGAACTAATGAGAGAGGAAAAGTATGACTGTTTGGCAAGGGTTGTGCTGTATTAACAGAATAAGAATCTATAATTGAGAAAGTCTGGGTGCGAGACTTCCTCCAGGAAAGTTCAGCACAACAGGAGCATCTTTGCAGATAGTGTGTTGATTTAGTATTCCACAGTTGGGGGCGTGCCCTCCTCAAGATGCATGTTTGGATGTTCAAGGCAGAGGTTAGGGTAGTGTTATATGTGGAGATGGCAAGTGAGGGATAGGAGAGTGAAGGGATGGATAGCAGTTGTGAATCAATATCAGCTGACCGCTGCTGGAGGTCAATAGAATTAAGGTTCCTCCTGAGTTGAGGGGGGCTAGGCTGAGGTTGTTGGGTGAGGGGATACTTGAGAGCAAATGATAAGAGGTGGTGATCAGAGGGAGGAAATGGAGTGTATTAGAAGAGAGGAAGTCGGGTAGCCAGGCAGCAAAGTGGTCAAGGAAGAGGAGAGGGGAACCAAGGGGCTTAGTGATATATAGTAAAATGTCGTCAGCGAAAGCTTTGACTTTCAATTCCTTGTGTCCCATGTGTACTCCTGTTATGTCAGGATATGTCCTAATGGATTCCTAGCAAGGGTTCAAGCGCCAGTTCATACAACAGGGGTTGTAGGGGCAACCCTGCCTTGTTCCATTTGTTATAGTAAGGGGAGAGGACAGGAAGCCAGCCTGCATCACCTGGGCCATTGGTTGGGAGTACAAGGCGAATATTTGATTAACCACTTGAGGGGAGAAGCCATATGAGTGGAGAACTTGTCTTAGGAAGGACCAGCCCAGCCAGTCAAAAGCTTTCTCCGCATTTAATGCTAGAAGTAGACGCCGCTGTCGTCTCTGCACAAAGCCTGTTTGGTCATTGTTAATTAACGAGGTTAATCTACTTGCTAATATTTTGGCGTATAGATTAGCGTCAGTATTTAGGAGCGAGATCGGCCTAAAGTTTTTGCAGCTGTCCTTTGGTTTGTCTGTTATGGGGATAGTCGCTATCTTGACTGCAAGTATGTCAGGAATCTGCACTTTTAAGGTGCTAAGCCTTTTTAAAATCCATCCTTAAGGAACTGAATATATCACTTATACCTGGAAGTTGCAGATACATTTTATGCATAGTACACCAACTGCAGAAAATATTCCACATATGGTAAAAGACCAAAGATGTAGTTTTCTTCCATGCTTTAAGCAAAGTTTCAACTACCGGCTGAAGGGGTTTGTGGTGTGACCGCTGGCTGTCCGTGAATTGCCCTCTTCTATATTCGTAGATTCCCCATTATAAAATGTGTTTCTCAATGTAGTTTTATTTCAACTGAGTCTGTGCGCCTCCCAAATGAGGACCACCCCGATGCCCCATTAGAACGTTCCCACCAATTAATCAGATTGTTTGCACTTGCAACATAGGTGTGAAACTGCAAGGGAAGTAATTAATGAGCCCTCCCCTGGGTTGCCGCCATGGGGAGCATCCCCGTG